TCGATATTATTCTGGATATTTGAACCCAACAAATCAAGAAATGAAATAAATGTACAAACTTTTTTAACCATCAGACGTTCCCCTTGAGATTAATTGTACATTCTATAAAATATGGCCGACAATTAGTAACACATAGATCTCTATTTAGTTTTTTTTTTCTTTGAAGAAAATATCAATTCAGTTTCAATTAAGAGTTTTTATGTGCTATGGATCTTTTATTTTGTTGAAGTTTATTAAAGCTGAAAAACCTTCAGTTCAATTTATGGATTTCATTTTATTTTTTACTATTCAATAATATGTTTGGACTTTTTTTAGCAAGCTTTAACAATAATTTGATGCATGTTTTCGTTAATGAATAAACACAAATATAGCACAATTTATTTATAAAGATTTCCTTATCATGTTATTAAAAAAAAAAAGGATTAGGCCATAAGAAAAGTAGTGATATATACTTCGTAATAGATAAAGAATATTGATAGGGTTCCCCGATTTAACGACTAATAATTTTCTTATCTTTCTTTTTTTCCTTGTAGAATAACACTATTATGGCAAATATTCAATTGAAAAGAGTTTCTGTCCTCTGATAATTAATTAATTTTTTTAGATTAATCTATTTTAGGTTTCTTAGATTCTTTTAAAATTAAGTGGCAGTTTTAAATTTCAAACATTTCATTTTTATTTTTATTTTTCTCAGACAGTCCATGATGTCGGGTATTGATTGTTGTTACAATGACCCTAAATTGCAATGGTTAAGTTATAAAATATTATTAGTCTTATTTTTTTAATTAATAATGCATTATTACATTTTTAAATTAAGTTTGTATGAGAGTTTTTTCTTTGCACATATATATATATATATATATATATATATATATATATATAATTTTCAATAAGTATTACCACTTTTGTTTTTCAACTTAAAGGTTCCACAAAACAATTAACAACAACAATCACTACAATAAAAACTTAGGAGTATAAAAGTAACACGACCTCAAAAGGATGACCAATAGGAAAAAAAAATGAACAATAAATTTGTACAAATATTTATAGAATCTCATCTAGTGGACATTAGATCCTAAAACTAAGTATCTCGTATTTAATTAAGAAAAAACAAAAAACAAAAATTTATAATTTTTTAATCAAAATTTTGTATTTAATTAATCTTTCTTTGTGTTTTTTATATTTTTTTCAAACTCAAAAAAAGCAAGATTTTTTTCTTGATGTAATGATTCTTAAATAAAAATTCGTGATAATATAAATTGAAAATTTTATCCAAAATTCAAAAACATGCCATCAAAATATATTTTTCATAAGATTTTGTAAGAAAATGATTATTTTTTTTAATGGTGATGAGAAGATTATTTTTAAAAGTATCTATATTTGATTTATATCTATTTATTCACAAAATAATCAATAATATTAGTATAAAAACTATATTTTAATCATTTGGTGGTTCTTTTAAAATATCATTTTAATTATTTTATTTCAAATAAATTAGTAAAAAAAAAAAACTAATAGCAAATGGTTGGGTGTTATGTGTATAAACACATAGTTAATTTTTGATAAAATTGATGATTTAATTTTTTTTTATACATCATAACTATATTTAATGAGCTTAAGAGTGTGAAGTAAAAACCAAAAAATATTAAAAAAATAAAATAAATTATCCAAAATACACTCTCCACCATTACATTGAATATATATCGATAACCTTGCGATCATTATTTAAAAATTCTTATAAATTATAAAAGAACAATAATGCTCTTAAAAAACACTGCAAAATATATATATATACATATATATATATATATATATATATATATATAAAATAAATCAGAATTATCAGCAAATAAAATTTTATAATAAATAATTAGAAATTCATCGGATAAGAATTTTCACAAGAAATGAAAAATTGAAAGATTTTTTTATAAATAATAAGAGTAATATTATAAAATATATGTTTATTTTAAAATATAAAAAAATATCCAGCTGCATGAGAAACATAAAAAATAACTTCTAATCTTTCGTCATTTTGGCCTAAAAATATCAATAAAAATATTAAAATAAAATATAAAAAATGCTAAAGCACAAGCCTGCACGCTTGGCCCTAGTTCCAGGCTCGCGCAACGCAAAGTTAACTAAAAAAATATAAAGGGGGAAATAAAAGACAGATGACACGTCGTCCGTTCCAGGTGCATCAAATGATGTGCCTTCCATTTGTAGTTCCCAACCAGCCCTAGCTGATCGAAAAACGTGGCAAAAAACGAATTTTATTGAAAAAAAACTAAGAACAAATGGGTGGTGTTATGTGTATAAATACATAGTTAATTTTTGATAAAATTGATAATTTGATTTTTTTTTACATCATAACTATATTTAGTGAGTTGGAGGTGTGAAGTACAAACCAAAAAATAAAAAAACATTATAAAAAAAATTATCTAAAATACACTCGTAACCTTTACGTTGAATATATAATGATAACCATGCAGTCATCATTTAAAAATTCTTATAAATTACAAAAGAACAATAATGCTCTTAAAAAATACTACAATATATATATATATATAAAGAAAAGAAATCAAACGTATCAATAAATAAAACTTTATAATAAATAAATATAAATTCATCGGATGATAATTTTCATAAGAAATAAGAAATTGAAAATTTTTTTTTAAATAATAAGAGTAATATAATATAAAAAATATGATTATTTTAAAATATAATATATATATTATTCTCACTACCCGCATGAGAAACACAAAAAATAACGTCTAATCTTTCATAATTTTTGCCTAAAAATTATCAATAAAAATATTAAAATAAAATATAAAAAATGCTAAAGCACATGCCTGCGTGCATGGCCCTAGTTCCAGGCTTACTCAAGGCAGAGTTAACAGAAAAAACATAAAGAAGGAAATAGAAGACAGACGACACATCGTACAATCCAAGTGCACTAGACGACGTGTCATCCATGTATAATTCCCAATCAGCCTTGGCTTATCGAAAAACATGGCAAAAAAATGGCTTTTGTGGTTTTGGCTATTTCAACCCAAATTCAACATCTACTTGCTCAAAGAACACTTCAAAATTATATAAAATAAGATTAATAAACTCTTTTAGAGTCTTAAAACCTATTTTAATACAAACAAAACACATCAAAACTCAAATCTAAACTTCAAAAAATTTTAAAACCTCTATTCATCTCCTTTAATCATTTTATGGTTTATGATCACTACAAACAAACCTCTCTAATACAAATAAATTGAAGGTAATTTCAATCGTTTAGATAGTTGAAACGAGCCTCTATGTATGTGTGTGCGCGCACGCGCAAGGCAAGCACTTGTTTTTCTCTTTTTATGCATCCAAGGATCATAGTGAAAAAGAAATGAAGTTTTGTATTGATTTTTTCCTCCTAAAATTGAAGGACCAGATTGAAACATTTTTGCTAAACAGTGGAAATGCCACAATTCATTTGGGTGAGCACTAACAACAAGGCGCACAGTACAAAAATAGTAAATACTGAATTTTTTTTTTTAGTGTTTTTTGGTTGATGATAGTAGTGTTAGTGGAGTTAATGATAATAATAATAATAATAATGTCAGAAGGAGGTGATAGCTATGATGATTGTAGTAGGAATGACATTGGTGGTGTAGTGTAGTGATAATTGTTGTGAAAATGTGGCGTTATGGTGGCCACAATGCTGATATCATAATATCTTAAAAAAAAAAATGAAAAAACCACTTTTTATTTTTTAAAAAATCCAAATAGTACAATCAAATGCGCTTTTTGTTTTTTTTTATGTAAAAAAATCAGAAACAGAAAACCAAAATGATACAAAACAATATCTAATAGATTAATCTGTCTATCTTTATTAAGGAGTTAGTTATTTTTTCTATTTCTTTAATTAACTGATCAATTTATGTTTATATATTAGCACATTCTCTCATATATCTTTATAATAAAATTTTTCCCAATTATATAGGGTTTTCAAGGTTTTTTACATTATTTTTTTTTATCTTTTGAAAATTATGCTCTTTTTTTTTAATAATGTTTTAAGGGGCACTTTGGTCCAAAATGGATGAAAAAGATATAGGGATAAGATATAAATACAAAGGACATATCAGATTTTTTTTTTTTAAATACATATCAGAGAATACTCTTAATATATAAAGGAGATTGATACATTATTCCTTAAATAATTTGATTTTTTTCCTTTTTAACATGAACCCTACTTTTAATTAAGGACGGTTAACTTCCTTTGTTTTGATAATTAGTGATTAATTAAAGATCGATAAGAAAAATTGATGTTCGCCACAAAAGTTGATAAATTACGAATGTAAAGTCAATAAGTGAAAAAATATTTTTTATATTTTTTTCAATAGAAATACAACCAACACGTGGCAAAATACCCTCATCTTTTTCTGCTATATTAATTTGAGTTAGAATCTAAAATAAGAGTCACTCAATCATAATCCTTCTCATTATCCACATTATTGAATCAAGAGTTCAGATCATTCTATCATTTTCCGAAAAAATTAATCAAAAACTAATCTAATTATTTCTTGATATGGCAATATACTTAATAGCGAAAGAGGTGTCTAACTTTCAATATCAAGCCAAATTACAATTTGGTCTCTGTAACTTCACCTTTATTTCATTCAGGTTCCTATGTATGTACCATTTTCAATGAGAATTATGACCCTGAGAATTGAATAACTGGAATTCAATGGAAATCCATTTTTTTTTCTCAAAAAAAATATTAATAAATTGTATGGAGAATTTGACTATTATTTTCACATCACACCAAAAATGGAATCGTATCGAATTTGTATACGGCAAATCAGTAAAACTTGTAGGGCCCAAGCAAGGAAAGAGGACCGACAGACAGATGTCAAAGTAGGAGACGAGATTAGATTAGCTAAAATCACCGACCAAATTTCCAAAAGAAGATACAAAACAGAGTGACAGGAAGAGAAAGGCAAACGAAAAAAGCTTCAAAAATGAGCAGTGGAGCCGGAAAGATCGTGTGCGTGACTGGAGCCTCGGGTTACATAGCTTCTTGGCTTGTCAAGCTCCTTCTCTCACGTGGTTACACTGTCAAGGCCTCTGTTCGTGACCCAAGTCAGTCACTCTCTCACTCACTCACCCTTCCACAGTTTCTTTGTTGTTTTTTATTTTTTATTTTATAAACATATCGATTATGATGTTATTTAATTGCAAAATTAAGATTAACTCATTAAGGATAGCGATGAGATCATTTTCTTATGGATGATCATGGATTTCGGGGGACTAGAATAGATTCCTTTTTTCTGTTTTAGGTGATCGAAATGTTTTAAAAGAAAATGGGTCATCTTCTTTATTATTATAATATTTAAGAGGGTGGATTTTGATGGAATTAGAAACTTCTTATGGATTGAGAATTAAAATTTATCTTTCTAAGCTTAGTAGAGATCAAAATCATGAAGTGATGATGATCATGTAATTAACTGAAAACATAAACTGTTTAGCAATGAGAAAAAGAATCTCTTTTAATTGAGTTCATGCAATGAGAAAATTCAAAGGCATATTTCTGTTGCTGTCCTTGCAAATTTCAGATTGTTTTGGCACTTCAAAAATGTTACACTCACTATTTCACCCTAGTTTCTTATTTTTGTATCAAACTTGGAATAGTATTTGAAAATTATGGTTAAATGATGGGTGTGGGGAAGTATTTGAAAAGTCTTTTCTTTTTTGTTTTTAAATGGGTGGGATGTGAAACTGGGTTAAGCCTTCCTCCCACCCAAATGAGTTAGAACCACCCTGCACGTTTTAAGCGCATGATTCTGCTTAAATTCAGACTTTTGGATAACTTGTCTTGTGATTTCTGGAGACTCTCAGATTTATCATTCCACATGGTATTTTAGCTCCTGAAATTCATTCCAACCCATCTTGTTACCTGTTTTCACTTCAACACAAACAAGCAAGTCCCTATGCAAAATGCTCATTACCGAAAAACAATGCTGCTTCATCATGCTGCTTCATCTTGTTACCTGTTATTTACTTTCTAGTTTGGGCACGCTCTGTTCATCATGACTGAGTGATCCTGCTTATGGTTTTTTCTGTGAAGACGACTTAGGGGAAATAGTGTGCTTGTTGCCCATCACAATTTATATTTACCAAAAACAGCTTGCTATTTCAGTGATTTAGTAATTGCTTTCAATCTCTATTCTGCAGATGATCCCAGAAAGACAGAACACTTACGTGCACTTGGTGGAGCTCAGGAGAGACTTCAGCTGTTCAAAGCAAATTTATTGGAAGAAGGTTCCTTTGATTCTATTGTCGAAGGCTGTGAAGGTGTTTTCCACACTGCATCTCCTTTTTATCATGATGTCAAGGACCCACAGGTTAATCCTTCATACTTACTTAAATAACCGCAGTGTTTCTTATGTACTCAAGATTTTATTGTTTATGAAAATCAGGAAGAATCTCAGATGGTTCCCCAATATAGCATGTACCATCTATCTCCTCTAGAAGGCATGATTCAGGCACTTCATTGTTGAGTTGAAGTGGTCAGAACCTTGCAAAATGACATTAGAGAGATAAAAAGTAATACAAATTAAATCTCTGTTCAAGTGTTGGTTCCCCTTCAAAATCCAGTTGTTGAAAACCTTTATGATGGCCTTTTAGACTTCAGCTCATGATTTTGACATTAATGTTGTTTGTTGCATGATAAGTTGGTGCTGTCCCCTTTACCACTGTTTGAATTTTAAGCTGTCAGTAGACAAATTAATTTGGTAGACAAAGATGTAGCATTGTTTAATTGTCTTCTGCTTTTTTAGGTGATGATTCAAGTTTGCTGCGATGTGTTTCTTTTGACCTCTGATTAACTGTCACAGGCATTGCAATAGTGATATGCAATAGGTTACTTGGTAGCTTCTATATTAAATAAACTTTTCTTCATTGAAAAGGAATCGTAATTTGATATGCCAGATTGCAACAGCCAACGGTTGAATATATATGCAAGTGTGTGTAGCTATGTGTATGTATGTATATTTGCAGCTAACTTTTAATATCTATATATATACAGTGACGAGGAACTTTAATTTGATATGGAAAGTAATTTAACAATGCATCTGCTTTTTCTTCTAGAAAGCTTCAGTAAACCCTGGATTCTATCTAAATGCTGGCACTTTGAAATATTTGTGTATGAACACTGAAACGGCTTTAAAGAACAAAAAGTTACTGATCAATATTCTATAGTATATTTGAATCCAACAATAACAGCAGTACATGGTAATTTCATCATTGTATTGATTCACTGTCAAGGTTAGATTGACATTATGAACAAAAATTACTTCTTGCTAATTAAGATGCTGTAAAAAGAGTTTATCCAGCACCAAGCAGCATGCTTTTCAGAATATATCTTACACAAATGCTCCTAGGTCAGTTGTGTTTGGCTGTGACTTGAAGCTTACCTGGAAAGGAGAAAAAAGGGTCTGGCTCATATAAATGCTTATTTTTCTTCTCAGATTCTCAAAGATCCGTCCTATATAAATGCTTATTTTCCTCCTCAGATTCTTGAATTGTGCTGTTATAGTGCAGTATGGAAACTTACTCCTTTCAGTTGAAGCTGATGTATAGTTGGCAACAATAATTTCTGTCTTTTGTCTTAGGGTCAAGACTTTTTCATGAATTTTCAGATATTGAAGTTTGAACTTGTTTTTGTTTGTCTTCAATTGGTTATAATCAATTTCTTCTCATTTCAGGCAGAGTTGCTTGATCCTGCAGTGAAAGGAACACTCAATGTTCTTGGCTCCTGTGCAAAACACTCCTCAATCAAACGAGTTGTTTTAACATCTTCCGTTGCTGCAGTTGCTTACAATAGGAAGCCTCGAACCCCAGATGTAGTAGTGGATGAAACTTGGTTTTCTGATCCGGACCTATGTAGAGAATCTAAGGTGTGTAAACTTGCCAATACTTTCTGAATCTTCAAAAGAAAGAAAAAAACATTTTTCAATTTTTCAAATCATCTTCGCTTAGTGTCTATTTGTTTTATTCTTCGTAGCTTTGGAAATGGAAATAAAATCACAGTTAATTTTTGTACCTTTTAATAATTCCGTTCTGAGATTTTTGGTACTCTGGAATATGGTTTTGCTAATTGAGCCAGATGGTGGTGGCACAAGTACCTTGTGAATTCTGTCGTTTTACATTAGGTGCTCATGATGCCTCTTTCTTTGTTTTGATGTTTATTTGGACATTGCTCTAAGAAAGTTAAGAGGTTAGCAGAATATCAAATTATAATGTGTAGAAATACAGAGAAAATAGTGATGGAGAGATGCAAGGACAGAATTGTCTTTACTGTTCTCACATTGGATATGGAAACTCTTTTTGAAGATGAAGTGAATCTAAATGGCATTATGAATCTATCTTTTATTGCTTCTGCTAGTAACTTGGAACTTTTTTACTGTGTAAGATACTGCTTCTACACTTCTAGACTTCTACTAAATCATCTGAATAAATTTCATTTTCTGCTAGCAAATCATTAATGTAAATATTGAGGAAACAAAAAGACCCTATAGCCATCCTTGTGATGTAGTTCTAGAGAATTTTAACATTGGTAATTTATTTTCTCATGACCGATTTGATCTTAAATCTCGATGTTATATTCAACGAGCGGTTTCTCTCAACCTAGTCCATTCCATTAACGCATTTTTCTGTCCGCTGCCTTTTGATGTGTAAATGATAATGAAATGTTTCTACCGCATGCATTTTACATTGGACTCTGGTAAGGTATACAGTATTTTATCTCTAATCCCTTCTTTACTGTCTACTTTTAGCTTTGGTATGTGCTCTCAAAGACTTTGGCTGAGGATGCTGCATGGAAATTTGCAAAAGAAAAGGGTATGGACATGGTTGCAATAAATCCAGCAATGGTAATTGGCCCTCTCTTGCAGCCAACACTAAATACAAGTGCTGCAACAATTTTAAGCCTAATGAAAGGTACTTCTTTATGTTAACAAGACTAATCTTTTCATCCTGTAAGTAAGCAGTAGCATGTATTTCATCTCAACAAGTCACTCTCTGTGAAGAACAAATTAAAAGCAAATATAATTCTGTAGAGAACTTGGATAAGTGAAATGAAATGCAATTTAAAAGCATTTGTTTTCTGTTTATTTGTTAAAATTTTTACATCTCCCATGTTACCGGATTTCAATACTGGCTCACTTGTTTTACCAAGTTAAAATAGTGTTTTGAAGAGGAGAAAACCCAAACATTAGTGTTGTTACTTTATTTAGGAATAAGAATACTGTAGCGATTCCTTGGTTAGACAATATTCTTTTCCATAAAGCATGTGGCTATTTTCATGCCTCTGTGTTGAATGCAGGAGCACAAACCTTCCCCAATGCATCTTTTGGATGGGTAAATGTTAAAGATGTTGCCAATGCACACATTCAAGCATTTGAGCTGTCATCAGCTAGTGGGAGATATTGTTTGGTTGAGAGAGTGGCACACTACTCAGAAATAGTAAAGATTCTGCATGAGCTTTACCCTGATGTACAACTTCCGGAAAAGTGAGCCTTTCCCCCATTATAATTTACCTTTTCTCTTAATTGATCTTACTCATGTTCTTTCCTCCTCTGATTTTACCCTTTATGGCGGAAACATTTACCTTTTTGTCACGTTATTTTGCATGGTTTTCATGGCATCTTACACATATTTGGTAAGCAAAGATTTTAGTAAGGTGGTAGTGTGCCTATCCATTCTTGTGATGTTTATTACTGATCACACTTTCGTGTGTCAGTTGAAAAGCTCATAAAAAAAAAAAAAGTCCGTTCAGTAGCCCGCATTCTATTGCAAAATGCGCATTAAAAGCTAGATTACTACACCATTCCCGGATAATGGTGGTTCCCATTTTTCGTGGTGTGATATATGAAGATGGATGAAGCAAGCAAAGATGGAATAATTGACCATAATCGAAGGTTTCTAATCATGCATCTCTTTTGGAAAGTGTTTGATCTTGAAGTATAAATACACGATGAAAGATGAAAAGCACAATCATCAGTCTGTTTTGATGATTTTATCATGTCTTAGCTGCTTCTAGTTAATTGTTTTGTCATTATGGAATACCTATATTCATTTGTGTTCATTGTAGGCCATTTTTTAAAAAGAACTAGAGTGTTTGAAGATGGGTTATTGAACAATGTAGATTGTTTTGTCTTTGAGAATTTTCTGTAATCATCTGCAATTTTTCATCAAAAAATATATTAATTCTTTGTTATTGTGAAAACCCTTGGCAGGTGTGCGGATGATAAGCCATATGTGCCGATCTTTCAGGTTTCCAAGGAAAAAACAAAAAGCTTGGGTATTGAATTCATTTCTTTGGAAGAAAGCGTGAAGGAAACGGTTGAAAGCTTGAAGGAGAAAGGATTTGTCAGTTTTTAAGTGTTCCCTGCATGCAAGAGTTTCTTATATTAAATAAATAATCGGTTGAGGTATTAGTACGCCCTCTCAAGAATTTAGAGCTTGATGATGATTGCTTTGCTTTTCACGTGGACTAGATGAAAAAAGGGGAGCGTTGTCCCTTTATATTTCTGTTCAGCTAATACTAGTTTTTTTACCCATGTTATGCAGTGGGTTAAATAAAATATATAAAATCGTTTAGAAAAATTATTTCAATTTTGATTGTTTGTTTTATGACGTGAATCTATAAAATTATATGAAATCAAAGGTGTAAAAAATTATTTAATCAGAAAATTTATATTTAACTATTTTTTATTTGTGTTTTTCATAATTTTTCTTTAAGAAAGAGAATTTATCCTTGTGAAACCATGGATCATTAATTAAAAAGAAAATTAAATAATTTTTTAAAATTTTTTTTAGTATTTCATAATATTGTGTCAACATAAATAACAATTATTAAAAGCTTACATATTATTGAAAAAATAAATTTTTTATTTAATGTTGATGAGAACATTGGTTTTTGAAAACATGTGGACTTAATTTTTATTTATTTATTTAAAAAGAGTGAATAATATTAAAGTAAAAAATATATTAATTTGAATCTTTGACTCGGTTAAGCTAAAATATTATTTTAATTATTTAATTTAAAATAAATTAATTTTAAAATATTCAAAAACAAATAAATAAATAGTAAATGCTTGGTGTAGTAGTAATTGTACAGTTGATTTCTAAAAAAACAACAATTAAATATGTTTTTATACGTCATAACTATACTAAGCGAGTTTAGAGTTTTCGATCTAAAACAAAAAATACTATAAAAAGTTAACTTGCAATAAATATATTGATTAAATTTGAAGTTAATAGACTAAAATAAAATTTTTTACAAATATCATTTCAAATAATTTTGATTATATAAAGAAGAAACAAATTAATAAAACATGTGAATTCTTTTTTTTTTCCCTCCTTAAACATTTTTTTTATTTTTATGTTATGCATGATTAGTCTTTGAATATAGGCCTTACGCATAGAGCAACCATCTTCTTTTTATTTTTCACATTTGACTTTCAACTATTAATTAAATAATTTTAGTTTTGTTCTTAAAAAAGCTGAGAAAAAATTATTTGAAATACACTTTTGATCTAAAAATGTATTTTAGACAAATTATATATATATATATCATGCCACTATAATTTAAAAGTTATCTAAATCTATTTTTCAAAAGAAAAAATAATCATGTTCTAAAAATTTATTTCAAAATCCATACATATAGAAAAATAAATCAAAACTCGTTAGTAAATATAATTTTAAATTAATTAAATGAGAATTAAAAAAAGACATAAAGTAGTAAATTTTAAATAATAAAAATAATGAACAAAAAATACTAAAATAAAATGGGATAAAATCATAATATAATCAAAGTTTGAAATTGAAAAAAAAAAAGGAGAGAGAATTTTTTTTAAAAAAATAACAAATTAATGTAGTAAATTTTAAATTATAAAAAAAATCGAGAAAAAATTATTTGAAAAACACTTTTAATCTAAAAATATATTTCAGACAAATTATATATATCAATCATGCCACTATAATTTAAAAAGTATGTAAATCTATTTTTTTAAAAAAATAATAATCATATTCTAAAAATTTATTTCAAAATCCATAAACATAGAAAAATAAATCGAAAGTGTCGAGTAAATATAATTTAAATTAATTAGATGAGAATTTAAAAAAATAACAAATTAAAGTAGTAAATTTTAAATAATAAAAATAATTAACCAAAAAAAATAAAACAAAATGGGACAAAATCACAATATAATCAAAGTTTGAAATTGAAAAAAAAAGGAAGAATTTAAAAAAATGACAAATTAATGTAGTAAATTTTAAATAATATAAAAAAACTCATAAAAAATTATTTGAAATATAATTTTAATCTAGAAATGTATTTTAGACTATATATATATATATATATATATATATATATATATCATGCCACTATAATTTAAAAATGATATAAATCTAATTTTCAGAAGAAAAAATAATGAGGTTCTAAAAATTTATTCCAAAATCCATACATATAGAAAAATAAATCAAAACTATCAATAAATATAATTTTAAATTAATTGAATAAGAATTTTTTAAAAAATGATAAATTAAAGTAGTAAATTTTAAATAAAAAAATAATTAACAAAAAATACTAAAATAAAATAGGATCAAATCACAATATAATTAAAGTTTGAAATTGAAAAAAAAAAGAAGAGAATTTAAAAAAAAATGACAAATTAAAGTAGTATATTTTAAATAATAAAAATAATTAACAAATTAAAGTTCGAAATTGAAAAAAAAGAAGAGAAGTTAAAAAATGATAAATTTAAATAGTAAATTTTAAATAATAAAAATAATTAATAAAAAATACTAAAACAAAATTGGACCAAATCACAATAGAATTAAACTTTGAAATTGAAAAAAATATTTAAAAATTTGAAGACCATAGTGTTAAAAAAATGATATAAATAGTGAAAGGAATAAGGATTTGTGAGTGTGAATAGTGATTTTATGAGTACGTGAGTAGTGTTTCAAATAGTAAAATAAATAGTAAAATTATGTTTTTACTCTAATTTAGTTTATAGTGGAAACTTTAAATTAGCAAGAAATGGAGAGGAGGATGTTCCTGTCTCAACAAATTGGTTTTTTTTTTTTTTTTTTTTTCGGCTGATGCATATTTGGAAGTCGAAACGTCTAATGGGAATTAACCCATTCATCTTAAACCACATACCAAACTTTCCATAAAAAAACAACTGGGCTCTTGTGCTTGGCCTGCTTATTTGGGACCCTGTCCATTTTGTAAAATACAAAGATCGAGATAATTTGTTGGGAAAACCGATCTGCCTTAAACGGATAACTTTATTATTAATTGAGTTTCAAACCTTTTCATTGTACAAGTTTTATCTAAAATTATTTCAATTTGTATTCTCTATTTATGGTAGGTGTAAAAACTCCACTCTCTACACACACACATAAATAATAATAATAATAACTACAACAACATTACGGTCACCTTCTTTCTTTCAAGTTGTTTCACTAAGTCTATTTATAATTTATTTTATTTTAATTTTTTATCTTGTTTTCTTTTTGGTTCAAATTGCAGATTAGATGCGGATAGATTTTGGGTTGTTAATATAAGCTAATCGGGTGGAGGGATTTAGGTCAAATTTTAGCTAAAACCACATTTGTCGAGATAACGAGCACATAAAAAATCACTTATGAACTTAATGTATCTATTAAATACAAGTTTGGATAATCTTGTCTCACAATAAAAACATTTGGGATAAAATTGATGCAATCAAAATTTGGAACTTGATTGATAGGAACAAATTTAAGTAGCAATTGGTTGCAATAAAAGTAACATTACAATAACATATGCAAGAACGGGTTTTAATGACTAATATAACATTTGTAGCTATCATTATTGTAAATCATTTAACAATCCGTAACAAGTTTTTATAATACATGTTAATTTGATAATTTTATTAAATAAACATATAATATTTTTTCAGTATATATATATTGAAATAAATTATAGTTCATAAAATGTTATAATAAAATTATAATTTCGTTACTGGTTGCTGGAGTGGAAGAAAAATTGACTCTTTAAGTTTTTGTTTTTTTTGTGCAATAAAAGAAAAATAAAAACATTATTAAATTTTTTTAATTATACAAAACAAAGAAAGTAAAAAAAAAAAAAAATCGAAAACCAAGCCTAATAATATCACTTAAAAATATATAAAAAAGGTAAATGCAATTAAAATTGTATAACAAAAAAGTAGGTCTAATAGACCATTTAAAAGTATAGAACTAACCCAAAATATTACTCTTCTAGGTATAAGTCAAATATTAATATATCTAAACCTAAGTCATCTTCCTACCACCTCCCTCTCTAGTCTTTAGCCTCTTCTTTTTCCTTATACACGTCCTTTTGTTTTCTATAGCACCAGTTCATCTTCTATATATATATATATATATATATATATATTTATTATTATTATTTTGCCTTTTCATGTTAAAAACAACATCCTTAATCTTCCTTCTTCAAAAATCGATTCTCCCTCCCGAATGTTTTTCCTTTATGTTTCAATTAAATTTGACTGAAGATTGAAATACAGATCTAAATATCAATGGAAGATAACAGCATTTTTTCTAGTAAAAAAAGAATATAATGATTGTTAATGATACATAATTGTATAATTTGAATTATCAATATTTTAATTCAATGCCAAAAAAGGTATTATTTACTGCTGATTTCGTTATATAACGCATGTTTTTTAAAACTATGCTACTTTCTCAATTGCTTTGTGAATAAAATAATGTTTTCTCAATTGCTTGGTTAACTTGTTATTGCTGATTTATTGTCATTGTTGTGAAAAACCGTTCCCACTTATTGTTGTTTCTTCGAACACCAAGCAAACACACCTATAAAGAGTGGCATCAATCTTGTTTTCTCCATCATTTTTCATTAACTTTTTATCCACCACCAAAGGAACATCAACATGTTTGCAGCCTAACATTATGAGTTTTTTTAGAAAATTTAAGAATTCCTTCAGCAAACTTTTTTTTTTAACAAATGAAAACACTTCTTGATAAACCTCATTGCCTAGAAAATGATGCAATAGCTCCATATCATTCATCTCATATCTTCTCATTATTCTTTTCCTAAACTCTTTAATCCATCTTTCGTTACTATCCGAAACCACCAAGTCCTCAACAAACAAGGCAACAAGCTAAACCACTCTCATCTTCAACCTTGCGTTCTTCATAAACCAAGAAATATGTATTTGTCACTCATTTTTTTTTCAACTGGTGCCTTCTCTCCTTTAGATTTTGTGCATAGCACACACAACCAGATACATTTGGGTGATTCACCAATGACTTTCTAGTATTCGATATTTCGATGCTTCAAATGATATTTGATTGTTTAAAATTTTTGTTGGGCACCTATATATTAATCAAATAAATAATTGTATATATAGTTTGAGTATAAAAGCTTCTTGAAAGACCCTTCTCAAACAACATAAACTTGACTATTTCCATCATCGTTTGATTTCTTCTCTTGGATACTCCGTTTCATGCGGGATATATAAACCATTGTCAACTGCGTTTACACATCTTTCTTTTTCACATACCTTCTTAAATTCACAATACTCAACAATACTTTTATTTTATGGTCACTTTATTTTTTAAAAAGTGACTTAAACTTCTTAAATATATTAAAGAATCAGACTTATGTCTCATAAAATAAATCTAAATCATTCTAATATGATCATCAATGAAGAGAATAAAATACTTATTTTGTGCATAAACTCAAGTTATGCTACTATAATGATCAATAAAGAGAATAAAGTACCTATTTTGTGAATTTGAAGAATTTTTAATGATCACACATCCGTATACACAAGCTCAAGCTTATGTTTGGCTTGTGAAATAATGATCTTGCATCAAAATATAATTTGTTTACGATTTGTACCAACGTATAATTTGTTTGTTAGAAAGGATGGATGAGCGGCTCCTCCTTTTTGTTAAGTGGATATGCGCCCAAGGAAGGAAAGGTGGGATTCACATCCACCCTCTTTCCCTTCCGTCATCATATATATATGTCAACCAAGCTAAACAATATATTTTATCTCCAACTTATTAGCTTCTGCGGCGGATAAATGCTCAAAAACATCAAAATATATTTAACCCTCCTGGTTTCAAATATCTTGAAAATATTATAAGGAATGGAATTCATATCCGATTTCAAATTTTATAAAGAGACAAATTTTAAACTGTTTTATTTATGATTTTGTATTCGAAAGTTTACTAAATCTCATCTTCTTCTTTTTTCCTGTTCTTCATCTAAAAGATATAATTTAATATTAGATATATATTAAAAATAAAGATAAAATTTTAGTTATTAATAAAATAAAGATAAATTTTATTTAAACGATTAAGTTATCTAATCCATAAATATAGGTAAGATATTAAATTTCAAATATATCTGCGGTCTAAAAACAAATGTACATATTATAAAGATAATAATGTATAACTGTTCGAAAATTATATCCGTGAAGAATAAATGAATATTTTATTAATTCATCACCAAACAAATTTTGTAGATTGAAAAGAAAAAACAGTCTCGTAATGATAATTACGTTTTTTTTTTTCTTTCTTGTAGCTCAAGGTTTTATTTTAACTCAAAAATTAATTACTTTTTTATTTTAAAATTTAATTATTTAATTTAGTGTTGATCATATTCAATTTAATATTAGTTTATTCTATAATATGTTTTTTTCTTATCAATCTTTTCACAATATATATATATATATATATAACAAAACAAATTAAAAACGAAATCCAAAATGAAAAAAACACCAAATAATTATTTTTTAAACATAAAGATTAATTTATTTATTTTTCAAAGCTAAAGGGACTAATTCATATTTTACTCTGCTCGGACCTTTTGTTCTCCATGGATAAGATGTGCAATAATTTTGTGAAAAAAAAAAACAAAAACAAAAGATGCGCAATAATTTGTGCCAAGAACCCCACTAAGATTAATTTCAACTATATCTGCGTTTGGCCTGTAAATTTACCGGCTTGTTTCCTGATATTCAATAAAAGGGACCCATCAAGATCTGTCACCAATTTTTGTCACGGACCCATTTAGTCTGTCCATGTGGCAGTTTTTTTTTTTAGTTTTTCCCTTACGGAAAAAGAAAATTGTATATTACCCTGCCCATTTCTTGTTTCTTCGATTATACATACCAATTTTCTGACCCTTCGCATTATCAGAAACTCTAGGTCAAGGGTCCGTCTTGAAATCAATAACGGAGCGAATAATTGCCTGCGCTTCCCCTTGCTCAGTTTCTGCATGACCAAGAAAATAAATTATATGGGAAGAAGAGTTTAAAAATAAAGAGCAGAAACCACATGCAGATAGCTTTCATGCCCACGAGGATCACAACCAAAAAATGGGGTGAGAATTCACAACGGTTCCGTGGGATGATTAACTTTCTTTTAAAATATTTCTTCCAGTTACACTAAACACCATAAAACACTCACTAAACAAAAAACCAGATATTTAGACAATCAAACGAGGAAAAACAACCTGCGCAGAAAGGAGGGACACCGCAAAGTAAAATATAAAGAATGACTCCAGCACTCCAGACATCAACTTCAGGGCCGTAATTGCGCTATAGTACCTCCGGAGCCATGTAATAAGGACTTCCAACTATCTCATTAAGTCTCTCACCTGCAGAGAAGAAAAAGAATTTTCAGACAGAACAGCAGATGTAAGAATGGCATATATCTGGCTGATGCTTAATTTCAAAAAACATTAAAGAAATGCCGTAAAATAGGCTGAGGGAGGCAATGGCTCAGATACAATGCAATACCAGGTTTAAAGAAGACTGACAATCCAAAATCAATTGCCTTCAACACAGCTTTTTCCTTCTTATTTGCAAATAGGAAGTTCTCTGGTTTGAGATCTCGATGCATGACTCCATGCTTATGGCACATATACAGAGAAAAATGCATGCAAAAGAAAATCCAATTATTTTAAAAGACAAAAAGCCCCAAAAACGTAGCACCGTCAGCCGATAATGCAAAGCTTATGAAATGATTAGAAGTAATTAAACCAAATAACTAAATGATGTGATGCTTTCTCGAAACTTATATTATTTTAAGTACGATGCAGAAATAGAAAAGTCCCAATTGTGAATGATCCTGGATTCATAAACATCTAAAAGTTGGCTAGCTAAAACAATAAAGTTGTAGAAAAAGGAAAAATAAAGAAGAACTAAATAAAGAAACTGTTTTATTTACGATTTTGTATTCGAAATTTTACTAAATCTCAGGTTCTTCTTTTCCCCCCTTTTTCTGTTTATCATTTAAAAGATATAATTTAATATTAGATATCTATTAAAGATAAAGATAAAGATAAAATTTTAGTTGTTAATAAAATAAAGATAAATTTTATTTAAAAGATTAAATTATCTAATACATAAATATAGGTAAGATATTAAATTTCAAATATATCTGCAGTACACACACACAAAAAAAAAAAAAAAAAAAAGACCCTCTGGATCACAATATATATGTGTTAGTTTCCTTTTGGAACTCATATTAGTAACTCTCGAGTCGAATTCCTCCTAACAAGGAATTGCTTTAATGTGTCCTGCTATGGAGTTTACTGAGGAATCAAAGCCGAACATGCAGGCTTCTGTTACCACCTTAGTGGCTTCAAACAGCCTTTCAAAGCCCTTAAAGCCATCACCAAGCTCACCACCTTCTGCCAATTCTTCACCACCTTCACCAAGAGGTCATGGTCATGATCATGTGACAAATCAAGAAAATATTGATGGTGATGATGACAACTATTTCAATAATTTTCCATCCGGTTATAGGTTTTGCCCTCACGACCATGAGCTGGTTTTGTATTACTTGAAGAATAAGGTCTGTGGGCTGCCATTGCCAAGGAACAGGATTGTTGATGTTACCCTTTATCAACACAATCCCGAGGAGCTTGCAGGTTTTTTCAAGCAAACGTTTTATTTTCTTTTGATTTGATTATGTATTGATTCATTGAATTTGGTATGATTTTTTATCATTCTTGAATGTTAGTTGATCTTGTTTCAGAGTATAAGTTAATTTCCTATCTTTTTGTTGATTTAGAGCACGCAAATTAATGAGTTTTCTTTTAATCAACTTGGTTATTGATGAATTAATGAATACAAAGTTTGTTGTTTTTTATTGATGATAGAGCTATATAAGGACTATGGAGAAAGGGAATGGTATTTTTTCACACCAAGGGACAAGAAGTACAGAAATGGAACCAGGCCGAATCGAGCGGCGGGCGGTGGATACTGGAAAGCCACTGGAGCTGATAAGAAAATCATATACGATAAGGCTATTGTTGGATACAGGAAGTCACTGGTTTATTATAATGGAAAGCCTCCAAAGGGTGAAAAAAGTAAATGGATGATGCATGAATTTAGAGTGGAAGGAGCAGCTCCTCCAATCAGAAATAAATTAAATGACATGAGGGTACATGGTTATTCATCCATCTCTAAATATTAATTGTCGAAGCAACAGCTAGCTAGCAGTTGTTATAAATTCTTTATTGACATGACTTAAAAAGTTTTCAATTCCTTTCCTTTTTCTTGTTCTTGTTGGTGCAGCTGGATGACTGGGTTTTGTGTAGGATTTACAAGAAAACTGAGAAGCCTGTCAAAAATCAAGAGCAACATTCGACACGGAGATACCAGCTCCGTTTTGGTCCAAATGATGTGGCTGCTACAGATGCTGACTGCAACAGTGGTACTGATTCTTGGGAAAATCCAAGGCAGCAACAGAATATAACTCCTTTAGCTGGATTTGCTGATGCCGCTTACTTCCGCAACGGTTATTCTGCAGCCCAAGTCCCGATTCTATCAGCCACTTATGAAGATACTGTCCCATTGCTTCTGAGTTCTGACTTTCCTAAAGGGTTACAAGAAGAATCATGGAATCATCCCACTTCTCATTTTGATCTCGCTGATACATTTTGTTTGTATGATAGCATGGAAGATCGTCTTGAGGCCATTAATAGTTTTTCAAACAACCACCCAGCTGTGAATCTCCATATCAATCCTTCTGCTTCCTCCACAAATTCTGCAAGCAGTGGTCTGTCAACATCAGCAAAGACTGTTCCCCAGCATCTACCTAAGTGGTTTTAGTAGAAGTCGTCAGCCTTTTCTTCATCTAACATCTGTTTACGTTCGATGAGCTGATGAATTTTCTGGTTTTAGGAATTTAGTGTGTAGACGTCTTAGTAGCCAGCTATATATGGTAACGGATTTTCGAGTTCTAGGAATTTTATGACATAGTCTATTGGCTTTAGTTTTTCAGCGATACTGTGTTGATTCATTATTCCATGGATATGGTTTGAACATTAATTCAGAAGTACTTACATAGGGCATCATGATCACATATAATTTAGCTTAATTTGTTCTGTTTGAACCACAACCAAATCTTGCATTGAGTTTTTGATCTTTCAGCACTTAGCCAAGGAACCAAGTATGAAAATCCTTTCAAGAAATCAAACGATTTGATTTAACTACAATGTTGTAGCAACTCATTTTAGCAATACTTTTGACTTTCTCCACCATATAAGAACGAACCTTAAAACTACAGTACTCAAAAGCTGTATATCTACTAAAGTTACAAGAAATTACAAGCTTACATTTCCCACCTTCACTGTTTTCTAACCCATTGGTTATATTATAAAGAAACTAAAACAAAATTAATATTAATTAATTTTTATTTTACACCTAAATTTTTTAAATTATTTAAAATATTGAATTGATGATTATTTAATCTAGTTTAGTCTATCACAAAGATGTCCTCCTAATCTTCCTTCTCTTTAACGCCATCGAGATTATCTTAGTCTATCAAAACTTTCCTCCTCATCTTCCCTCTCTATAACGCCATCGAGATTATCTTAGTCTATCAAACTTTCCTCCTCGTCTTCTTTCTATTGAAAGCCGGATATCTATAAAAACTAAAACGTGGATTAATTTGGAGTTAAGTGTTCCAACAAGCCCACAAAACGGATATAAAAGACAAGGTAAAATGCATCAAAGCCTTTTGTATGATTGATCAAAGCATAAAAGTCTTTAAACAAATTATTTAATGAAAATAATCCCTGAAGAAAATTAATAGAGATAAATTTTTTTTAAAGTGAATTTAGGTTTTTATACATTTTTTTTAGGATAAAATATGTCAAGTCCTTCTACAACTAAAGCAAAAATAATTTTTTAACAAATTATTTAATGCAAATTGGATTTTTCTATTAAGTAGAATGAGGTATCACTGCTAGACATGTGATTTTACTCGATCCAAACTGAAAGAAACCTAATCAGCTAATCTGCTTATGTCTCTAAGAATTAGTAGAGGAGCAATAGTGCTATTCAAAGTTGAGAAGTTAATTTTCAATTATGCTTGTTTTGGTGTCATTTGAAATGGGATAACTAAAGCTATTAGAATCATGTTATTGTCTCGTTAAAAGCTTCTACTTCAGTTTTTGTTTCATAAGTACGTAGGTTGTTGCACATTTCTGCAGCAAGGTATTGAATTTCAACTTTTTTAGTTTTGGAGGAAGGTAGAGAACTTGTCAAGTTAGATTTGCATATGTTGGAATTCAAGTTATCATCTTACCAAATAAGCATAGTTGGAAAATGTATAAGAAATCCAAAAAACCAAGACCTAAAATTAAGAACTGCAGTGGTAATTATTGGGATCCCCACAAACTAAACATGGACTTGTTCTCTAGTGGTGAGTGCTGACATTTGAAGTTTGGCTTTCTCTTACAGTCAATGTAGTTTGATAGGGGAAGGGGTGAAATTTGTTGAATTTTCAGAAGTTAAAGTTTTCCTGCACAGGGTAGTGCAGAGGGACAACTGCTCTACCATTTTGTCTCGCCAATGGAGATGAATTTCCAATATCTCTAAAAGGTGAGCGTTTCGTAGCATTATGTCCACTGGTGCAGGCGTGTGGCTTTCTTCCGCCATCACTAAAGAACTCCTTCTGCTTGCGACAATCATCATTAGTATTACGGTTTTCCTTCAAGCGACAAACCAATACTCGCTTCTCCGTCTCATTTAGAGCCTCCAAAGAAACGGGTGGTAAATTTTTAGACCTCGATGCTGCTCTAGCTCTTTCCTTCCTCAACCTCTCCAGCTCTACTTGAAGCACTGCTACCTGATTTCGTAGCTCATTTTCCTTGGCTTCAGAAGAGAGGGCTTTCTGTCTCCATTCTTGCACCTGTAGAAACCAACATTGTTAATTTTGTATAAATGCAAAAAGTTGACAAGCTTAGGATCAAATGTTGTCGGATCAGTCGTTTTACCCTTAACTTGAGTACCTAAAGTCCCATTCCACATCTCCCAGACTCATCAATTCATAAGCCATCAGCATTTGAAGATAAAAACTAAAGAGGCTATTATTCGAGGCTGTCCACTTTTACCTTTCTTGTAATCCAAACATTGATAGTTGGAATATTTTTGAATGTTGGATATTGTAGAAAATGCAAACTTTGAGGGAAAAAGAGTGTTCACTGCCAAAATTGTTCCGGCATAACAAGTTTCAGGAAGTTACCGAGCCAAAATCTAAAATAAATAAACTATGACTTGCAAATAAGCTCATATCAGGACTCGAGAGCTGTAATTGAAATTGAACTATTTGGTATGTTCCATAGTATTTTGACTGATGCAGTTCCAGTGGGTAGTTTCACTGTCTTGGAGATAAAGAAAGAAGCAGAAACAGAATATAAAAAAATAGACGACATGAAGAGTGGTTTCTTACGGCAGAATTCAGGGATTGAACTTGGCAATCAGAGTCAAGTGCTCGGTCTTCCCAAAAATCTCTAGAAGTCTGCAACTCTTCCATCTCATTCCTGACTTGCCCCAGCATCTCTTGCATCTGTGACCATTGCTCTGTCTCAGCCCGAACTTGCTCTATGACTCTCCGCACAATAACCTTGCAGCACCCAGAGCATGCTTTCTTCTCTTCCCCAGGCTTTGTCTCCTGCAGAAGAATTTTCATCAACATTCAGGCAACAACCTTCCATCAATTATGGATACCTATTTTATGGCATCCATAGAGCATTTGATATTAAAATCCTACAAAGTCAATGAGCTGACTCAGTTTTTGCGGGTCATTAAATAATTATAATGCGTTGTTTAAAGTTTTCACAGACCTAGCTGAAATTGATTACGAGTGTCACTAAATCTACGCTTAGACCCGGCTTGGTTTGCTCAAGAATAGGAAAGAGAATGAAAACCATTTCCACTCCCTGTATATTAGGAAGAGGGTTTTAGCCATGCTTGTTTTCCACTCTTGGCCTGGCTCAAACACAATCAACTCTGTGAACCAAATTTAATGTAGTCAAATCATGGGAAGTGTCACGATAGGCTTTGGCTGCTATAGATCGACGGAGACCTATCTCTAACCAGTAAAGATGCTCCCTCTCTTCCTAAAGTCTATTAGCAGTTACCTTAAAATTATTCATTACTTTGTCCATTCATGCAATTCTTATTGAATAATTCATAGTAATAGTCAAAACTAACAGATTTAACAGTGGATTTTCACCTTGCATGGTTGTCTTGCTGAAGATGAAGGCATATTGGAAAATTCAGTTCTCTTGGAAGTGGAGGCAGAATTGGCAGCAGAACTGTTGGCTGTAGAGAGCATCGACCCATACTCATCTTCCATTCTCTCTAACAAGCTTCCATTCGACAATCCCTCCATTTTCCTTCTCAGTATCTCCATCTGCTGCACAATGTTTTCTTCTAGAAATTAGCCATACGCATATGCAAAGTTAACTATGACATAATAAAGTTATTCCTGTGGTGTCCCTAAGTTTTCTTGGCAACTAAACAGGCATATGCTAATCTGTTTGCTTCAAGAAAATCAATTAAAAGAAAACTAAAGCGACACTGATAATAGCGACAATTCACCTTGCATAATGCACTAAAATTGAAATTTTGAGACAGGTAAAAAACTCTGCTCGGCTGACTATAACAAAACAAGTTGACTTCATAAAAGTGAAATGTTCATTCATAAATCTAAACAATAGAAGAACTAGTTTCATTTAGCTGGTTTTCTTCCAACAGAGAAGATAATGTAAATGAAAAAATCTTTCGCAACTTAAATGCAGATGACGAGATGGTATAATGACCATAGGATTCATATCTAATAGAAAAAGGAGGAGAGGTTAAACATTACATTGCAACCGCGATTTGAAGCAAAAGTCTCGTGGACACTGCAATTTGTTTTGATGGACAAGCTTGCTTCTGCCATCTCTTGGATCTCCTTAACACATATCTCGTCCGATTCTCCTCCAAACTTCTCTAGCCGTCTTTGAAGAAGAGATACTTGTCTATCTAAATTACTACACTTTCGACCCTCTAGATCCTTAACTCCTGATCTTCTTTGCAACTTCTCTAGCTTCTCAATCAATTCATCCAAAACCATGCTCACATCCTTGCCATCACAAATCCCTTTTCTCCCCTGCAAATATATCATCATACTAAATTGAGAAGAAAAAAGAAAAAGGTCTTGTGCACTTAAACAATTAAATTAGGCCCAAGATTGCATCCTTTAAAAAACAATTCTTGTATTTTCTGTTGTTCAGTTACCAGCACCAGAGAACTTATTAAAAATCCCTCCTTGTACGTTTCCCTTGCCCATACTTTCTTGGCTTCCAGCCAGAGCACTCTGTTTGGCTGCAGAGTATCACAGAACTGTCCAAACTAGAGATAAAGGCCTAGTCAATATTAATCAAGAACCTGACACATGAAGAGAGAGCAAAAATGTAGACTAATAGCTGTGTCAAGCTTGCTTGAGTCGAGGCAGAGTTATACCAAGTTTCATGCCTAAAGTAAATCATTTTATTTTGCTATTTCTCAATAATTAAAATTTTAAACTCTCATGCAATGATGTATTATTATTTTCTTTACCTTCAATTTTTCAAGAATCAATCATATCATTAAAAATGTTAAAAACCGAAATGAAAACAGCAACTAAAGCTACGAAAGATGAAAAGAAGTACTAACGGAAAGCAGAGTTTGAACTGCAGATCTCAGAATCCTCTCCATTTGAACCCTTCTTCTCTCCATCTTCTTGATAGCAATCTCTCTCTCCATCCTTAGCAAATTACACTCCGCCCTCAACATCTCGGCTTGAAACCTCCACTTCTCCTCCTCCATCACCACACTTTCCCTCTCCTCGACTCTCTCCCTCCTCTCCTCCTCAAAGCACTGATCCCCCCTGCTACCACTAACCATTATAATTGGCATAACCCCTCTTGCAAACCCTCTTTCCTGATCAAACAAAGCCTCTAACTTCCCTTTCTTGTCTCTTTGTGAACTTTGTCTTGTGGCATTGGCCTTTGGCACTTGTGGTTTCCTGCGAGGCCTGCGAGGTAAATGGAGGATTCTTGGTGTTGGTTGGGCTGGAGGGTATTGCCATTTTGGCCTCCTTGTTGTCAATGTTGTTAGTGTTGATACTTTATCCATGCAAGAAGCAACAGCTACTTCAGTTCTTTCTTCCTTTTTTCTTTTTTGGTTTTGAGATACACTTTGGTTTATTGTCAAAGAAAAGAAAAGAGCTTCAACTTCAAGATTTGAACACAAATAATACTACTACAAGTCGACAACAACTTCGTTTTCTATTGGTAGATACAGGGTAGGAGAGAGACTTAGGAGTTTTGAACAGAAATTTTTGGTACTAACAACTTCCCTTTTTGGTTTGAAAATTACTGGTTGTTTGTTTGTTGTATTATGTAGGAATTGGCCAGCTGAGAAGTGGGTTCTAGTTAAAGTGACAGTTTGAAGCTAGGGAGAGAGAGAGGTCAGAGTTTGGACTCTTGTGACAGATAATAGTACTCCTTCTAAACTTTAGTTTTGATTAAGAATTTGAAAAAACTTCGACAATGGTTGATACCTGATACTTCTGTGGTTTTTAGAGTGAAAAAATAATAATTCAACCCAAAATGTACCAGCTTGTCACTGGTTTCGAATTGAAAAGAGAGGTTATTAATATTACAGAGGACCCTAAAGAGCCTACACAACTATTACAGAGGCTTATACTCCACTATTCTATAGGTAGCGAGCCTATAGGTGGTTTTAGATGATGTAAAAGATGGGTTCAAGCCAAAAAATGCTTTTTTAATCTGAAACTGAGATAAAGAGAGGTTAACGGGCACCAAATTTGTGTACTTGGTATGTTATGCCTTATGGGTTCGAACTTGAATGGGTTAGTTAAGGGAGAGAGGGAGAGAGAGAGAGAGAGAGGAGCAGGAGAGGTTAAGACTACAGGCGTGCAACCTCGTTATGTGGAAGGAACAGAGATTTCAAATGAAAGCTGTGCTGTGAGTGTTTCTTTCTCATATGCTGCTTAATTAATTTCGTCTCCTTGGACCTTGCTTTCTTATAGAAAACTGAGAAGGACGTATAGTTAATGTTGCATGTTCTTCCACTTTAACCAAAAACAAAAATGCTGCATCTTCCCCTTCCAGTTTTTCACTACTTTTGCTCTTTACTTTTTTATCTAGCTAATGGACCATGAAAGATAAATCTGAAGGCAACTGATTGAATAGCAGTACTGCTCAAATCTTTTATTTGGAGATAGAAGGGAGATTAAACAAATTAAACATTTATTCTATTTAAAAAAAAAAAAACTTTTTTAGACCCATCGTCTGACATGCAGTCTTTTCATATCAAATAGTTAGGACATACCATTTATTTATACGCATCTCTTGTTTCTCAGAAAATTACAATGGCATTGTGAGATGGCTTGTCCTGTTCTTGAAAGAAAAAACACTTCTTTTTTCCCCCTTTTTGCCTAAAAATGGAAAGAAATGGTGCAATAATTTAGAGGGTGTAAGAAAGTTCACATCCATTACTATGTACTGTTAATTGATGCATGCAAATCTTGCCTCACACTTGAAATCGAACACATGATGTGGTAAGGAAGAATAAGTGCATTAAATAATAGGGGAGGTGGCATAAACAGGTTCGAATTCAAAATAAATAAATGAATTTGGATTTGGTTCCCGAGCAGCTTAATTAATTAAAAAGAGAAATCAAGTAAATAATGGAATGCATATTCAAATTTAATACTAGCTTTTAGGGACAACCAAAATAGCTACCCGAACTATTAATTCATTTCGACCACAAAAGTGTTCCTACCTACCTTTTTTAAAAAAAAAAATCATGAATCACTGGATTTATTCTCAATTAAACATTTTGAAAGTTAATAATCATAATGGCATTGAGGTACTTTTAATAAATGCGTCTAATAAGAGCCTAATCACAGCATATCTTGTAGTATTATGACTCTAGGCTTCTAGGGTGCATGTTATGGAAATTGCTGAATTTTGTGGTTTCTTTTAATTCTCTGGTTGACTAACTTTTTTTTTCTTTAAACAGGGATAAGAATTAAGAAGATGGGTACTTTGAAATAAGTTTTGACATCGTCGAATTAATTTTAAGAAGATCGGTGCTGTGAAATAATCATAATTTTAATTCCATTGATGGTATTTATGCTATATAACGATTGACTAAAAAATTAAATTATATCGCAAGAATATATCATTTTGGGTACAATATCACAAAATCAGAATGAGTTAATTTAATGTGTTTCGAATTAATTACAACTTTTGTGAGAATTAAAAGTTAACGTTCAAAAACATTCACACATGACAAGGGGGACATATGGGGGAGTGTCCAATTCAGCGTCACAACGGAAGATGATTATGCTAACGTGCCGTTAAAGTTCATGTGTTAGTAATTATTGTTTAAGTAATAATACCATTCTGTTTTGTATTTATTTATTAAGTGTGGTTTCACATGGATCATTTTCAACAACAGTACTGACAATCTCATTCCTCAGCCTTCTTTTGCTCTCTCTCTCTCTCTCTCTCGGTGGCTCAGTGTCTGAGTCATTGCGATTCTCTTGATTTTCACGTCCCTCTTTTTGTTTATCGTTTTCAAAGAAAAGCACCCAAGCCCAAAGAAGCTTTTGTCCTTGGAAATATTAATGCATTTGCCGGTACAAGAGACAGAGTGAGACATGCAACCATGTTTGAATCAACTAAGGGACCACTCCTAATTTCCTGTTCCTTAAATTACCAAGTGTTCTTATCTTATACATGACTTGTTTTGGCATTGCCCCATCGTAAGTAGGGTTATTCTACACGTTATTATTATTATAAATGGTAGGAGATTTATAAAGGAAAAAAACCTATATATGGTGAATGCTTGCATTAATTTCAATGTAAATAGTGCTTCAACTATATATATATATAACTTAATCTCAATAGATAAAAACTCGTTTCAAAATGTATACATATTATCAAATTGAATTATTCAAATTAATTAAAAGGTTTTTCTTTTCTTTCCAAACGCTTCATGCGTGGCAGGTAAGTAGCTGGTATCAAATTGTATTTATTATAAGCACCATGATCGTGTGGGAGAGAACTAATTAATTTAAAAACAGTATTAGAGAGCAGATCTTTTTTTTTTTTTTTTCATAAAGGCTCTATTCTTTCAAAAAAAAAAAAAAACAAGTGGAAAAATGGTACTTTCTCTTGAAAAATGCTATCGCAAACTATTATTACAACCCCCTAAACCAGTAATTGCAAGCACATTTATCAAGTCACAATTTTTATTTTTTATTTTTTATCAAGCTGCAAATTCACTGTCATTATATTGAATGGCCAAAATGATATCTCCTCGTAACTTTATAATGTCAAATTTTACCGTTAAGTATAGTGTTTTCAAATAAAATATATATATATATGTTCTGAGTAATTTATATTCAGTAGTAAAAACGAATCTAGTAAAGTACTTAAGTTCCAGTAAACAAAGTTAAGGAATGGTTAGTTTATTATCTTTAATTAAGTAGTACGTTTAGTCTTTTAAGATGCTACTACTTGTCTGTGAATATTACTTGGGTTTTAATTAATACAACAAACCTACAGCATATTTTGCATGTCTAAAAACGCTCAAGTCAATGCCATTTTATAATAATGACTTAAGTGGTTGTAATTTAATCAGGCGCAAAGGACGATTTTGTCGCTTATAGTGGAGCTAGTTTATGCTCTTGCCCTCTCTCCTGCGAACGCCAAGTCAGCGTGGAATCATCACCATTCTGCTTGGTATCCCGTTGGAAGCCTTTGACCATCCATCCCAATCTTGTCCTCTACCATGATTGCCTTATAATTGGATTTTAACAATGGCGCTGTAAAGTGAAGAATGGTTCCAGTTTCTTCAACTTTTGCAAATCCAAATCTGTAACAATCTTTTTTATAAATTCTTATGGATCACCAGCCGAATTCGTAAATATCAAAGTTAGCTGTACGTCTATGTAAAACCTGTATTTAAAGGATATGAATTAAAATTCTTGATCATACAAATAAATAAAATGATCGTATCTTTATTTAAAATTAAAATGTAGTAGGAGTACTTCTTTGTTTCTTGAGATTTGGAAAATCAACATTTTCAAAGTAGAAATTGATTGTCCTTCGTATAAGGAAAAGAAAAAAGAAAGAAAGAAAGATATGTCTGTCTCCTAAAAGGCTATGAAGCAAGCACGTGTTGATTGATGATTCTCCGATTATTTGAGTTGGGCCCTGAATTATTCGTGTTTTGTACAGAACCAGCACCATTGGATGGCTTAGTAATTAATGAGCCTGATCTTTTGGGCCCATTAAAAGTATCTTCTCTGCCTCTAAGCGACAAAACACAACACAACACAACAATTTTTTGAAAAATAAAAAACCTCTTAACAGGATTCCTCAACAATTTTTTTTACTTCAAACAAGCTTTATTTCTTTTATATATATATATATATATATATATATATATAAATTAAAATAATATTTATTTTAAATAACATGTGAATTACACATATTTACTTATAAAGAATCAAAATACCATTAAAAAATGGTTTAAAAAAATCAAATTATACCAATATTATGATAAAACATAATATATAATACCATAAAATTATAATGAAGAAAAAATGGCCCTTGATAGAAAATTTGTGAAAAATCAGAAAATCAAAATTGTAAATTAAGAAAAGAGAGAGAAAAGGCACACAACAACAAAATTGCTCTTTTTTTTTTCCTTTACAACCATCAACGCACAACCAAGAAACAAGACAGTCTTGCAGTTGTGTTGTCTTTGGAAAGCCAATACTTATAATACAAGTACAAAACTTAAGCAGTTCAAACAGATAAATTAAAAAACGAGGCATTCAAATTTTTTTAAAAAAAGATAAAATATTGAATACCAAATATGTAGTTTTATTTCTCAATTTCTTAAGCCTCAAGGATTGTCAACTTTTACACATCGATTTAATTATTTTATTATTATTGCTTAAATGGAAAATAAATTCTTTCATAAAAGAATAAATAGAGGATTTTTTTTAAATAAAAATAAATTCCATAAAAGAGGTAATAAAATAAATGGAGGAATCGGCAAAATTTTGGTAAAAGATTTCAAAATTAATTCAATTATTATTATTATTTCTTTGACATAAATATGTCAGATCATAGAAAATTTGCAGGCCTAACCAATTAAAATCCTGGCTCCTAGAGGTGCATTGGTTATACGCACAAATGAAAGGTAACCCTAAAGGAGAAAAATCACAGCCAGGGGAGTGAGTTGGACAGATGGCAGGTCAACAAGGATGCATCATGCATGGCATTATCAACAGTACTCGCTCTTCGTTTATCAAGAAAATTTGTCCGTCTTATCACAAATTTCAAACTTGGTACTGTAAGGCATGAAACATTGAAACAGAAGAAAGCCTCCCCATATATATATATATATATATATATATATATATAGCTAATTACCTGCAGCAAGAAATATTGTTAATTGAACTGCGTATTAGAATAAAAAAGTATGTAATGTGTTATATATCTCACAAGCAACAGCCAATATAGATAGCCATTTTTGTTCACATGCAATCCAATAAAAATTAATCAGATGGATAGATTAATAATATCTAAGACACGGTCTTGAGGATTTGATCGACACGATTCTTGTGGTTATGGACAATATGCATGGTTGAAAGGTTGTTACATGTTTATCCACACAAAGGTGTATGTATATAAGGTGGAACTTCCGGGCTTGATACATGAAAAGGAAGGGCTCATCTTTGTTAAGGAAAATTGTTTCGTCATCAGAAACCATACCAACTTTTTCAGTAGTAGTATTGAATCAAAAGAGTAAACAACAAGCACTCGAGAGAAAAGTGATATTATGGGTGCCTTTGGAGCACCAAGATGTGGTCTTCGGGAGAAGGAGGGGTTGTCGTTTGCAAAACTTTAAAGAACAAATGGGAACGAACCCCATTAAAAAAACAACCAAACTATTCATGGCTTCCTTTTTTTTTAACCAAAAAAAAAATAATTGATATTTCTATTGAATGTATTGATGAAACGGAGGGGGTGTGCCGTTATATTGTGCTCATGCTCATTAATCTATTGTGTAGATCCCATAGTCTTATTAAATCTTATTCCATAAATAAGATTATTTTGAATTTTAATATAAATTTAATTTCAAATATTGTAACTATTATACTACATAGTTAGAGTATTTTCATCATGCAATCCAATGATTATGATAAATTATAAATTACTCTCTTTTTTAGATTGAATTAATTAATACCCCTTATTTCAAAAATTACTTATTTAGTCTTTATATTTTTAAATTTTCATATAACTTAATATTTTTGTTTCTTTTTAATTTATTCTGGATTTTTATTTTAAGAAATAGAAAAGAAAAAAATATGAAAGAATTTATGAGAAAAGATGAAATTTTTTAAAATAAACTAAATAATTAGCAAAGCGAAGAGACTAATTAATTTGTTTATAAAAAATGAAGGAACTAATTTATAATTTACTCAATAATTATTTAGAACTTCAAAGTCATTTTTAATTGAAAAAAGTAAGATATAAAAGTAACGTAGAACCACCGTAGATTGTTTTGAAATGGATCCATTAGATTCCAACTTGTCATAAATATAGTTGGGCATAAGTATGATAATTTCATTTGATGTGTTAGGTATTTGGTGCCATCCAATTCGATTGGATCGAATTTTTATTTGATTTGATGGAGATTAAACTGAAGAGTACAGGTTAAATTCAATTTGATTTGAAGGTAAGTGGGGTGCTAGGGCGGATGACGATTTCACCTGCTCTGACACCCAACTTGATTTTTTAACAATTTTTTTTTTTCATTTTATTGAGTGGTAATTTTATTTTTTAATGTAATGTATGAATTGTTATTCTATGATTATTATTATTATTATTTTTTTTTGGATTTTATTCGTGCATTTGAAATTTATCCTTTATTTTTATGATTTTATGATCCATGGTTGAAGATTTAGTCTGTTTTTAATATTAGATTCTATTTTTTATAAAATTGATTTGAAAGGAAAAAAAATCTGGATTGGATCAGATACTAATTAGGTACCCCATTAAGTGGAGAATGTCCTCCATTCGATCCGATCCAACTAAATTTTTAGTGAAGATAGATGATGACATGAATTTGAATATTTCAAATAAAATTTTAAGTGGATATGAATGATGAATTTAGATATTTCAAATGAGCAACAAATCCGTCCCATCCAATCCATTACCATCTCTAGTTAGGTAAATCGAGGTTTGCTTCCCTCATCAACGAGAGTGAGCCAATGCCATTTATGATTAATTTTATTAACAATGCAACCACTATGGATGTAAACACAAGCATCGAATGCCCTGGCATTTACCCTAAACTTAGCAACCCGATCCTACTTCCATTAGGGTCCAATAAAGCCTTCAAGAAATCAGGATCATAGCTTTTGAACCATTTAAGTTGAGGTGCTGTCTTGAACATAATTTTAAATAACTCCCGTTACGTTAGGTAACGATCGTTATATAATAATTTTGAAACATCTTGTTATCGTTATTTTAGTATTATAATAAACTACGATAATGACCGCGATCATTTTTTTCACCCATTCATTATTTAAAATTATGATTTTGAATACTCTTTGCTTATGTCAAATATAGGTGTTAGTAAACTGCTAAGTAATTTTTTTCTTAAAAAATTAATTGGATAGTTAATTTGATGATATCTTGACCCAATTATACTTATTAATGAACTTGCCAAATGATTTATCGTTTTATGAAACTTGGTGTTGTTTTCAAGTTTAATTTCAAGACGTCGTCGATCAGGTGCTTAACTACTTCATATGAACTCTTCTTTCACCTATAGCTATTTTATAGCATTTGCATTAGAAGAACTTGTTTTTCATTCATAGTCAAGGTATTATGCACGTACAAATTACAACGAAATATTTATACTTTCAAGATCATCAAAGCGAAAGTGCAATGTTAAAATGGGTTCTTCAAATCTTAATATAGTTATTTTCCACTCAGTCAAAAAGAAAATGTGTTATGAAAATGGAAATAAAATTTCAAGATCAGTTAAAAAAAAAAAAAAAAAAGAAGCCCTTTTAATTTACTAAAAAAATTACGTTCGCATAAATTCCATATCCTATTCTATAAAAATCTTATCACTTACGTGTCTACATAAACAACCTTAAGAAATAGCATTGTCAAATTCCCTGCTATGTCATTTCTTGTGAACATAAAATGTGAGTGATGAAAGATGAAATAATACAACTTGATGGCATTCAACTGGAGAATTGACTTATTATCGCTTTCTCATATTAACAATATTGGTACGTTTAACAAGTTACCTTTTTACAAGAAGAAAATAACAGTAAAACCATCTTGATATTCTAGTTTTGCACTTTTTTTTCTATCATGTGAACCGTCAACTTTTTAATTAAGATTATTATATCGATATATAGCAACTTGAAAAAGAAATGCTTAGTAAGATATAGTAAATGAAAAGCCACCAAGCTAAGTTTTTTTTACTATTATTTTACGAGTGTTATACTTTCATTATATCGATATGTAGATTGGTCCAACATTAAAGACAGAAAAAAAAAAAAAAAAAAGAATGGGAACACTCTAAAAAGAAAAAGTCCAGCAAGATTTCAAGCTTATAAAAAGGGTAGCGCAACCAGCCTAAAGCTATTGAATTCTAACAAGCTACCAGTGTTTAAGTATATATTAATTATCTTATTTTGGAGAATTTTTTTATTCAAAGTTAAAAATCATTCATTCCTAACATATTAACTTTTTTTTAAAAAAAAATTTCAAGAAGTTGCCCAAGTAGTCGAGGAGGTGTGCTTCATTCCTTTATTTTCTGGATTCAAACGTTAGAACAAGCATTCAGGGAAATTAAAATGCTCAAATCTTACATCATTTCTTGACTTTGTCAACTCTTAAGATTATTTGAAGAGAAAAATTTCGATTGATATATAAATTGATTTGATAATACTATTATTATTAAACTAATATAAACTGATCTCATAATACTTTTACTAACGAACCCAACACACACATGCAAAGGAGAGGAGACCACTTTTTGGTGTCAAGTTTCTAAAGATGTGTTTCTGAATCATTAATCTTTAGATTTAGACTGCCATTAGCTCATCTTTTTATCTAGTGAACATTAAAGATATCAAAGAAATGATTGCGTAGATTATTTAAAATCTCAAAGCAATATTTAAAAAGGATAGTTATTAGAAAAACCCTTTAAAAAATCCATAAATTTGTTTTTAAATTTCTTAAATCTAAAATAATAGTTTTTTTTTTTTTTATCAAAATACATAATAGTTAACCCCCAACTTAACATTAGTTAACTATTGAATATTTTGATAAAAAAGTTATTGCTTTGGGTTTACAAGATTTAAAAATAGAATGATGGGCTGTTTAGATTAAAATATATATATTTAAAATTATTTTCTAACAACTATCTAATAATACCCTTATTTCATAGTTTTTTATGAGTCTTATACTGGCTTTTTTTTTTGAATCATGATTAAGTTCAGATTCTTTCTGATTATATATCTTCGAAAGAAAAAAGAAGTTTCTTGAGATTCTTAGATTGCGAATACACTAACCTTCGGCTATTATTTTCTTATTACACTATAAAAATTTTTCATTATGAGTTTTTATTTTTTTTCTATCGATCGTTTATTTCATCAACTAAGGAATTAGTTTTATTACACAATAACTATAGCGAGATGATGCAATTTAATTAATTAATATGATAAATGAGACTCATGTTACCCTCTTGCAATTTAATTTAGCAAGTATCATACAAATAAGAAAACCAAGAATATGTATGGTAATGAAAATTAGTGATCTGTTAAATACTCATATATTGATATAAAAAAAAAAAAAATAGAAGGCACCTTTAATAGTACTAGTTTTTAGTTAATTAAAACTTAGCACTTTTTATTTAAATTACGCTATAAATGAATAACATATCTTGATGCATTAATTAAATAGAATATAAACATCGATAATAGAAATACATATCTTAGAAAATAATGGTTTCATTTAAATTAGGAATTTTTACTAAAAAAACTATCTAAAAACCAATTTGTTTTTAAACCTCTCAAATTTAAAAGAATATTTTTCTTATCAAAACACCAAATAGTTAACTAGTATTAAGTTTTTGGATTAATTATTATGTATTTTGATAAGAAAAATATTTTTTTGAGTTTTAAGATATTTCAAAATAAATTGTTGAGCTTTTTGGATAAAAAATTATCCCTATTTAAAATTCCTTGCAATTCTTCAAACATACAGTAAAAGAAATTTTACATGAAACCAGCCCTCCACTCTACTCTCTTCTTCTGCTGGGCCATCTCAATTTGCTCAAATAGATCCATCCTTAAGCCCAGTACATGCATCAAACAATTTCAGGCTCCGCCCACTTCACATACGAATTCCCAACATCTTTAAGACCATAGACCCATGAAAAACCATAAAAACCGCATAAATATATAAAACCCTATCACGCTGCGTCTCTTTTCTGCTCCCCACCTGCCGAAACCGCATCTCTTCCGCTCTCTGTCTAAACTCTAACCGTAATTTTGCAATCATGGCAGACAGAGGAGCAGGAGGAGAACGGGGAGGCGAACGAGGAGCCTTCCGCCGTGGATTCGGCGGCCCACGTGGAGAACGCGGAGGACGAGGCGGTCGCCGCCGTGCTCGCCGTGACGAAGAGGACAAATGGATCCCGGTTACCAAGCTGGGCCGTCTTGTTCGCGACGGAAAAATCCGATCTCTCGAACAAATTTACCTTCACTCACTCCCAATCAAAGAATATCAAATTATTGACACTCTTGTTGGACCGGGCTTGAAGGATGAGGTCATGAAGATCACTCCCGTTCAGAAACAAACACGTGCCGGTCAAAGGACCAGGTTTAAGGCCTTTGTGGTTGTTGGCGATGGGAATGGACATGTCGGTTTGGGAGTTAAGTGTTCGAAGGAAGTTGCCACTGCTATTCGTGGTGCAATTATATTGGCCAAATTGTCGATTATTCCTGTGAGGAGAGGGTATTGGGGTAACAAGATTGGGCAGCCACATACTGTGCCTTGTAAGGTTACTGGGAAGTGTGGGTCTGTAACTGTAAGGATGGTGCCTGCTCCTCGTGGTGCGGGGATTGTTGCGGCGAGAGTGCCAAAGAAGGTGCTTCAGTTTGCCGGGATTGAGGATGTTTTTACTTCATCTAGAGGGTCTACTAAGACTCTCGGCAACTTTGTCAAGGTTTGATCTTTTCCTTTTTTTTATCAGTTTATTATGCCTTTGATTAAGTTAATTTGCTTATATGGAAGTGAATGATCATAATGGTTGATTAGGTGGATCTTTTCTTGATTTGAATTGTGTTGGTCTGGTTGATTATCTACGATATATCGATTGGAGCGTTAATGTATTATCTTTGTTTTTATTTTTATTCTTGATTTGTTTTAATCCCTTTTCATTTACATCTTGATGATCTTCATTGAAAGTTTTGAACTGTAGATCAGCTGGAAGACTAGAGTAAAAGGTTCTATTTTTCTTTTGTATTTTTTTGGTTCTCTGTAATGCCTTTTCTTCCTTGTTTAGCGACATTAAGAAATAGTGAACAACTAATTACAGATCACCCATCTATAGTTGTTTTTTGGTTGTGTAATGCCTTTTCTTCCTTATGTAGCGACATTAAGAAATAGGGAACAACTAATTAGAGATCACCCATCAATAGTTGTGTTGATGCTTTTGAGCTTTGAACCTGAGAGTATAACTTTCATTAGAGCAAGGAAACAATCTAATAAAGCGAGAAGGGTGAACTAGCAATTTACAAATACTCTGCTGCTTGGTAGCAGTTAAGAGTCAGCTTTTTGTCTTCCGTGCTGTGTTTATGTTTAATCTCAACGAAGTCTTCTTTTATATGTATTTTCCACTTAGGTAATTAAGTTTGTGTGCTTAAGTTGTATGTTTGTTATATTTCTTAGAGCACACATTATCAAGTGATGTTTACTTGTTGCAACAAGTGGAATGTTTTGCTTGTGTTTGATTGCGTGGCTCTTGTGCGTTTACCCTTTATGGTTAATCAAGTGTTTTTCTGTAAGCAGTCATTGGCTGCGCACAGAGGAGGTTTTACATATGGCTTTGCCTTTTTGGGTTGGCCACTGTTTATGAATGTTTTTGACATGGTTGAACTCTGGAAGAGTGGTATGTGTGTGAATGCATGTGCATGTGTTTTTTTAACCAAAGTGTTTGGTATTCCTATCTTGACAATGCCAAAAATCATCACTGTTCTGCAATGAAATATACTTTTGTGTAATGATTGGAGAGAATGATATTTGTTCTGGTTAATTGCATCTCTTTTGCTTTATCAATTGTTCGAATTATTTCGTGGATGTACTTTGTGATGCAGGCCACTTTTGACTGCCTTTTGAAAACCTATGGTTTCTTGACGCCCGATTTCTGGACGGAGACTCGCTTTACCAAATCTCCTTTCCAAGAGTACACTGATCTACTAGGAAAGCCAACAAAAGTCCTCGTCCTTGAAGATGTGGAGAGAGTGGAGGCCTGATTTGGAGCCAGGAATTCTGAAAGATGAGGTCATAGGCCCAAGAATAGCATGATTGCTTATTAGGTTGTTAAGACTTCAAAGATGTGATCTTTTTTGTCTGCATTGTTCCATATGAGTTTTATTGTTTGCTCACGACTCTTTTTTGTTATTTTGACGAACTTGGATTTGTTAGCTGTTAACATTAGTTTAATGGTAAGTTTTTCCTTGATGCACACCTTCCGTGTTGTGTTCTATTTAAATTCTGCTGCCTGTGATGTTTATGTCTCTTCTCCAGTCTCCAATCGCAAGCAAGAATCTTTACATAAAAATTAATGTTGAAAGTGGTGCAAGTCGAAGGAGGACCATTGCATGCATTGCTAGAATTGTTGCCGTGACATGTTCAAATGGAAGGGATCTGTAAGACGTTCACTTATCATGCTTTCTAGCTTAATAACAGATCTGAGCTGATTCTAGGGTGGTGTTCTCTTGGTCGACGGTTATTTATCAGTGAAGTTCTAATTTTGTGGTTTGAATGAACATTGATAGTCCCGTTTGGGTTACGTAACTTGGAGGGGTGCGACGTACAGTTATCAACACTGCTGTTTTCTATCCCATGCGCTTGTTGGATTAGGATGGTGCTAGATGTTTATCACGATATGTTGCGGGTTCGATAAAATAAAATAAAATAATAATAATAATAATAATTAAATTTTAAATTTTTTAATTATAATTTGTTATTTAATTAAGTTTTTAATTTTTTATAAATTTTTTGTTTAAATAAAACATAAATTATTTTTCATTCTGAATTGATTTTAAAATTTTAAAATATAATAATTTTAATTAACATATGAATCAAGAGTTATAACAAATTTTAAAAATATAATTTTTATAATATTATGTTTCAAAAATTAAATTTATAATTAATGGATAAACTTTTGTAAAAATTAAAAAAAAAATCTTATTTAACGCTAATGAGAATATTAAATTTTAAAATTATTCATGAAACATTACAAGTAGATAAAATAAAATCATTTAAAGTTTTTATAATTTTTTCATTATTTTTATTTAATTATTACTTCTTTTTTTTTTTTGTGTTTCATAAAATTTCGCTTAGAAAAACATGATTTATTCTTTTTTTATTTAGGAATTCTTAAATAAAAACTTGTAATAATTTAAACCCGATATATTAATTAAGAATTCAAAAGCAAATACTTTAAAATTATATTATTTTTATAAGAATGTATCTAAAAAATAAAGTTACAATTAATATATAGACTTGCATAACAATTAACCAAATGAAAAAATAAAAATTTATTCTTATTTAATGTTGGAGAAGATTTTTTTTTTTCAAGTATATGAATTAGATCTATATGAATTAAATCTATATATATGTAACAATCCCGACCTAAGACCTCATAGGTCGAGAATATTAGCATCGTTAATCACATTCGAAGTGCAATGAATGTAGTTTAACAAGGTATTGTGATCTTATCGTAACTTATTTAAAAAGTTTTATGCGATGGGCGTCTAGTAAGAACGCTTAAGTCCTATTTCTTTATTAAAAAGCCGCTATGAATTTTTTTTCGAGTTTCCTTAAATTGCTTACGTTTATTCATTCACCTTGTTAGGTAGTCATTAATGTAATTCACTTACTAAATTATTCGTTACTATTTATTTATAATAATTACATAACTATTACTATTGCATCATTTCGTTATTACTCGGTTCGATTACACACCTTATTTATTTACACATAAGACTAGTTTTATGTCAATTACTACAAAATTAGTTTATTGGCTTTCACACCATTATCAAGTCATATCTCTTATTGTTTCATAGCCTTTACTATTGTATAGGATAGGCCGACTACATCAAGTACATATAGAACCGTAACTCGTAAAATAATTAAAAATAACATGCGAGTGGGTCTATCCGAAAATCGAACCCCCATTCAAGATACACAAGTCGGGTGCCTCGGTAAGTTAATGGATGGATGCAATACACAAGAAACTAGATTAGCTCCACGGAGAAGTAGGCTATAGTGGTTTACTTATTTACACCACAAGAAACTAGATGAGCGATAACTTAGTAAGTTAATGGATGCATGCAATACATGTTCATGTACGTATAGGTATGTAACACTCGCTTTATGCAAATTAACTCTCCTTTTTCCTCATGTCATAAAAGATAAAACAAGTCTAAAAATCCTTTTTTCGTCCGTGGACATGTTCCATTTAAATGCTTCGTGGTTTTCATAATATATGTCCGACAAACCTGGACCCGTCTACGGACGCGTCCTACCGAGCCTCTAAAAGTGCACATCCGCACTTGTCCGACCCCGAACCATTACCATTACTATATGAAAAACCCATGAGTCATTTCCTCAAAACCTCAAGTCATGGAAATCTTTTCCTTTAAATTTTATCATTGCTATCGGATAACTATGATATAAAATATATTTCCATAACTTAAAACATTATTCATGAGCTAAGCATGCGTATGCAATTTGCAATGAACCAAAGAACTGTATGAATTCATGAATGCTTACTTAAAATGGTTATATAACCAAGTCATAAGAATCAATATAAAATTGGACAAGCATAACGAAGATAGATAATATCAATCCAACATAAACCAACACAACTATCATTGGCACATCAATCATCATAACCCAATTCTCATCATCAATCACATTTAAGCATAACCATTATTCATAACCTAATGAATTCATGTAGCATTTGAAACATAACCATAACATAAAGGAAGATGAACATTTTTGCTCCATTTCTTTGTTCATTAAACTTACATTTCACTTTACTTTCCTAAATTCTTTTCCTTAGGTTCTTAATTATCTTTCCATATTGGGTCTTTACCAAATTAAGTATCATTTCATGTTCCAACCTAACTGGGTATTATTTCATTAATTTAGGAGGTTCAGTTTCGGTTTGGGTCTTAATGGATCTAAGGCTCAATTTTTCCTAACCCAATTTTTCTTTAACTTTTTATGAGCCTTTTTCATTCTAAACCATCATTTTACTGTGTTTTGAGTCCGAATCATCAATTTTAAGGTTTAAAACTTGGTTTAAAACTAATTTCCCAAAATTCCCATTTAGGCCTAAACTTAACCTCTTTAGAATCCTAACATTTTCTCCTCATGTTGTCCCACCATTTTAACACTAAGTAGCCTAGATATGTAAAAACTATAAGAATTAATTTAATTGAAATTTGGGACCCAAAATCTAGTCCAAACCCGTATTGGGCCTTAATGGGTTGAAATTGAGCCCAAGCCCATAAAACCCATTTTCTTCAACTTTTGATGAATTTTTCACTTCAACTCATCAAAATATACTTATTTAAGTGTATATGACTCACCAAACCAGAATAGGATTTCTTGGAATTCCAATCTTAAATTTCTTTAGTTTAGGCCGAATGGTTACCTTTAATTAACCTTAGGAATTTTTGAGTTTTCACCAAAATTTTCAAGCCTAATTAACTTGTTTTCATCTTAATTAGATGAATTATGAGTTCAAAATCATTTCCCCTAAATTTGGGTCACCAAGAACCCTAACCTTAATTTTTTTCTAATCTAGCAATTAAGGCAAATTCAAGTAATTAAACATGAAATTGACTTGAAATTAAATATTCTTGTGATGCAGGTGAGATTAACTTACCTAAATATGCTCCAATTAAACTTCAAAAGGTGAAGAATTTGAAAATTTCTCCTTCCTCCTTCCTCAAAATTCGGCCTAACCTCCCTTTTTTCTCCCTTGAATTTTTCTTGAGTTCTTAGCTTGATATCCTTACTTAGTAGGTTGATTTAAGGTGTGTAGGAGTCATTTTAGTAAGTTTTTGGTGAGTCTTTGGTGTGATTTTCCTAGGGAAATTTTTCAAGAGTTTCCTTTAGGTTTTTGTGATTTTTATGTCATTTTCATGCTCATCTATTTATAGGCAAATTTTTTTTTGAAGACTTTTGACTCCATCTTAACCATTGAAATTATGGTGTTTTGGAGTGATCTTAGTCATTGAATTTTGGTTAAAGCTTATCCCTCAAAATTGGACAATTTTAGGCTTTTAATTTTTTAAAAACTAAATCTCTCCACCTTGCATGTCTAATAGCCTTTCCTTTTTATTTAAGTCAAAGTGCATTAATTGTGGCTCAATCATGGAGCCAAATTTCGGCTAGAGCATGAAGAAAAGCCTAAAAAAATTCTTTAATTTTGGTCCCTCATTTCTTAATCTTTTTCCTTAATTACTCCTTTCACCATCCTTCAATTTGTCAATTGATCACTTCAATCCCTTCCTTAAAAGACATTTTAACAACTTTTAAACTCCTTAGATTTATACCTAATTTAATTTAGAAGTTCAAACTTTAAATTTTATGCAATTTAGTCCTCAATTTCTATGCAATTTGCCCCTTAACTCTAAATTTTTATTTTATAATTTTTTATATTTAATTTATTTCCATAATAAATTCAAGAATTTATTAATAGGGTTCAATCTAAATTTTCATAATTTTTGGACCTCATATAGGCCTCTAAATGAATTATTTAGTGTGAAAATTAGACTATTTCTTATAGAAAATATTCCTTACACCTAATAAAATTAATCTAAATTTATTAAGTATTCCTACAAATTCCCTAGGATTCTCCTATGCCCTTAAAAAAAATTCCTCATACTTCTAAGTCATCTAATTTAATTCTTTATCTCTAAAAACACTATTCGTACACTTAGAAAATTCAATGAAATATTCACCCTATGTGGAAAAATTCATAAAATCATATAAAATAATCTAACACCCTTCTAAAAATTATTCTAAACAAACAAAATATTTTTCATACACAAAAAACATGCTTTAATTAATTTTCTCATGCAATAACTACTATTCATGTATCGAAAAATCACTAAAATATTCTTTAAGCATGAAAAAACTATTTTGACCCTTCTAAATATTCTTTTAAATTTCTAGTAATTATTTCTCATTCTCATATATATATATATATATATATATATATATTTTCACACATTTTTAATATTAAACTTTTATTATATTTTTATTTTAGCGGGTACCGTGCATTACAATATATTTATTTACAAAATAATAAACAAAATTAGCGTAAAAAACTATATTTTAATGATTGGTTGGTTCCTTTAAAAACTTATTTTATTGATTTTATTTCAAATAAATTGATTTTATAATGTTGAAAAAATATTCATAGTAAATAATTTGTATTATATTGAAAGATGTATAATTAATTTTTAATAAAATCAATGATTTACTAATTTTGTTATATGTCTTTACCATACCTAGTGAATTGAAGCAAATTATTTGCAATACACTTTTAACCTTTTAGAATAAAATAATTATATATTTATATATGTGCAACTATCATTTAAAAATTTTAAGAATTTATGATATATATTACACGAATTTATTTTTTAAAAAAGAAAAAACAATCATGTTTAAAATTTTATTCTAAAATTCAAACATAGAGAAAAATAAATTATATTTATCAGTAAATAAAATCTCATATAAAAATTATTAATTGGATGAGAAGTTTATAAAAAATGATAAATTCAAATAATGAAATTTAACTGATAAGAGTAATACAAATTGAAGTATATGTTAAGATTAAAAAAAAGTTACAACACGAGGGACAAAAAATAAGAAAAAGTATTAAATTTGCATATTAATGCCTAAAAACGCACAAAAAATTGACACACAAAAATTATTTAAATTGCTATCAAGTGAATACTAATTTTATGCATGTAAACAGTAAGTGAATAGGAATTTTAGACATACGAATAGTTTAAATTCTTGTGCTACGCTCGTGGACGAAACTAAATATATTTATTTTAATTGGATAACATATACTATGTTATCGGTTAATTAAAATATATTTAATTAAATTTAAAAGATAAAATTTCATCTAATTTTATAATTTTTAATCAAAATTTTGTGTGTGTGTGTGTGTGTGTGTGTGTGTGTGTATATTGAATAAATTTTGAAGTAAAAACAAAATATGATTTGTTCTTTCTTATGCATTTATTAGTAAATAAAACCCATAATAAACAATTTTAATATAAATTTTTTAAAAATATATTTTAATATTTTTTTCATTAGATTGCACCGACGAAATAAAGCAACAATTAATATTAAAACTTTTATGAAAATTAACAAATGAAACTTTTTTACTAATGAGAAGATTATTTTTTAAAATATATACATTTAATTTATATATAGTTATTTGCAAAATAATGAATAATATTAATATACAAAATTATATTTTAATTATTAGGAGATTATTATTACATATTATTTCAATTATTTTATTTGAAAAAATCATTTTAAATATTAAAAAAATAATAGCAAATTGTTGGTATTATGTGTGTAGATACATAATTGATTTCTAATAAAATCAACAATCTTATCATTTTTATACATTATGACCATACTTAATGGGTGAGAATGTACAAAATAAACTAAAAACATATTTTAAAAAATTAAATGGTAAAATATATATTGAAGTTACTAAAGTGCAGTAAAAACTATAAAACTGATTTTGATGAAATTTGATTATGTAAAAAATAAGAAAATAAAACACATATATTCAATTTTTAAAATTTGATTATACAACAATTAAGCAAATAAAAAAATGTATAAAAAACTTATTTGAATCCATACATAGAGAAAATAAGTCATATTTATTAATAAATAAAATTATAAAAAATAAAAATAAAAATTAACTTGATAAGAATTTTTATCAAAAAAAGCAATTTTAAACAATAAGAGTAGTTCATATTTATTCTAAAATCTAAAAACATATCGTATAAATGTAAAAAATATCATATATATTATATAATCGTTAGTTTGTGTAGAAAAAAAGTAACGATTGATTTTTCAAAATTTTAACATCCGATTAGAAAAAAAAACATAAATTGATGAAAAAAAGCAAAGGAGAAAAAAAGAGGCATGAGTTGTCTTATATAATTGTTAGTTTATGTGGAAAAAAGTAACGATTGATTTTTTAAAATTTTAACACCTAATTAAATGAAAAAAAAGAACATAAATTGATGGAAAAAACAAAGGAAAAAAAGAAGAAGGCATGAGTAGTGCATTATTTAGGGGATTAAGATTTTTATTTTAAAATTTTAGAGACCAAAATGAAACAACCTCAAAAATTAAAAAAAAAATTAATTATTTTTTAAAAAGAACCTAAATTGATGGAAAATAGCTAGGGGAAAAGAAAGAAAAAGGCATGTATAGTGAAACAATTTGAAAAAAAAAATATCATAATAAAATTTAAAAACATATCATATAAATATAAAAGATATCGCATATATTGTATAATCGTCGGTTGTATGGAAAAAATAACGATTGATTTTTTAAAATTTTAACACCTAATTAAATAAAAAAAGAATATAGATTGATGGAAAAAATCAAAGGAAAAAAAAACAAAAGACATGAGTAGTGCATCGGTTGGGAGATTAAAATTTTAGAGACCAAAAAATGAAACAATCTAAAAATAAAAATAAAATTAAATAAAAAAGAACTTAAATTGATGGAAAAAAGCAAAGAGTAAAAAAAGAAAAAGAAAAGGAACAAAAGAAAAAAAATAAATGAACAATGCCGGAAAAAAATAAAATGAACAGGGTGTTGAAATAAATAAATGAACAACGACGGAAAAAAAGAAAAACAAAAAAAGATGAATAGGGTTGTGTACGGTCACGACCCTATGTTTTTAGAGGCTTATTAATATGCTCAGAAGCATGTTGTCAGATGAATGAATGAACATTATGAGGAGCTTAAAAGAATGAGGTGCGCAAATTTATTCGGTATAATATTTGCCCAGGACAATGCCTTAGAATTCTGTAATACACCGAAATGATCACTGTTTTCTAGTTTCAATCGATCTATTGTGCGGCTATATCATACTGCTATAAAATTATGAGCATTTAATGTTCTTTTATAAGATGATCTATCTTTGGCCAAAAAAAAAAAAAAACGTTCACTCTAGCTTATTGGGCGTGTGTTCTGTGTCTTTTTTATATATTTTTTGTTTTGTGGTTTACTTCTTTTGCAATATTATGATTTCTTTTTCTGAGCTCTAAATTTGGAAGTGTTGAATCCTCTAGAATAGTCAAAAATTGAAGCATCAAGAGTTATCTTGGGGAACGAATATGGGAATTTACAAAAGAATACTTGTCCACGTTGAATCCACGCCGAAGTGGACAAAAGCATGTTTTGAGTTCAAGACCAGCCTTCTGATGTCCACCACTGGGACATGGAGATGAAGAAGAAGAAAGAAGGGAGCAGCTAGGAAGAAATATGCTCCTGTTTGCGTCACAATGCCAACTGCTTGTATCTGCCGCAACTGAGAATATTTGCTCATGTGCTCTGTAATGTTCATTGATGTTTAGATTATTAATGTTATGTAAAAGTTGTGCTCACTTGTATGCTTTTTTCTATTGGAGAATCCTGCTTATTTCAAATCGCCTTTTCGCCTTTCTGTGTTCGATTTCATAGAACCCAATTCTTCAGACCCAATCCTGTTTTTCAAGGTACTATGCAGGATTACTTCACCCTATTCTGGAAACTTTTTAATGTTTCTGCACTTCATTTCAAGAGCAAAGGGCTGGAGTTCGCTTGTAGCACCAACCACTTAACTGATCGAACAAAAAGATTTCACCTTGAATTTAGACCCAGTACTCATTTTCTCTTTCAGTTGAGGTAATTGGGGTTCCATTATCCTATCATCTTCCCCAACTCCACAGAAAACAGCATAGTTACACGCAATAAAAATGCAAAACACCTATTTCCCATTTCGTATGTGATTAATCAAGTTTTGTGCTATTAATTTACCACCCAGATTATTGATCTGCTTCCATTATGTTTCTGTCTGGAGACAAATCTAGAGGTGATCAAACAGACAAAATTGCAAACCATGCCGCTACCAATACTACACAATTCTATGGAAACGCGAATTAAGAAAAAAACTAAAAGAACTTAGTTGTTTACTATTCATCATTGCTCGTTTACTGTAGTTTGGTTTTTTTGTTATTTTTTGAACTTTCATGGGTAATAACATAGAAGTTACACAAATTTTTATACTTTGGTGCTCGATATTTTTGAAAGTTTTGTTTCGATCCATATCTTTATTTGTTGATATATTTTGGTCCCTAAGTGTAAAGAGGAGGGTGGAAAGCACAGAGAGAGCATGGACCAATCTTATTTATAACACTTTGACCGGTGAAACTCTATTAGATTTATTTGTCTTTGAGAGATGAGTTTATTCATAATGGTTTTAAGCCATTGAATAATGAAAGGATCAAAGCCAAAAAAGAAAAAAAAATTTCAATTTAATGATGTATTTTTTTTTGTTTTAATGTGTATTAAAATGATTTTTAAGGTTTTAAAAGTGTTTATTGACTTTATTTCAATCATTTAGAGGTGTTTGAGAGAAAAAAATAATATCAAAATTGAGTTTTTTGAGGTCTTAAAATTAACCTCAGATTTTCCTACAAAGCTTCCGACAAGCTTAAGTTGCAGCTTTTACTTTTCTTTCTTTTTTCTCTCTGTTTTTTTTTTGGGCTGGCTTGGTTGCACATGCCTAACCCCTTTCTTCTTTGGGTTGTTCAGCAACCCAGGCCTGGAGTGGAGGAGGCTGAAGCAGCTTGGCTGCACATGCCTGCCTTTTTTTTCCTTTTTTTCCTTTCAATAATTTATTTTTATTTTTATTTTTATCATTAAATTAGATGTAAAAATATAAAAAATAGATCGTTTTTTTCTTTTTTAGTTTTACATATAATTAAACATAATAGAATATATATGATATTTTTTAATATTTTAATTTATACACACACATATATATTATTCTGATTGTTTAAAATTTAGTTTTTCAATTCTTTGTTTCTTATTCAAATTCTCATACAATTAATTTTTAATTTTTGATATAATTTTTTTCGTTAATAAATGGATTTTGAAATAAAATTTTAGAACGTGATTGTTTTATTTTTTAAAATACATTATTATAATTTATACAACTGATTATTTTTATGATCTTTAAATGAGAGTAACGTAGTTGTATGTATAATTAGTTAAAAAAAATTTAGAGATTTTATTTGCTATATATATATATAGTTTTTTTTAGAAATTAATCATATATATGCACAGTATAACACCGATTATTTGTTTTTTTTTTTCATGTTCTAAAATTCGTATTTTTAAATAAAATAATTTAATTAATGTTTTGAAAGAATCTCATAATTATTCAAATATAAAATTTTATGCTAATATTATAAATTATTTTGTTAATAAATATATATAAATCAAATTATTTTGCTTAATATATAGATTCGATTTACATTAATCGTTAGAAACAAAATTTCTACTCACACCACATCACATGAATCATTAATTCTACGTATACAATAGTTGTTTGACCATGACGTAGCGTGAGTATCTAACTAGTTAATAACTCAAAAAATTGACCACCTAGATTAACCAAAAACAAAAAAAAAAATCAAGAGATTGCCTTTTTTGTTCTCCCTTTTCTTTCGGGTAAAATAAATGAATAAAGACACCTGGAAAGGTTAGATAAGGATTGTAGTAAATACTAGCTATCTTGTAAAAATTATTGGGATAATTGTCCTATAAGTACATCGGCTTTTATTTTTCTTCGATTGAGTATAAATCATATCAACTTTTTTTTTTTTTAAACTATCAATTAAATGTTATTATCAATTTCTTCATTTACTGATGACGCATTTTTTATCATCAAAACACAAATTATAATTTTACTTTTTCTTTTTCTCAATAAGTACATAGATTTTAACTTTTTTATTTGAATTTATCGATTTTTTAAAAACGGTCAATCTATTAATTTTTTAGTTAACTGATAAAATGTCTATTATCCCATAACACCAAATTATAAATTTACTCTCTTTTTGTTAGCAAAATTTTCCTTCAAATTATTCTATCATTTTAAATTTTGAAAAAAAAATATTTTTTTAGCTATAGAACTTCGAATAAACTCACTTAGATTTAAACATAAATATTAGAAGAAAACACAAACTTGAAATTCTTCATCAAGAAAATTCATTTTCTTAGCATCTAAGAGAGAAATTTCCTCCAAAAAATAAATTATAATCTGATATTCTATAGATAACAACCACATCATTAGTTGATGAAAAAATGACCAAAATACTTAATTGATAATTTTTTTTGTAAAAAAAATAATACATTCAAACTGAAAAAAACAAAATTAAAAATTCATATGTTTGATTGAAAAAAAAAAGATAATTATAATTTAAAATTTTATTAATTAACAAAAATACTTTATTAACTGTTTTTTAAAAATTAATACATTCAAATAGAAAAAATTAAAATCCATCAGAAAGAAGAGAAGTGGTGTAATTATCCCCAAAATTATCACTACTAAATAAAATTTGCTATCAATTATCACAACAAATTTCAATTTTTTGTAACTAAAATCTAGTTGCCTCAGAATCTAAGATACTCCCTTGCGAGGTTACCTTCACCTTCCAAATACAGTTTGCTACGAACTAAAAAGGAACACGACAATAAACTGAAAACAACATATTGATTATTACATGCATGAAAAGCAGATTTTATTACGAGGAGAAATAAATTAAAAACACTCAACAAAACTTCGGTTAATAGGATACAAGGCCTGATTCATCTTATATAAAATACAGGTCTTGTAGAAGCCTGAACAAGTGAAACTGCGATAAAAACTTATACAGAAACTTGGCATTTTACACCCGTTACCGACCAATAACAGCACAGAGAGATAAAGAAAGACAAAAAGATTGCGATAAAAACTCATTCTCCTTTCCCGTTTTGCCGGGCAGCAGCATAATTGCGAATAACTTCCATGGCCAACTGATGGGCAGTCTTATTCTGCAATTTTGCAAGTTCATCCATTTTTTCATATGTATCCTTATCAGTAAAAAGTATCAGGTTGTATGTAGGCCGTGTAGCCACCACACCATCCCATTTCTCAACCCACTATTGAAGAGCTTCAAACCCCTAATAGAAAAGATTGAAGTCAATATCTTCAGACTAACGGAAATTTTCAATGGGATTGAATAAAAACTCAACATAAAAAGGCCAACTTTCCCTCAAAAGGGTTGAGAGATGATAATTTGCAAGATAGCACTCACCACGCGATTTGTGAAGTCGCCAAATGATTCTTTGGATTGTCTTTTCCTTTTCCAAGAATAAAAGAGAGGTTCCAAAACCGTTTCAAGGTCATGAATTTTAACCTTATTCATGAAGGTTCTGGCTAATGAAGTTTGATTGGGTGTTCCCCCAAGCCAAAGCTGTTTAAAACAACAAAAATGGTTCATTATGTTTTCCTTTAATTCTCATTTGTAATACTGACGAAAAAGAAATGAAAAGAAAGACATCAATTCAGCCCTTGGTATACCTGGTAGCTATTAGGACCATCACCAACAAATCCAAGTTCAGCCATGTAAGGTCTGGCATAGCCATTGGGACAGCCAGTTGCCATTATTACCACAGATTCATTGTATTTCAGACCAACCTGAAATCACAAAGAACTACCTGTAAATAAAGTCTTAATTTCCATTTGCAAGGAATTGACAATTCAATACATTCATCTATCAAATGCTTGGTTTGATTCTCATGAACTAGTTTGAGCAGACACACCTTCTCGAATACAGCTCTAACACATTTGAGGATGTCGGGAATTCCCCGTTCGGCTTCAGTTATTGCCAATGGGCAAAGTGGTAAAGCTGGACATGCCATTGCAGTCAAATTGAGGGGGTCTACATACTTGGGTTGCTGTACATGGGCAATATTAATCAAAACCATCACAATAGAGAAAAGCAAGACAAAACAAGTAAGACAAAACGCTAGCTAATCAAATAAGCACACTATAATAACCCCCGAATTTCACCATTTGCCAACTGAGCTGCAGCAGAACAGTTCGGACGGTGGTAGGTGAATGAATGAAACAAGAAACAGATATGCTACGTGGATCCTTTTGACATACTATACAAGAATGTTGTTATAGACTTTGAATGTCAATTACCATCGAAAGGTTTACCAGATAAGTCGACTGTTGACATGATAAGTGATTGCGTCCATAACATTGAACACAAATTCTGAAAAGTATCCACTGATAAATTAATACCATTGAACCATTGAGTGACTATAAAAACAATCCTATTCAAACTTAACTATCAATTAGATAAAGGCAGCATGACATTTCAAAAGATGACCTTTTCTCTGCAGTTTGATTGGAAAATAGATGAATAACAGGGAAAGAAGATTCCAATCTTGCAATATAGTGAGATTTATCACAGTTTGACTCATATTACATTTGCAATTGTGTGCTGATGCCATCTAAATCGTAATGCAACCATCTGACAAGACCTGCTCAATTCCTGCCTTATATGAAATCCCTTCTTTCATATATGAAACCAGGATATCAAATCCTTTCTTTAGTTCATAAACAGTTTCATAATTGATCCATTTTCACAACTCACTGAGAACTACGAAGTTCAATTACACAAATCCTAACACCAAGTCTTTAAGGAACAGAAAAAACATGATATATGCCTGGTCTTACTAGTCAATGGACTTAACTGTGGGAAAAATTTCACAGTTATGGAATACCCAGGCAGACAGAAGATAATGCAGACACCAAAAGCAAAAATCCTTACCAATAAACCAGCCTGTGCAAGAGCTGTCGTAATGGGGCGCTTCCATGCTTTGCGAATAACACACAAGATGATGTTCTGGTTTGGTGTGAGACATACATCCAAATTGTACTTCTTTATTATTTCCCTTCATGTCGCCTTCATTTCCCCCCAACACGACCACTATCAACATGGAGCCCACAAAACAAGCCACCATCACCCTGTCAAGAATTTTCAATCTATCAGTAAGCAGAAGGTAAAATTCAAGAAGCAAAAAAATAGCAAAAAAGGTAAAAATAATAAAATGTGTGATCCTAACCAGAATAGGCAAAACAATGGAATGAGATGAGACAGAACCAAAGTTAACACTTATATATTAGGGCTGACCTGCTCATGCCATCCCAAGTAACTTTTAAATTCCCACTCAGGCAACTAACGGGAAGGCTCAAATTTCTTCGCATAGTAGTGCTCCACGACACTTCTAAACTTCTCGATTCCTCAGGAGCTTAACAAACATTTGCGATCATCTCTCCTCCCATTTTCTCATTGAGTGACACAAATAGCTTTCACTGCATATAAAATGTCCTCCTTTGGTACATAACCCAATGGTTCTGCCAACCGAGGAAAAGTGGTCTCTAGCCTATGAGTTCTTCCCATACCACCACCAACCTGCATTAGAAATTGTAGGGAGTTAAGAAGGAAAAAGAGGACTGTTCTCAATATGTTAATCTAATCTTACATATATGTTAAACCCCTGAGGTTCCCCATCAGCATCAGTAACCACAACCACACCAACATCATTTGTGAGAAGATCCAGAGTTATCTGTTGGCACAGTGACTGCAACTTTGAACTTCCTAGGCAAGAATTGAGTTCCATAGATGGGCTCTGGTGAATCAGGGAAATTTGTTCCATGCGAATTGTCATTGCGGGCCTTCACTACCTATGGAGGTTCTGCTGACATGATTTTCTCTCCATCCACCCACATATCATAGTAGAAACCAGACTGGGGAGTTAGAAGTGCAGCAATATCATCAGCAGTTTGCTGTGCAAATTGGTAATCTTTTCTCGCAAATGGAGCAGCAGGAGCCAAAACATTCCTGTTAGGATCACCGCATGCACCAAGAGTTGAACCCACGCTATGAATAATGCTGCTCATCACAGTCTTGAGGTTCTTCTTTAGAACACCATGGAGCTGAAATGCTGTCTGGTTGTCAATCTAAGTGTTTCAATTCCAAACTGATCGGCAAGATCATTCATGGTCAAGTACAATTGGTTTGGGACTTTCCCACATGGGTTCTTTGTACGAAGCATAAAGGAGTAGGATCTTGCCCCTCGTTCACCTCTGTTATACTGCTCATAGCTCCCATGGAACTTGATAATTTGTGTAGCAGACTCATTAATGTTTGGGGCATCTGTAAGCAACTCCTCATTAAGAGGGTACCTGATAAAATTGCTGTGTTCTTTGATTATTTCAACCTTGCTATGCTTAGTTTCAGTCTCCGGCTTTACTGACTGCCCGCAAAATCCATGCAAATAATAAAACATGAAAATGGCACTCGACAAACTTTATCCATAATAATCAACATTCAGCTTATTCTTATCAAGAAATTGCCTTAGCAGGCTTGCCTTACAATTCTTTATTGTTCCAAAATAAACCCATAATGAGTGACATAGAAAATGTGAAAACACATTGACGAAAACCTCGATCTAAATAATAGTTGAATCAGAAGCATTTCGATTTCTGGGGTTCCGGACACCTTCCTTTTTCTCCCAGATTCACGTAGCTCAGCACATTTTAGAAGAAATTCAACAAACATGAAATTATTTTGGATATATAGTTTTAAAAATCATTGAACACACACCAGATTGAAAGGCGCAAAAATCTGAGACAAAATGGCCGGAAAGAAATAAAGTGAGAGTATGAATAAAATTAAAAAGAAACAAGCTTGGTCTCCTTTACTTTTGACGTTATTTCTTTCCTCTCCATCCAAACAGAGCGCGAGATTCAAAAAATCAGCTTTCAAAAGGAAAAAAGAAACGTTTTGCGGCAAGCAACAGTCAATCCAAACACAAAACACAACTAAAATGCCTTTACTAATTATTTATCCTTTATTTTCTCTCAATTCCTTCTTTCACCATCCAAAATACAGAAATCCAGACACCAAAACTCAATCCAAACACAAATCATAAAGGTTGAAAAAATAAACGGTGAGCAGAAAGAGAGAATTGACGAAATCTAACCGTAGAGACAGCTCTAATAAGCGAATTAGGTCGGGAGGTTGAAGACGAAACTGAGAACAAATTGACATGTCTTCTACTCAAACCAACTGAATTCGAACTCCTCGATCCATCAAAACTCCCTATCTGAATCTTTACGTCCTTTAACACAGCAGTTGCTCCAAACGACGTTGCCGTCGTCATCCCTCCGTCGAACAAATAAAGAAAACCCTAGATAACAAGAAAAGGCAGTAGAGAAGCAGAGAGATTGGTATTCGTGGAGACTGATGAGCGGGGAAGAGAGATTGAAATGAAAGCAAAAGCTTTAAAACCGGAGTGGTTATTTATTTATTTATGTTTTACTCTCTCTGCTTAGTGGTCATTGCGATTGTACCCTGTCACGTGCCTGACACGAATACGAATACATATATTAAATCAAACATGATAAATTTTATTTTAAAGATAGAGTTTATCAAGTAGTTAAGATTGTGGAGTGTTAATTTTCAGATATATATCAAAATAATAATAATAATAATCTGCCATAAAAAATACATACATACACACACATATATATATATGTATATATATATATATGCTTTTGATTCTCTTTGCAACTACAATGCATAACAAAATCGTTAGAGTTAAAATAATTATCGTGTTGAGAGTAATAATGTCTTCTGGAGAAGAAAATTCTTCAGAGAGTCCTACTATGGAGTTAAGTATTGAGGAATCAAAGCCGAATATACAGCATCCTGTTACCGCTCCATTAGCATCAAACATCTCTTCAAATCCCCCGGCTTCACTGCCCCAAGTTCTGAGTACGTCAAACTCACCACCACCAGTACTACCTCAGCCACCTCCTACCATTGCTTCACTACCTCCACCACCACTGCCACTTTCTATCGTTACTCGACCATCACCACCACCACCCAGATTTTCTAATAACCACAATGACGATCGTTATTTCCATGGTTTCCCACCTGGATATAGATTTTGCCCTCATGATGATGAGCTGGTGTTACATTACTTGTCCAAGAAAGTGAGAGGACTGCCATTGCCTAGGAACAGGATTTTCGAAGTCACTCTCTATCAACACGATCCCGAGTTTCTTGCAGGTTCTTTAATTAAAACCCTTTTCTTTTTGGTCCCGAGTCTCTTGCAGATTCTTTGCTTCAAGCATTTTTATTTTCTTTTGATTATTATTATTATTTTTTAATAATTTCTTTTGTTAATGGCTGGTTTTTTTTAATTTTTTTTCCTAAAGCCTGTTAAGATTTTTTTTTGGTTTGTTTGTTTGTTTTGAAGTAATTAACACATGATCATTTAAACTTTATTTGTTTATTATCTCAATAGATAGATACAAGCATTACGGTGAAAAAGTATGGTATTTCTTCACACCAAGGGACAGAAAGTACAAGAACGGGACTAGACCAAATCGAGCGGCCGGTGGTGGCTACTGGAAACCCACTGGAGCTGATAAGCATATTACATATGATAAGACTGCTGTTGGAGCTGATAAGAATGCCACTGTAGAAAAAGTTCTCGTCGGATTTAGAAAGGGACTTGTTTATTACACTGGAAAGGCACCAAGGGGTAACAAAACCAACTGGATAATGCATGAGTTTAGAGTGAATGATCCACCTCCTCAAGTCAAAAATCATCAAAATGACATGAGGGTACAATATGGATCTTCGTCTATACATCTCTCTCTAATTGACATAACAGCATTTGTTTTAAATTACAAATTCTTAACATAAGTAACCAAAGTTCTTTGTTTTGGTGCAGCTGGATGACTGGGTTCTGTGCAGGATTTTCAAGAGACATGAGAAGCGTACTAATGTTAATACTGATGTCAGAAATCGACCAAGAAACGACGAAGATTCTGCGAGGTCAATTGATGAAGATTACGTAAACGGTCATGATCATAATACAAATGATCATCTGGCTGATATGGAGGCTGACTATGCTGGGGAGATCTACGACATTGGTACTGGTTCTTTAGACAATTCATTCGCAATGTTGGATGATTTAAGCCCACAGCAGACTGCCCTAAGCGGATTCTCAGATGCTTTTAACTTTTATCATGCTCCTCCTAACTATTACAGGATGTTGCATGATACACAGTTACCCAGTTTGCCTGAGACAATTGGAAGTTCTGCCCCAATGTTCTCCAATATTAATCCTGACAACTGGTCATTCAGGCAAAACGGATGCCAAGATGAATTTCTGAATACTACAAACTGGTCTCATCGTAACATTGCCGACCAATTTCTTGATCCCTATTCTGTCAGGTCAATTAATCTTCCCAGAAATCCTGCTCCTATCGTCAATCTTCGTCCCACAAATACTGTTGCTCTTAATGTGAAGCCTTCGTCCCATAAACATTGCTCTTCCTAATGGAAGCCTTCCTCCTACAAATGTTGCTCCTCTTACTCGTAGCCTTCCTCCCATGAATACTGCTCGTCCTACTGGAAGCCTTCCTCCTATCAATACTGTTCTTACCAGCCGCCTTCCTCCCACAAATCCAGCAAATAGTCAACCAATGTCATCGATGCCTTCCACAAATCCTGCAAATAATCAGCCAATGTCAGCGATGAATGTTGAGGCCAAACAACCCAGACAGCCACCTCAGCATCTATGATTAGTGTTAGGAGTTGGGTGTCTTGTAGATTTTAAGAGCGACTGCCATCAACTGTCATATAGCTAATGTATGTGCTCTATGTGCTGATGGATCTTCTTGGATCTTAGGTATTTAGTGAATAGACAATCTCGCTAACAGTGAAGACATATATTTTGTTTGTCGATAGATTTTCTAGTTTGAGAAATTTAATGGCATGGTTTGGCAGCACCAGTTTTCTTCACTCTCTCTATCTCTTATTTATTTATTTTTTACTCTTGTCAGTTGTCACTTTATATGTTGATTACTTTCCTTAGTTGCGGTGATCTGGTTTTGAATTGTTTGTTTGAGTAATGATGCCAAAGCCGTGCACCCCTGAGTGATCTACTCGTGCTTGATCACATACGATTACCTCTGGTCCGTTTGAATCACCTTCAAATCTTACATGAAGGTTTTTCATTCTTTATATACATGTGTTGGCGAACGAAGATGGAACTCGAGGAACACCAAAACGGAGCAAACCCGCCTCAAAACGACACTGAAACAACAACAATTGACAACACAACAGCCAACCAACAACCTCAACAAGAGGACGCCTTTGTATCAGCCTCTGAATCTCTCTCCGAATCAGACCACCCGACGACCTCAAACGACACCGAGAAACCCACACCCAAATCTCCCAAAACTGAAGACACAGACATTGAAGACGATGAAGATGAAGAAGACCCACCTCCTAAAAAACAAAAACAACTCTCCTCTTTGACGCAAAAGCAAGAGCTACCTGAACCCATGACGGCAGCAGAAATCGAAAACAATAACGACAGCAATGGAGCCACCGAATTCAATAAACCAACCCAAATCACCCCAACAACAGCAACAACAAAAAAGAAGTCGAAGAAAAAGAACAACAATAATGTCTGGGTTACAAGATCCACACGCAAAGGCAAGAAAAAAACGAAACCAAACCCACAAAATACACCATCAGAAGACACTGTTTTAATCACTCCAGTCCCAAGATGCCCTGACAAAAGCGACGACACCCCAGACTTAAAAATTTGCTTATCTAAAGTATATAAAGCAGAAAAGGTCGAATTGAGCGAAGATAGATTGAGTGCAGGGAGTATTAAGGGGTATAGAATGGTGAGAGCTACAAGAGGTGTATCTGAAGGAGCTTGGTATTTTGAAATTAAAGTGGTTAGTTTAGGAGAAACCGGGCACACACGACTGGGGTGGTCTACGGAGAAAGGGGACTTGCAGGCGCCGGTTGGATATGATGGAAATAGTTTCGGGTATAGAGATATTGATGGGAGTAAAGTGCATAAGGCATTGAGGGAGAAGTATGGCGAGGAAGGGTATAAAGAAGGGGATGTTATTGGGTTTTATATTAGTTTGCCGGAGGGGGAATTGTATACTCCTATACCTGCTCATTTGGTTTGGTATAAAGGGCAGAGGTATGTTTGTGCTCCTGATGCTAAGGAAGATCCACCCAAGATTGTTCCTGGTGAGATTTTGTTTTTGTTGTTTTGTGTAATGTGTTTGTTTTGCTTATTTTGTTGCATCCTTAGGTTATTTGTTTGTTTGATTTTGATGGCATTGGATATGGTTTACATCGAGGAGTTTAAGGGGGTTGTTGGTCCTGTATTATCCTTTGCACTGAATAAGAGAATTTAGGATTGTACGAATTACCAGGACTGTATTAGCATCAAGAATTTAGCAATGAAGGGTTGTTTTCAATTTGAACCATACTGTCCCTTGAAAATGGAAATTTTTAATTGCATATAGGATGGAAAAGAAGTAGATGTGTTGGCATTTTGCTTACTAAAAACTACTCTTAGTGACATATATTAGCCAACGGTGTGATCGGGAAGAAGATTCCTATCTCATAGATTTGATTCAAGGATGATTATTCTGTCACTAACAAGTTTTTTTTTTTTTTTTTTTTTTCCTAATGAGATATGCTTTAAGATGCTCTTTATTAGAATTTAGATGTTTGGGTTTGTCCGTTAATTGTAATTCGAATTCCTTCCTTCCATAGGGTATGTTGCTGGTAGAAAAATGGAAACTTTCTGCAATTGAGAGTGTGCATCACATGAGAATTCGATGAATTAGCATCAATAATTTAGCAGAGAAGGTTGCTTTAAATTTGAATTATAGTGTTGCTTGAAATTGGAAATCTGTAATTGTAAATAGGACGGGAAATAAGTAATGTGTTGACATTACCTCCTAAAAGCAATTCAGAATCCTTTAGCAACAGATATTAGATAATGGCGCGGCTGGGAAGAAAAATCCTGCTGCATAAATTTGATTGGGATTATTCTGTCACTATGAAGTGTTATATATATATATATATATATATATATATATATATATATATATGTATATATATATATATATGCAATATGCATTATGATGCTCTTTATTAGAATTTAGATGTTCTGGTCTGGTATTGTCCCTTAATTGTAATTCCAATTCCTTCCATCCATACATGGATTTGTTGGTGATGAAAAAATTGATCCTTTCTACTATTGAGAGCGTTGTCACTTGTTGACAGATTCTATAAAAGTTAAGAAATATATTTTATTTGTTGACAGATTTTCTGGTTTTAGAAATTTAATGGCATGGTTTGGCAGCACCAGTTTTCTTCTCTCTCTCTCTCTCTCTCTCTCTAATTTTTTATTTTTAATCTTGTCAGTTGTCACTTTATATTTTGATTACTTTCCTTTGTTGCGGTGATCTGGTTTTTAATTGTTTGTTTGAGTAATGTTGCCAAAGCCATGCACCCCTGAGTGATCTACTCGTGCTTGATCACATACGATTACCTTCAAATCTTACATGAAGGTTTTTCGTTCTTTATATACATGTGTTGGCTGAATAATCAGCTTGTTTGTGGTCAAAACAAAGTGCAGGTATTAAAAGTTGAAGCAAAGTGCAGGAATTAAAAGGTGAAGTCTGGCAGCAGTAACAATTACAACATATTATTAAACCTTAACATTTTCCCTCTTAATAAGCTGAGATTGTACTGAACTCCGAATACTTTCCTTAGCTACCGGGCTTGAAGGATGAGGTCATGAAGATCACTCCCGTTCAGAAACAAACACGTGCCAGTCAAAGGACCAGGTTTAAGGCCTTTGTGATTGTTGGCGATGGGAATGGACATGTTGGTTTGGGAGTTAAATGTTTGAAGGAAGTTGCCACTGCTATTCGTGGTGTGATTATATTGGCCAAATTGTCGATTATTCCTGTGAGGAGAGGGTATTGGGGTAACAAGATTGGGCAGCCACATACTGTGCCTTGTAAGTTACTGGGAAGTGTGGGTCTGTAACTGTGAGGATGGTGCCTGCTCATCGTGGTGCGGGGATTGTTGCGGCGAGACTGCCAAAGAAGGTGCTTCAGTTTGCCAGGATTGAGGATGTTTTTACTTCATCTAGATGATCTACTAGGACTCTTGGCAACTTTGTCAAGGTTTGATCTTTTCCTTTTGTTTTTTTATCAGTTTATTATGTGTATTATTGTTGTTTATGCCTTTGATTAAGTTAATTTGCTTCTATGGAAGTGAATGGTCATAATGGTTGATTAGGTGGATCTTTTCTTGATTTGAATTGTGTTGGTCTGGTTGATTATCTACCGATATATCATTTGTGGCGTTAATTTATTATGTTTGTTTTTATTTTTATTCTTGATTAGTTTTGATCCCTGTTCAATTGCATCTTGATGATCTTCATTGAAAGTTTTGAACTGTAGATCATCTGGAAGACTAGAGTAAAACTGTAAAAGGTTTTATTTTTATTTTGTTTTTTTGGTTCTCTGCAATGCCTTTTCTTCCTTGTTTAGCGGCATTAAGAAATAGTGAACAGTTAATTAGAGATCACCCATCAATAGTTGTTTTTTGGTTCTGTGTAATGCCTTTTCCTCCTTGTGTAGCGACATTAAGAAATAGTGAACAGCTAATTAGAGATCACCCATCAATAGTTGTGTTGAAGCTTCTTTTGAACTTTGAACCTGAGAGTATAACTTTCATTATTGCAAGGCAATAATCTAATAAAGCGAGAAATACTAGGGTGAACTAGGAATTTACAAATACTCTGCTGCTTGGTAGCAGTTCGGAGTCAGCTTTTTGTCCTCCATTCTGTGTTTATGTTTCATCTCAAGGAACTCTTCTTTTATGTGTCATTTCCACTAGGTAATTAAGTTTGTGTGATTAAGTTGTATGTTTGTTGTTTTTCTTCGACCATGCATTATCAGTGATGTTTACTTGTTGCAACAAGTGGAATGTTTTGCTTGTTTTTGATTGCGTGGCTCTTTTGCGTTCACCCTTTATGGTTAATCAAGTGTTTTTTTTGTAAGCAATCATTGACTGCGCACAGAGGAGGTTGTACTTATGGCTTTGCCTTTCTGGGTTGGCCACTGTTTATGGATGTTTTTGACATGGTTGAGCTCTGGAGGAGTGGTCTGTGTCTGTGAGTGCATGTGCATGATTTTTTTTTTTTTTACCGAAGTGTTTGGTATTCCTATCTTGACAATGCCAAAAATCATCACTGTTCTGCAATGAAATATACTTTTTGTGTAATGATGCGAGAGAATGATATTTGTTCTGGTTAATTGCATCTTTTGTGCTTTATCAATTGTTCGAATTATTTCGTGGATGTACTTTGTGATGCAGGCCACTTTTGACTGTCTTTTGAAAACCTATGGTTTCTTGACGCCCGATTTCTGGACGGAGACTCGCTTTACCAAATCTCCTTTCCAAGAGTACACTGATCTACTAGGAAAGCCAACAAAAGCCCTCGTCCTTGAAGATGTGGAGAGAGTGGAGGCCTGATTTGGAGCCAGGAATTCTGAAAGATGAGGTGATAGGCCCAAGAATAGCATGATTGGTTATTAGGCTGTTAAGGCTTCAAAGATGTGATCTTTTTTGTCGGCATTGTTCCATATGAAATTTGGGTTTATTAGTTGCTGACGACTCTTTTTTGTTATTTTGACAAACTTGGATTTGTTAGCTGTTAACATTAGTTTAATGGTAAGCTTTTTCCTTGATGCACACCTTCTGTGTTGTGTTCTATTTAAATTCTGCTGCCTGTGATGTTTATGTCTCTTCTCCAGTCTCCAATCGCAAGCAAGAATCTTTACATAAAAATTAATGTTGAAAGTGGTGCAAGTCGAAGGAGGACCATTGCATGCATTGCTAGAATTGTTGCCGTGACATGTTCAAATGGAAGGGATCTGTAAGACGTTAACTCATCATACTTTCTAGCTTAATAACGGAACTGAGCTGATTCTAGACTGGAGTTCCCCTTGGTCAAGAGTCATTTATCAGTGAAGTTTTAATTTTGGGGGCTGAATGAACATTGATAGTGCTGTTTGGGTTACGTAACTTGGAGGGTGCGACGTACAGTTATCCCCTGCTTGTTGGATTAGGATGGTGTATGCTCAGAAGCATGAGGAGCTTAAAAGAATGAGGTGACGAATTTATTGGGTATAATATTTGCCCACGACAATGCCTTAGAATTCTGTAATACACTGAAATTATCATACCATACTGCTAATGAGCATGTAATCTTCTTTTATAAGATGATCTATCTTTGGCCCAAAAAAAAAAGAAAAGAAAAAGAAAAAGAAAACTTTCATTCTAGGTTATTGGACGAGTTTTCTGTCCTTCTTATATATTTTTTGTATTGCGGTTTACTTTTTTTGCATTATTATGATTTCCTTTTCCAAGCGCTAGATTTGGAAGTGTTGGAGCATCCAGAATCGTCAAAACTTGAAGCGTCAAGAGTTATCTTGGGGAACGAGTATGGGAATTTACAAGAGAATACTTGTCCACGTTGAAACCACGTCAGAAGAGAACCAAAGCATATTTCAAGACTAGCCTGCTCAAGTCCACCACTGGCCACAGAGTTTCATATTCTGGCAAAGATAAAGCAACACGTGGCATTAATCCATTCGTCCAAACTTTTTTGGGATAAGGAAATGGATGATGGTCTCCTAACAAGACCCTTGAGCCATTTACACTCCTAAAACTAATAATACTTCCATCCATTCTTTACGTGAATGTGAGAGTCACACACCAGCCCTCAGCAACAGAGAGGAAGCAAAAAATTTGCGGAGAAGAGATGGCATCCATGACCATGACAGCCTCACTCCTAGCTGGGTCAACCATGGCCAAGCAGCCGTTCACAGCTCCACGCAAAGGGTTCACTGTGGCCAAGGCCTCAAGAGGCACGGAGGGAGTCAACGTGGAGATGAAGAAGAAGAAAGAAGAGAGCAGTGGTGGGAGGAGGGATTTGATGTTTGCAGCTGCAGCTGCTGCTGCCTACTCCATTGCTAGAGTCGCCATGGCTGACGACGAGCCTAAGCGAGGGACCCCAGCAGCTAAGAAGAAATATGCTCCTATTTGTGTCACAATGCCAACTGCTCGTATCTGCCGCAACTGAGAGTATTTGCTCATGTGCGCTCTGTAATGTTCATTGATGTTTAGATTATTAAATGTTATGTGAAAGTTGTGCTCACTTGTATGCTTTTTTTTTTTTTTTTTTAATTGGAGAATCCTGCTTATTTCAAATCTCCTTTTCTCCTTTCTGTGTTCCATTTCATAGAACCCAATTCTTCAGACCCAATCATGTTTTTCTAGGTGCTATGTAGGATTACTTCACCCTATTCTGGAAACTTTTTAACATTTCTGTACTTCATTTCAAGAGTAAACGGCTGGAGTTCGCTTGCAGCGCCAACCACTGACTGATCGAACAAAAAGAGTTCACCTTGCATTTAGACCCAGTACTCGTTTTCTCTTTCAGTTAAGGCAATTGGGGTTCCATTATGCTATCATCTTCCCCAACTCCACAGAAAACAGCACAGTTACACACAATAAAAATGCAAAATACCTATTTCCCATTTCGTATGTGATCGATCAAGTTTTGTGCTATTAATTTACTACCCAGATTATTGATCTGCTTAAATATAGAGGTGATCAAACAGACAAAACTGCAAACCATGCCGAGAACACTAAACAATTTTATGGAAACACGAATTAATAACTCAGAAAATTGACCTTGAAAATTAACCACAAATAAAAACCAAGAGATTGCCCTTTTCGTTCTCCCTTTTCTTTCGGGTAAAATAAATCAATGGCGACACCTGGAAAGGTTAGATAAGGATTGTAGTAGATACTAACTCTCATGTAAAAATTATTGGGATAATTGTCCTCTAAGTACATAGGCTTTTATTTTTCTTCAATTGAATATAAATTATATCAATTTATATTCAACACGACCACTATCAACTTGGAGCCCACAAAACAAGCCACCATGACCCTGTCAAGAATTTTCAATCTATCAGTAAGCAGAAGGTAAAATTCAAGAAGCAAAAATATAGCAAAAACGGTAAAAATAATAAATGTGTCATCCTAAGCAGAATTGGCAAAACATTGCAATATGATGAGACAGAAACAAATTTAACACTTATATATTAGGGCTAACCTGCTCATGCCATCCCAAGTAATTTTTAAATTCCCACTCAGGCAACTCACGGGAAGGCTCAAATTTCTTCTCATAATATTGCTCCACGACACTTCTAAACTTCTCGATTCCCCAGGAGATTATCAAATATTTCATTCTACTGTATTTGCGATCATCTCTCCTCCCATTTTCTCATTGAGTGACACAAATAGCTTTCACTGCATATAAAATGTCCTCCTTTGGTTCATAACCCAATGATTCTGCCAACCGAGGAAAAGTGGTCTCTAGCCTATGAGTTCTTCCCATACCACCACCAACCTGCATTAGAAATTGTAAGAAACAAAAAGCTGTAGGGAGTTAAGAAGGAAAAAGAGGACTGTTCTCAGTATATTAATCTAATCTTACATATATGTTAAACCCCTGAGGTTCCCCATCAGCATCAGTAACCACAACCACACCAACATCATTTGTGAGAAGATCCACAGAGTTATCTGTTGACACAGTGACTGCAACTTTGAACTTCCTAGGCAAGAATTGAGTTCCATAGATGGGCTCTGGTGAATCAGGGAAATTTGTTCCATGCGAATTGTCATTGCGGGCCTTCACTACCTATGGAGGTTCTGCTGACATGATTTTCTCCCCATCCACCGACATATCATAGTAGAAACCAGACTGGGGAGTTAGAAGTTTAGCAATATTATCAGCAGTTTGCTGTGCAAATTGGTAATCTTTTCTCGCAAAATGGAGCAGCAGGGGCCAAAACATTCCTGTTAAGATCACCGCATGCACCAAGAGTTGAACCCATGCTATGAATAATGCTGCTCATCACAGTCTTGAGGTTCTTCTTTAGAACACCATGGAGCTGAAATGTTTGTCTGGTTGTCAATCGAAGTGTTCCAATTCCAAACTGATCGGCAAGATCATCCATGGTCAAGTACAATTGGTTTGGGACTTTCCCACATGGGTTCTTTGTACGAAGCATAAAGGAGTAGGATCTTGCCCATCGTTCATCTCAGTTATACTGCTGATAGCTCCCATGGAACTTGATAATTTGTGTAGCAGACTCATTAATGTTTGGGGCATCTGTGAGCAACTCCTCATTAAGAGGGTACCTGATAAAATTGCTGTGTTCTTTGATTATTTCAACCTTGCTATGCTTAGTTTCAGTCTCTGGCTTTACTGGCTGCCCGCAAAATCCATGCAAATAATAAAACATGAAAATGGCGCTCGACAAACTTTATCCAGAATAATCAACTTTCGGCTTATTCTTATCAAGAAATTGCCTTTGCAGGCTTGTCTTACAATTCTTTATTGTTCCAAAATAAACCCAAAATGAGTGACATAGAAAATGTTAAAACACATTGACGAAAACCTCGATCTAAATAATAGTTGAATCAGAAGCATTTTGATTTCAGGGGTTCCGGACACCTTTCTTTTTCTCCCAGATTTACGTAGCTCAGAACATTTAAGAAGAAATTCAACAAACATGAAATTATTTTGGATATATAGTTTTAAAAATTATAGAACAGACACCAGATTGAACGGCGCAAAAATCCGAGACAAAATGGCCGGAAAGAAATAAAGTGAGAGTATGAATAAAATAAAAAAGAAACAAGCTTTGTCTCCTTTACTTTTGACGTTATTTCAAAAAAACAGAAACTAAAATGTTTTCCTCTCCATCCAAACAGAGCGCAAGATTCAAAAAAACAGCTTTTTAAAGGAAAAAAGAAAACGTTTTGCAGCAAAAAAAAGTCAATCCAAACACAAACCAAAACTAAAATGCCTTTACTAATTATTTATCCTTTATTTTCTATCCATTCCTTCTTTCACCATCCAAAATACAGAAATCCAGACACCAAAACTCAATCCAAACACAAATCATAAAGATTGAAAAAATAAACGGTGAGCAGAAAGAGAGAATTGACGAAATCTAACCGTCGAGACAGCTCTAATAAGCGAATTAGGTCGGGAGGTTGAAGACGAAACCGAGAACAAATTGACATGTCTTCTACTCAAACCAACTGAATTCGAACTCCTCGATCCATCAAAACTCCCTATCTGAATCTTTACGTCGTTTAACACAGCAGTATTAGCTGCACCAAACGACGTCGCCGTCGTCATCCCTCCGTCGAACCAAAAAAAGAAGAAAACCCTAGGTAACAAAAAAAGGCGGAGAATGAAAAGAAAGCGAAAGCATTGAAACCGGAGTGGTTATTTATTTATTTATTACTCTATCTGCTGTTATTTATTTATTAATTACTCTATGTGGTCATTCCTATCGTGCACTGTCACGTGCTCAACGCGAATATATACATACATATATATATATATATATCAAATAAGATAGATTTCTTTTTAAAGATAGAGTTTATCGAGTAGTTAAGATTATGGAGTGTTAATTTTCAGATATATCTCAAAATAATAATAATAATAATAATAATAATCTGCCATAAAAAATACATACATGCACACACACATATATATATATATGCTTTTGATTCCCTTTGCAACTACAATGCATAAGAAAATCGTTTGAGTCAAAATTGTTATCGTGTTGGGAGTAATGTCGTCAGGCGAAGAAAATTCTTCAGAGAGTCCTACCATGGAGTTCAGCATTGAGGAATCAAAGCCAAATATACAGCATCCTGTTACAGCTCCATTAGCATCAAACATCTCTTCAAACCCCCCGCCTTCACCGCCCCAAATTCTGAGTTCTTCAAACTCACCACCACCAGTACTGCCGCAGCCACCTTCTACCATTGCTTCACCACCATTGCCACTTTCTATCGTTACTGGACGACCACCACCACCACCCAGATTTTCTAATTACCACGATGACGATCATTATTTCAATAGTTTCCCACCTGGATATAGATTTAGTCCTCATGATGATGAACTGGTGTTACATTACTTGTCCAAGAAAGTGAGAGGACTGCCATTGCCTAGGAACAGGATTTTCGAAGTCACTCTTTATCAACACGATCCCGAGTTTCTTGCAGGTTCTTGGATAAAAACCATTTTCTTTTCTTTTGATTGTTGTTTTCTTTTTGGTCCCGAGTCTCTTGCAGGTTCTTTGCTTCAAACCTTTTTATTTTCTTTTAATTATTAATTGGTTTTTTTATATAATTTCTTTTGTCAATGGCTGATTTTTTATTTTTTATTTTTTTCAAAGGCATGTTAAGATATTTTTCTTTTTGTTTTTCGGGTTGTTTGTTTGTTTTGAAGTAATTAACACATGATCATCTAAACTTTATTCGTTTATAATCTCAATAGATAGATACAAGCATTACGGTGAAAAAGAATGGTATTTCTTCACACGGAGGGACAGAAAGTACAAGAATGGAACTAGACCAAATCGAGCGGCCGGTGATGGATACTGGAAAGCCAGTGGAGCTGATAAGCGTATTACATATGATAAGGCTGTGGTTGGATTTAGAAAGGCACTTGTTTATTATACTGGAAAGGCACCAAGGGGTGACAAAACCAACTGGATAATGCATGAGTTTAGATTGAATGATCCACCTCCTCAAGTCAGAAATCATCGAGATGACATGAGGGTACAATATGGATTTATGGATCTTTGTCTATGCTTCTCTCTCTAATTGACATAACCGCATTTTTTTTAAATTACAATTTCTTAACATGAGTAGTAACCAAAGTTTTTTGCTTTGGTGCAGCTGGATGACTGGGTTCTGTGCAGGATTATCAAGAAACATGAGATGCGTACTACTGTTAATGCTAATATCAGAAATCGACAAAGAAACGAGGACGATTCTGCGGGGTCAAATGATGACATTGATGAAGTTTGATTGGGTGTTCCCCCAAGCCAAAGCTGTTTAAAACAAAAAAAATGGTTCGTTATGTTTTCCTTTAATTCTCATTTGTAATACTGACGAAAAAGAAATGAAAAGAAAGACATCAATTCAGCCCTTGGTATACCTGGTAGCTATTAGGACCATCACCTACAAATCCAACTTCAGCCATGTAAGGTCTGGCACAGCCATTGGGTGAGCCAGTCGCCCTTATTACCACAGATTCATTGTATTTGAGACCAACCTGAAATCACAAAGAACTACCAGTAAATAAAGTCTTAATTTCCATTTGCATGGCGTTGACAATTCAATACATTCATCTATCAAATGCTTGGTTCGATTCTCATGAACTAGTTTGAGTGTACACACCTTCTCGAATACAGCTCTAACACGTTTGAAGATGTCAGGAATTCCCCGTTCGGCTTCAGTTATTGCCAATGGGCAAAGTGGTAAAGCTGGACATGCCATTGCAGTCAAATTGAGGGGATCTACATACTTGGGTTGCTGTACATGAGCAATATAAATCAAAACCATCACAATTGAGAAAAGCAAGACAAAACAAGGAAGACGAAAAGCTAGCCAATCAAATAAGCACTATAATAACCCCCAGAATTTCACCATTTGCCAACTGAGCTGCAGCAGAACAGTTCGAACAGTAGTAGGTGAATGAATGAAACAAGAAATAGATATGCCAATTGGATCCTTTTGACATACTATACAAGAATGTTGTTATAGACTTTGAATGTCGATTTCCATCAAAATGTTTAACAGATAGGTCGACCGTTGAATGAATGAAACAAGAAACAGCTCGATTTGGTCTATTACCATACTTCTCCATACAATCCATAGATAGATCCCTCATATTTGCCAAGTTCCCTCGCGACTGCAGTGGGTATGTTAATCTAGGACTATATTTCTTAGTTTCACGAGCATTGGGAACAAGGCCTCCCCAATATCCCAATAGGGCATGCCATACATAGACGTACCTGAAATTTTGGAAAGGCAAAAAGAAGAAGGAATTCAAGAAACTTCAAGAGAGGATGAACATTAAGATGGAAGTCATGCTGATGCTTGTGCACTTGGTCTGCTTGAAGGGCAGTTGCTATGAACTACTCTGCACCATCCCTGTCTACTACTATCATCAAGTCCCATGGACTATCACCACCAAAAGAAAAGAGAAAAAACCTCTACTAGACATCATGGGATGCTTACTTAAGGCCAAAAGTCCTCTTAATATCTGCAACAAAATGTTTTAGATTATTTGGTGCATCACCCAGAGATTCGTTGGCTGTTCTCCGAAATTTGTTGTTTTCTTCAGTGCTGACTAACCTCCCACCGAACCTGAAATTTGGGAAAATCAGAAAACCTGCATTTTCTATATTAGCATTAAAGGAAAAGGGATAAACTTACTGTGACCCTTCAATAAATGGCTCTCCTTCTTTTGGAATTCATTAGTTGTATCCTGCCAACCATCATCTATTATCAAAAACTTTGCTGGAGTGCCTCCCTCGGATAAACTGCGAGAGTGAAACGAAGATGAATTTAGAACTTCCATGCTAAGAACGGTTGTTTTCCAGATCATTTTGGAAGTCACTGCATTCTCTGTGGAGTGAAAATGTAGAAGAATTAAGGATTTAAGATTAACCTTTTTAAGCCATCTTTTATTCCTTGAGGATTTACTTCCTGATAAAAAGCATCCCAGGTGCACCAACCAAACACATCGAGTATTCCTGGCATCTGCACCATAAAGGATCGAAGAAATTCATAATTCTTAGGCTTTCATTGTCTTCATTTTTTTCCCCTCAAGCAAGAGAAAGTGAAAGGTCTGTATAGAGTAAACAATAAGTAGTGGCCTAACTTGCCTGTTTCGTTTCCCTGACAGAAAATGTTCCAGCCTGCTCCTCCAAAATCCTGCATACGGTGCAAAGAAGATGTAACAACAACAAGCCAAGAAGGTAGAAGCCTACGTACTCATGGTCTGATCATAAGATTTTTAATTCATTTTGCTGCTCAAGATTTAAATTCAGGCTACAATTTAACTACAATACTTCAATGGCAACGATATTACCCCATTTGATTTCTAATATTTCCATTATAAAAGAACATTTCTAATATTTCCTGCAGAAAGAAACTGAAAGTTGCTCAGAGGGCTGACCGACTTCATTGATTCCTTCACTAGATCAAATGGACGGTTCCCATGATTCACAAAAACTGCTCTTATGGATTGTGAAGTAACTATAGCAGGGTCACCTATCAGAAAACACAAAAAATACCATACCTTAAACCCTAAATACAGAGAGGAAAAGGATGAAATAAAATGAAGATAGAAAATTACCGCTTTCAAGACAAAACTCAAGTTCATTTGATGAGTTCCCTTGCAAGCTGCTTCGAAATTCAACATCTAGAAAAGGCAAGAATAAGATATAAGAAGGAGAATCATTTGACTTATCTAAATCCTGTCCTTTCCTTGCTTCCAACAGCAACATCTGGGTTTCAATAAGAATGTCACTTCCTGAATTCCCCACTCTAGGTATCATCCACCAAACTTTAAATCTAAACAGACTTAATAGTCTCACATCCCTGCATTGCACAATCATATCCTAAGAAAACTTCACTTCGAATTGAAAATCCTTTCCAGACTAAATAACAAAGCAAGGTAACAACAAGAGGGGCCTTACTGAATAACTCCAAGCTTGAAAACATGTCTGGAACCGCTTTCTGAGGAAGTAGCCAGGCACTCCTGTAATTGCTTCTTTCCCATTTAAACTGAGGGTGCCATCTTTTAATAAGGGTTTTTTGTTGACAGTAGGCTGTCAACAAATTTTGTGTAACCTTTTGTTGTATTTTTTTAATTTAGAAAATGTTCTAGAATTTTGCTTTTGTGATGGAGCTTACTTTTAAGTAACTAAACATGAAGACAAATCTCCTTAAAGTTAGGATTAGTTTACCAACTCCATAACCTCTGTACAGCACATTTATAAATTTGAATGAAAGGAATGCACGTGCGGAGGAGCTCCATTTTTCACCTCTGTTTTGTTTCTCTCTTTCCTTTGTGCTTCGCCAAGTTTTTTCTGCATTTGGTTAATAGTGGTATCAGAGCATTCATTTGATCTTTGAGGGGTTATGAGAGTTTTTCTTGAGAGAAAACCGGAAAGGCAACCTTCACCAAAAGACCCGAGAGTTTGTGAGTTTCAAGTGATGGCTTCCACCAATTTTACGGTTCCACTTCCTTCGTTTTCACAGGAGAAAATTACGAAATTTGGGCTGCAAAAACGAGAGCCTATTTGAAGGCCTATGATCCGTGGGAGGTCACCGAAGCCGGCGTAAACGCTGAGCCCTTGAGAGCAAATCCCATTGTGGCTCAAATCAAGCAATACAATGAGGAGGTTTTAAAACAATACAAGGCACTTTCATGCATCCAAGCTGCTGTGTATGAAACAATCTTCACAAGAATAATGACTTGTGAAACTCGGAAAAGACGCATGGGATAGGCTCAAAGAGGAGTTCGAGTGGTAGTGAAAGAACAAGGCGGATGCAAGTTCTCAATCTCGGAAGAGAATTTGAATCCTTGAGAATGAAGGATTCGAGTCGATCAAGGAATTTTCTAACGGACTCATGAAGGTGGTGAACCAAATTAGATTGATGGGAGAGGACTTGCCGGATAAAAGGGTTGTGGAAAAGGTACTTGTTAGCCTACCCGAGAAGTTTGAAGCCAAAATTTCATCTCTTGAAGATTCAAAGGATTTGTCAAGCATTACTTTGTCGAGCTTGTTAACTCATTGCAAGCTATTGAACATAGAAGGCTGATCGAGCGGGAGGAGCATTCTGAAGGAGCTTTATTTGCTCGGAACAAAGGTAAGGCTCATTCCGGTTCTGGTTCGAAGAAGCAACAAAGTGATAAAAGTGGCAAAGGCAAAAAAGATACTCGGAGCGAGCAAGTCCAGAGGAAAACGGGGAAGTTTCCTCCTTGCTCTCACCTGCAGATAAGAGGAATCATATAGAGAAATATTGCTGGTACAAACCGGGAGTTCAATGCGGATCATGCCATCGGTTTGGTCATGTTGAGAAGGTATGCAAAAATAAATCCGAACGACAACGGAATCAGCAAGCTCAAGTTGCTAAAGTCCATCGAGAACATGAGGAGAAGTTGTTTGTTGCAACTTGCTATGCTTGTCACCACAAATCCCGGAGTTTGCCTACCGGATAGTGCTTGCACAAATCATATGACACCTAATCCTGGCATGTTCAAGGAGCTAGATAGGAGCTACACCTCAACGGTTAAGATTGGTAATGGAACTTACTTGAAAATCACGAGCAAGGGCGTGATTATCGTGGATACATCTTCGGGTACTAGACTAATTCCCGAAGTTCTTCTAGTTCCTAATTTAGATCAAAACGTGCTTGAGTGTGGGTCAATTGCTTGAAAATGATTATTCTTTGGTGTTTAAAAACAAAGCTCGTGATGTGTTTGATCCTAAAGGAGCCAAGCTTCTCTCCGTTAAAATGAACAAGAGATGCTTTCCTATTCAATGGAAAAATGCTGAAATAAAAGCCTTTACTACGAGTTGTTGATGAATCTGTTTTATGGCACAAAAGGCTAGGCCACTTTAATTAAGTCGCTCTAAAACAAATGCAAAGGAATGAGTTGGTTATTGATATGCCTGCTTGTGAGTGAAAATTCGAAGTGTGTGGTGTGTGTCAATTTGGGAAGCAAACAAGGCTTCCATTCCTCGCAAATCAAGCTTGGAGAGCTTCTATAAAGCTCCAACTGGTTCATTCGATGTGTGTGGTTCCCATGAGGACACCCTCACTCACGTGGAGTAGATATTTCTTGTTATTCATTGATGACTTGAGTATAAAACTAACCAAATTGTAGCACAACCCTAATAGTTGAGATTAAAAGATGCCACTAAACTCTTTCCAAAAAGAAAAAATCAATAAATTTAAGGTTACTCAAAAAAAAAAATTGATTAAATATCAAGAAATATTATTTGACATTATTAATTATAAACTTTCTTCATGATGTATTCAATACATATAACCACATTATTTGCTCATAAGCAATTGAGTAGCTAGCTAGCTAGCTAGCCATATGTAAAAGAGGACATTACTAGCTAGTAGACGCATTGACATAAATTGTTAACGCACTTTAAAGGATCTCGAATTGACATACATAAGTATATTTGTCGCAATGACGAATAGTTTTGCAGGCATAATCGGGATTTTTTCATCTTCTCTGTTGTCATACACGAGAGAAAAATATCTATCAAATGCAAATATCATTTCGTTAGTTAATTTCATGGTATATTTTAATGTAAGTCAAAAGAGCCAAAAAATAAATAAATAAAATAAAAACATAGAGATAGAGATACTAACAAGATGCCACCACCAAAAAGAAGGTCAAGAACACCATCTTGAAATAATTCCTTGCCATTTTCTTTCTCTTCTAATTTGATGTTTGGAACAAAGACAAGATGATTATAGTTATGATTTGCAATGTAGAAAATGAGGTTGTTTTACTTCATAGTTATAGACCGATTAGGTATGAAGAGATATATCATTATAGAAAGAAAACGAAATAAAAAGAAAGAAGATATATATGGTAATTCCAATGGCCAAAAGATTTTGAGATTGTAAAAATAATATGTGAATGGCAAGTATATATGATATTTTATAGAAAGATATTGATATTTGTGGTTAGGAAATCTCTTTGGAGTTATTTTGTTATTAGAAATGAAATATCCGAATAAAAATATAGAAATTGCAATGAAAATTAGAAAATCGAATAACATTTGTATTCTCATACTGTATTTAAAATAACAATAAGAAGTCAAAATAAAATTTAAAATTTTTAATATCCGGTTTTTAAGATAAATAAAAATAATGATTAATTTTTTTTTAATCAACTATGATGGTAGTAAAAATGATAAATGTGATTTTGGTTGTGATGGTATAGTACAAAATGAGTAGTGGTGGTATAATAAAAATAATTGTAGTAGTGAAAGAGGAGTGATGGTAGAATAATAATAATATTATTTTTTTAATTTTTTTAATTACTATTGCTAATAGAGGTGGTTGTAGAAGTAGTCGATATATGATAAATAAAAATAATATATCACTATTTTGAAGAAAAAGAAAGTTAATTTCCATTTTGTATTTTTATTCCCAACTTTTGCGTAACAATAAAATTATGTTTAATTTTTATTTTCATTCTAACTCTTCATTTTCATTCTCACTTCACTTCTTTCAACCAAACTTGCAAAGTGGAAATAAAATTTTCATTTTTATTTTTATGATTATATTATTTTTACCGAACAACACCTTTTATTCTATATTGTAATTCATTAGTCTCATAATTTTATTTCCATAATCAAAGTAACTCTACATTAAGATAACGTTTCTTTTCAACTATAATCCAAGCAAGTCTTGATGAGAATGCATCAAGATCAGCATTGGAAACTTGAGGACCATGTGCATGCGATCCCAATCGGACTATATTAGACTTTATAACATATCACTAGAGAAAAAAAAATAAGAATTCAATATGTAATTTCTAAAAAAAAACTTGAATTTATAAAATTCTAAAATAAGACATGATGCTATAATATTAGGAAAAAAAATCTATTTAGCATAATTTTTTAATCAAATTCAAACCTAGCATTTATCTTAGCTCAATAGGGAAACTATAAGAGTATTTTTTATTCATCCTTACGACATCTCAAGTTTAAAAATTCGGACTAATCCCTCATTATTCGATTAGACGTGCAAATCAAACACATTTATCTAGAGAATAGTTTGCCCGATTGTGATCATAATCATAATTACTATTGTCGCTATCCGAAGTTAGACGGAACTCCTGAAAAAATCTATTAAGAGTTTAAGATTTATTTTTATTTACAAAATTATTTTACAAAGTTTGAAGTCGCCACTTAGTATTGAAGGAACTAGGAACCTAAAATAGACATTGGTTCGGAGATTCTATGGTAAAGAGTTGATTATGCTTTTGGGAAGATATTGATCACCCAAAAGCGCCCTTTTCGAAGAAAGGTACCATGTCCGGCTTAGTTATAAATTCATCTCCTAAAGTATTTTATTTTTGCCACATCATTTTTCAATTTTTAAATTCCAATTTTCCAAGTCGTTTATTTCAAGCCAAATTAAGTTTTTTATTTTTGAACGTGGTATTATATTGAAACGATTGTCGGACCCTTTCCGTCGAGAGACACGTCGGTTCAAACATCGGATGGACTTTTTAAGTCTCGACACAACCAACACGTCGGAGAACACTTGTTTATTCAAAATGATTTTTTTTCTAACAACAGTCCCTATCGGATAGGAGACTTTGTTAAAAATTTTATAATTTTATAATTTTTTTATTTTTCTTTTATCATTTTTTTCTTTTCATTTTTTTTATGGAAGATCATCATTAGTCCATAAAGAATTAGGAGACTTGACCATCCTCCACTCGTTAATTACCAAGTCTAATAAATTAAAAGTTACACTAATTAAGTGAATTAAAGAAAAATCAAATATTGAAACTTAAATTAATAAAAAACATGCACAAAATAAATTTGAACGAGACAATTAAATTAATTAAAATATTTACGGAAGATCTACGTATAATTTCTAAGATTAAATACAAACCGACAAACATGCGAAAAATAAATTAAAATAAAATCACATATAAAAAAAATCAACTAACTAAATTAAATATGAAATGATAAGCATGCATAAAATTAAGTTAAAAATTAAACCTTTTGACCTTTTTTTTGTGGGGATGGGGGTTGGGCTGGATTGTCCAGCCTACCCAAAAATTCAGGCTGGCTGGACTGTCCAGCCCCGGCCACAAGTGTGTTGGGGTAAGCCCAACCACACTTCTTTTTAAAAAAGCGAGCCCAAGAACATAACCCAAACCAAAATTTTAGGAATTTTAGATCAAAACACATTTTTACCTTTCTTTTTCTCTCCTTTTCCCGTTTCTCTCTGTTCTTTTTTCCTTTCTTTTTCTTTCCTCTCCTTCTTCTTCCCTCCTGGCCGATTGCTCCTTTCCATGGACGCACCAGTCATGGTCCGTCCCGCCCTCTCTCTCTCTCCTCTTTCTTTTCTTTCCTTTTCTTCTTTTCTTCCTCTCTTCCTTCTTTCTTCTTCTTCCTCCTCCTCCTCCTTCTTCTTCTTGCCGAAACTGCCATGGACGAACCAGTGGTGGTTCGTCCATGGCCACTTAATTCTTCCCCTTTTTCTTCTTTCCTTCCTTTCCTCCTTTCTAGAACTCTTAATTTCCCTCTAGATCGAAAACCCCAAATCAATTTTTTCAAAAAAAATCCCCAATTTGGCCGAACCCTAATTTTGATTTTTCTTCAATTTTTTGTTCAAATGGATCTAATTGATTTGATTTCTCTGGAAATCAAGTCAATTCAAACCTTTTAGGATTCGAATTTTTGAAAACCCCCAAATCAATTTTTACCCAAAAAATCTCAGGAACCCTAGGTTTCAATTGGTGTCAATTGCGCTTCAATTTCGGGTTTAAACCCCAAATTGAAACCTAATTGAACTCAGTTAGTCCTAATTTTAAACCCCAAACATCAATTTCTAATCAAACAACAAAATCCCCAAATTTGAACATTGACAGTGCAATTCGAAAATTAAGCGAAATTGGTTTACCTAGAAGAAATTGACTTGAGAAAAATGATGAGATGTAGCTGCTCGAACAGGTAATTTCTCTTTCTCCTTTTTTTTTTTTTTTTTTTTAATTTTCGGATATTGGTACTGCCCAGTTTTTCCTTTTTTGTTTGCTGATTTTTTTCAATTTTTTTTGTGGGCCTAATTCCATCTAAATTTCGGATCGAACCCTCCTCTCTAATTTTCGAACCAACCCCCTCTCCTTTTTTTTTTTTGGTTATATTCTTTCAATTTCGGGCTGCTCCCCCATATTTTGTGTTGTGACTTGCGCGCGCGCACACACACACACATATATGTCTGTGGATGCTTGGTTGGTTCCCCCACTATGATGGTGGGGGGTTTTTGTGTGCAGGTTTGTCAAGTGGAGGGTTGGATTGGACAGTGTAGTGGGTTGTGGCAGTGGTGAGACTGCTGGAGATGTGGGCAACTAGAGGCTGGCAGTGAGTGTGGTGTAGGTGGATGCTGCAAGTTGAAGGTTGTGAGCTGTAAAGGAGGATGAATTTGGTTTGGGTAGAGGCTGCTGGATGGATTTGTGCTGCAGTAGGTTGTGGGGTACTGGAGTTGTAGCAACAGGGGTGGCTACAATAGAGGGACGCTGGAATTGTTGACCTGAGGAGGGGGCTGTGCAGGAGGAATTGCAGAGATAAGGGACTGCAAGTTGCAATTCAGCTTGGGAAGATGGCAAGAAACTGCACTAAGATACAAAAGAAAATTGCACAAGGGATGCAGGGGAACTGTCCCTCCAGCTCTTCTTTTTTTGTATTTTCCTTTTTTTTTTTTTTTTTGTATTTTTCATTTCTTTTGTAATTTTGTTCTGAAGTCTAAATAAATGGAAGGAAATATTTTTTATTTTTTTTGTTTGTTTTGATTTTACATAAAGCAATCATGAATTTACATAATAAAAAAAATAAAGAAAACTAAAATAAAAGAAAAATGAGTAAAAAATTGGGGTACTACAACTACAACCATTCAGCAAGACACTCAGTTGCAATCAGGAAGGAAAAGTAAAAGGATAAAAAAAAAAAAAAAAAAACAACTAGTTCGATGATTGTCACCAAAAGAAAATCTCAACAAAATCCTACAATAAAGAAAATCTTCCATCTCATCTCTAATCATTGTCACCAAAAGCAACAACAATAGGACTCCTAACATAACGCCTACCATCTGTCCATGATAGTGATCCAAATTCATACTCTTTAGCTGCACCATACCACTTAGCTTCAAAAGTAACCTTAAAGCTCTTCTCGTCGCCCGTATTCTCGAATGTCAAGATATTGGGTTCAACGGAGATCAAAATCCCATATGGTTCTCGAACATGAACTGCATATGTTCCTGGTAAACCTACATTCTTCACTTTTCTGATCACACTCATCGAGTTACGTACCAGGTTTACAGTTATTGAAGAGTTGTTGAAATCGAAAATACTAGCCAACTCAGGACATTTATAAGGACCGTCAGCGAAAGGTTCTATCATGGTAGAGTTGTATCTGCTAGTGCAAAGGAAGTCCAAGTAATCATTGATGCTCAAGCCATAGACCAAGCCTGGATCCCGAGTACAGTTTGGTCTTATATGTCCAGCACCATAACTAAATGGTGTTGCCTTCAAACTCTCTCTCCCATCAATCATCGGTGTCATGGTGTTGGCTCTCGTTCTTGCTGCACCATAGAACACAAAAGAATGTTGGCATTCAAAAATCTGCTAAAACATCCTACGATATTGAAAATTTCAGAGGCCTTACCGGTTGTCATGATTGCAGATCTAATTGCAGCTGGACTCCAATCAGGATGGAGAGTTCTAAGAAGCCCAACAACTCCTGCAACATGTGGACAAGACATAGATGTGCCAGATTCGGTGATGAAAGGAGACTTCCGCTTATCAAAGTCCAAGTTAGTAGGGCTGACTGCTTCACTAATGGCTGCTATAATATTCACTCCAGGTGCAGTTATATCAGGCTGTACATTTTGAAACAAAGGGGATTTTTAGTCCTTCTGTGTTTTACAAGGCCATTGCGACAAACATGTGAACATGGAAGACAACATAAGATTAACAACAAAACCTTCAACATCTCTGGTGTGACAGCATTTGGCCCCCTGGAAGAGAATGCAGCCATGAATGGAGTGGATTGTGTTCCCAGCTTTGCTGTCGGAGCGGAAATATATCCCAGAGGATGGCTGTTAAATTTTGACACACATAAGAATTGACAAAACTAATTTGTGAACTGTGAAGTGAGTAGACAAAAAAGGGAGGTGGTAGAGCATACTCGGTGGAATTAATGTAGGCAAATACAGCAAGACCATCTGTATAAGTGATTTCTGATGCTGGAAGAACATGAAGATCTGCTATGATTTCGTTACCACTTGCCTTGTCATTGCACAGGATCATCCCTGTTGCACCAACTAAAGCAGCTTGGTAGCCCTTATCCATTCTTCCAGTTTCTCCCCTGAGACACACCAATATTTTACCTTTGGCTTTCTCATGATCCAATGATCCAGGCTTACACAACAAGCTGCATAACAAATAAACAATGCCATCGCCTCTTACTCTGCACAAATTTCAATTTGATTCTATAAAGATTTGGAATAATCTTATCTTACGCATCTGCCACAGATGCATTGGCAGCCTTGGCTTGTTCGGTTGTTCCCCAGTAATGAGGGGATAGAATTTATTTTCAGGCAAAGGTGCAGAAAGGCTTGTGCCCTGCCATGTCGAGAATGAAAAGCACTTAAGAGGCTAGCTACAAGGAAAAGAGATGAAACAAGGGTCTGGTTTGTGAAGGAATGTGAACCTGGAGGCGCTTTCCCGCTATGTAACTCCACAAAAGTTTGGAACTCTCTATCCAAGGTACTTGCTCCAACACTTACAATCCAAGGTGCAGTATTTGTGACTGTTCCGTCCATTGGTCCAGAATTTCCTGCAGAGCACACAACAGTGATACCATTTTTTACGGCATGGAATGCTCCAATTGCAAGGCCATCATTGAGGTAATCTGTAGGTTCTCCACCAAGTGATACTGAAATCACATCAACTCCATCGTGTATGGCCATGTCAATGGCCTTCATGATATCTGCATCGAAGCAGTCACTGCCATTTATCGACGGCCAGCACACCTTGTAGGAAGCAACTCTAGCTTTAGGAGAACCACCTTTAGCAGTTCCGTTTCCTAAGCCAAAAACATTTGCTCCTGGAACAAAGTTACCGCCTGCGGTTGACAAGGTATGAGTCCCATGACCATCTTTGTCACGAGCAGAATTATCAGAAGAGTTGAGGCCTCCTACATATGCAATATAACCTTTGTTGAAGTATCTTGCTCCTATTAGCTTCCTGCACAAATTTCCAAACCTTTTATTCGTCTTGGACACCCTAAATCATTTGGTTTCCATTTTGATAAATGTGGGAGTGCTGAGCTAACCGATTGCAAGGGACTCCAATGGCAGTGTCATTCTCGCATGTTCCTTTCCATTTTGATGATACGGCCCCAATTCCTTCCTCACTGAAGCTATGTGATTCAGGCCAAACACCTACACCGTGATAAAAATATATAACTTTGGATAATTCTTCACATTATAACAACAGTTCAGAAACAAAAAACACCAGATATATCTCTTCTGATGCTTTCAAACGAGCATGTGTGTGTGTGTGTGTGTGTCATCAGAGATTCTTGTTCATTTGGCCTGTAATTCGGTTTTAGAAAATACTGCTCATGGTCCAACCAGCTAATTACCGGTGTCGAGGTTGGCTATGATTGAATCTTCACCAAATCTAGCTCTCTTCCACAAAGAAGAGGGGTAGACAACACTATTCTTTTCCAATAACATGAAATCCCATGAATGTGTTGTGTGTAGTTTTCTTCCCCAGTTCAAGAAAACCGACACAACCTTTAGATGCCCTGCATTGACAATTAAAAATTAATCATATCATATACATAGGCAAATTCTATATTCAAATGTAAGTAAATAACTTGAATGTTCAAGATGATAATAATAATAATAAACAGCTGTAGCTAAGCTACTATTAGTGTCTCTTCTTTTATCAGAAAAATCTCTGAGTTTGTCTCTCTTAGTCTTTTTTTTTATCTTTAATTTATATCTTCAGGTCCAAAAACTTAACCAGACTAATCTCTTACTCTTTGGATGCACAAGATGGGTCTCGAAACCAGAGTCATTTACTTAAATGATGAGAATTTTTTCTTTTCAAGCCAACGCTTGAGTTCACTTAGTCTCTTTTATAGTACGCACATAACAAAGCCATTGATGATGTTCTTATAATTACTTGCAATTTCAGCTGCCTCTTCCTCTTCAAGCATGGCAGCAAAGCCATTGATATGCCTGTCATACGAGTAAATAATTGTATCTCTTGCCTTCTCACTACTACATACATGAAAAACATCAAAATTAATTCTGATAACAAATTAAAAAAAAAAATTTAACAAGACAATAAATAAAGAAGCTAGCAAAGTTAGTTTCTTGATTTATACCTTCCCAAATACGATCCAATAAATTCTTGATGAGAATCAGCTACTGCATCAATATCAGCTTTAGAAACTCGAGGACCATGCGCATGCGATCCCAAGTAAACTATATAAGACTTTTTAACAAATCACCAAAAATAAATAAAAAAGAAACAAGGTAAGGAAAAAAATACACACATAATGTTGAGATATTACTAGTACATAGTTTACCTTTTTGATTCCAAGAGCAGGTGATTGGAACAAAGAGACAAAAATCATAAGCAGAAGCAGCATTGAACTTCTGGGAGCCGCATTCTTCTTCTTCTTTTTTCCTTCGATAATAATTAAAAGCCTATCAAAAAGACTAGAAAACCGTTTGTTTTTTATAAGATGATTGAACAGGAAAGAACTGAGAACAACAGAAGGGACAGAGAAATCAGGAAGAGTTACAAGCTGATGAGGCCAAAGTCCTAGTCAAGAAAAAACTTTGTGCTAACTCTAGAATATATAGTGGTAGTTATTCAACATTAATCAGCATCAACAGGCAGGACAGAGAAACAAAGTGTAACTCGAGAATATATAGTAGTAGTAGTTGTTCTCAACCTTCTGGAATACAGAGAGTTTTCTTCCTAACAAGAGTAACTTCTGAATGCGTTGAAGTAATCAGCATCTTCCTGCTTTTGAAAATGTAAGGTGGCAATGGGTTCTTAAGTGTTCATCTTGTGACAATTTTGACTGGTTTGGTGGATAATATATAGTAGGTGGATATATAGCATATGCTGGTCATGTGACAAATAATTTTATTTTTTTCAATTTATTAGTTATGTTAAAGTTACTCATGAACTGGATATATAGCATATGCTGGTCAGGTCAATGGGAAGCTTCTATAACCATTAGAATTTACAAAGAATTTAAGCAACGAATTCCAAGAGGAAGATAAATTTTGTACTTTGGCTTACAGTCAAACATTTCATTTATTGGCTTCAAATGGGAGCATAGTGTTTGACAATTGCTACCCAAACCATTAGATCTTTGACAAATTGTCACGCTTCACATCATAAGTCTTTGTAGTAGGACAATTCAAAACGTTCTCATTCTCAAAGTCTTATCTTAACCGTCCGCTTTGTATATCTTTTCATTAATCAGTCAAAATACCATGCACTAAGAGTCTATGTGTTCGGTAACCTGCGGAGCCTAAGTACCTGGAAAAGGCTCTCTAATTCAGTATATATATATATATATATATATCCCACTTTTTTTTCACTTCTTTTAAACATCTCAAACACATTTCACTAGCTAATTATCTTACGGTGAAAAAGTATGGTATTTCTTCACACCAAGGGACAGAAAGTACAAGAACGGAACTAGACCAAATCGAGCAGCCGGTGGGGGATATTGGAAAGCCACTGGAGCTGATAAGCATATTACATATGATAAGGCTGCGGTTGGAGCTGATAGGAATGCCACTGTAGAAAAAGTTCTTGTCGGATTTAGAAAGGCATTTGTTTATTAAACTGGAAAGGCACCAAGGGGTGACAAAACCAACTGGATAATGCATGAGTTTAGAGTGAAAGATCCACCTCCTCAAGTCAGAAATCATCGAGATGACATGAGGGTACAATATGGATCTATGGATCTTTGTCTATGCATCTCTCTCTAATTGACATAACCGCATTTTTTCTAAATTACAAATTCTTAACATGAGTAGTAACCAAAGTTTTTTGCTTTGGTACAGCTGGATGACTGGGTTCTGTGCAGGATTTTCAAGAAACATGAGAAGCGTACTAATGTTAATACTAATATCAGAAATCGACAAAGAAACGAGGACAATTCTGCAGGGTCAATTGATGACATTGATGAAGTTTGATTGGGTGTTCCCCCATGCCAAAGCTATTTAAAACAACAAAAATGGTTCGTCATGTTTTCCTTTAATTCTCATTTGTAATGCTGACAAAAAAGAAATGAAAAGAAAGACATCAATTCAGCCCTTGGTATACCTGGTAGCTATTAGGACCATCACCAACAAATCCAAGTTCAGCCATGTAAGGTCTGGCACAGCCACTGGGACAGCCAGTTGCCCTTATTACCACAGATTCATTGGATTTGAGACCAACCTGAAATCACAAAGAACTACCAGTAAATAAAGTCTTAATTTCCATCCGCATGGCATTGACAATTCAATACATTCATCTATCAAATGCTTGGTTCGATTCTCATGAACTAGTTTGAGTGGACACACCTTCTCGAATACAACTCTAACACGTTTGAAGATGTCAGGAATTCCCCGTTCGGCTTCAGTTATTGCCAATGGGCAAAGTGGTAAAGCTGGACATGCCATTGCAGTCAACTTGAGGGGGTCTACATACTTGGGTTGCTGTACATGAGCAATATTAATCAAAACCATCACAATTGAGAAAAGCAAGACAAAAAAAGTAAGACAAAAAGCTAGCTAATCAAATAAGCACTATAATAACCCCCAGAATTTCACCATTTGCCAACTGAGCTGCAGCAGAACAGTTCGAACAGTAGAAGGTGAATGAACGAAACAAGAAACAGATATGCTAAGTGGATCCTTTTGACATACCATACAAGAATGTTGTATAGACTTTGAATGTCAATTACCATCGAAAGGTTTACCAGATAGGTAGACTGTTGACATGATAAGTGATTACGTCCATAACATTGAATGCAAATTCTGAAAAGTATCCACTGATAAATTAATACCATCGAGTGACTATAAAAACAATCCTTTGCAAACTTAACTATCAAATAGATAAAGGCAGCATGAAATTTTAAAAGATGACCTTTTTTCTGCAGTTTGATAAGAAAATAGAAGAATAACAGGGAAAGAAGATTCCAATCTTGCAATATAGTGAGATTTATCACAGTTTGACTCATGTTACATTTGCAATTGTGTGCTGATGCCATCTAAATCATAATGGAACCATCTGACAAGACCTGCCCAATTCCTGCCTTATATGAAATCCCTTCTTTCGTTTATGAAACCAGGATATCAAATCCTTTCTTTAGTTCACAAACAGTTTCACAATTGATCCATTTTCACATTTCGCTAAGAACTACGAAGTTCAATTATACAAATCCTAACACCAAGGAACAGAAAAAAAATGATATATGCCTGGTCTTATTAGTCAACGGACTTAACTCTGGGAAAACAAATGATAATGCAGACCCCAAAAGCAAAATCCTTACCAGTAAACCAGCCTGTGCAAGAGCTGTGGTAATGCGGCGCTTCCATGCTTTGCGAATACCACATAAGATGATGTTCTAGGTTGGTGTGAGACGTACATCCAAATTGTACTTCTCTATTACTTCCCTGAATGTCGCTTTCATTTCCCCCCAACACGACCACTATCAACATGGAGCTCACAAAACAAGCCACCATCACCCTGTCAAGAATTTTCAATCTATCAGTAAGCAGAAGGTAAAATTCAAGAAGCAAAAAAATAGCAAAAAAAGTAAAAATGATAAAATGTGTGATCCTAAGCAGAATAGGTAAAACATTGCAATGAGACGAGACAGAACCAAAGTTAACACTTATATATTAGGGCTAACCTGCTCATGCCATCCCAAGTAACTTTCAAATTCCCACTCAGGCAACTCACGAGAAGGCTCAAATTTCTTCCCATAATACTGCTCCACGACACTTCTAAACTTCTCGATGCCCCAGGAGATAATCAAATATTTCATTCTACTGTATTTGCGATCATCTCTCCTCCGATTCTCTCGTTGAGTGACAACAATAGCTTTCACTGCATATAAAATGTCCTCCTCTGGTACATAACCCAATGGTTCTGCCAACCGAGGAAACCGAGAACAAATTGACATGTCTTCTACTCAAACCAATTTAATTCGAACTCCTCAATCCATAAAAACTCCCTATCTGAATCTTTACGTCCTTTAACACAGCAGTATTAGCTGCTCCAAACGACGTCGCAGTCGTCATCCCTCCGTCAAACACAAATAAATAAATAAATAAATAAATAAATAAAAAGAAAGAAAACCCTAGATAACAATAAAAGGCAGTAGAGAAGCAGAGAGATTGATATTTGTGGAGACTGGTGAGTGGGGAAGAGAGATTGAAATGAAAGCGGAAGCTTTAAAACCGGAGTGGTTATTTATTTATTTATTTATTGTTCACTCTATCTGCTTAGTAGTCACTGTTATTGTGCACTGTCACGCGCCTGACACGAATACGAATATATATATTAAATCAAATAAGATAAATTTCTTTTTAAAGATAGAGTTTATCAAGTAGTTAAGATTATGGAGTGTTAATTTTCAGATTTATCTCAAAAAAAAAAAGAGATTAATCTGCCATAAAAATACACACACATATATATATATATGCTTTTGATTCCCTTTGCAACTACAATGCATAACAAAATCGTTTGAGTCAAAATTGTTATCGTGTTGAGAGTAATGTCGTCTGGCGAAGAAAACTCTTCAGACAGTCCTACTATGGAGTTTAGCATTGAGGAATCAAAGCCGAATATACAGCATGCTGTTACCGCTCCATTAGCATCAAACATCTCTGCAAACCCCCTGCTTCACCGTCCCAAATTCTGAGTACTTCAAACTCACCACCATCAGTACTACCACAGCCACCTTCTACCATTGCTTCACCACCATTGCCACTTTCTATCGTTACTCGACCACCAGCACCACCCAGATTTTCTAATAACCACGATGACGATCGTTATTTCAAGAGTTTCCCACCTGGATATAGATTTAGTCCTCATGATGATGAGCTGGTGTTGCATTACTTGTCCAAGAAAGTGAGAGGACTGCCATTGCCTAGGAACAGGATTGTCGATGTCACTCTCTATCAACACGATCCCGAGTTTCTTGCAGGTTCTTTAATTAAAACCCTTTTCTTTTCTTTTGATTGTTACTTGTTTTCTTTTTGGTCCCGAGTCTCTTGCAGGTTATTTGCTTCAAACCTTTTTATTTTCTTTTGATTATTAATTGGTTTTTTTTATATATAATTTCTTTCGTTAATGGCTTGTTTTTTTTTTTTTTTTTTTTGAAGTAATTAACACATGATCATATAAACTTTATTTGTTTATTATCTCAATAGATAGATACAAGCATTACGGTGAAAAAGTATGGTATTTCTTCACACCAAGGGACAGAAAGTACAAGAACGGAACTAGGCCAAATCGAGCGGCCGGTGATGGATACTGGAAAGCCACTGGAGCTGATAAGCGTATTACATATGATAAGGCTGTGGTTGGAGCTGATAGGAATGTCACTGTAGAAAAAGTTCTGGTTGGATTTAGAAAGGCACTTGTTTATTATACTGGAAAGGCACCAAGGGGTGACAAAACCAACTGGATAATGCATGAGTTTACAGTGAATGATCCACCTCCTCAAGTCAGAAATCATCGAGATGACATGAGGGTACAATATGAATCTATGGATCTTTACATCTCTCTCTAATTGACATAACCGCATTTTTTTTAAATTACAAACGAGTAGTAACCAAAGTTCTTTGTTTTGGTGCAGCTGGATGACTGGGTTCTCTGCAGGATTTACAAGAAACATGAGAAGCGTACTATTGTTAATAGTAATGTCAGAAATCGACAAAGAAACGAGGACGATTCTGCGGGGTCAATTGATGACATTGATGAAGATTACGTAAACGGTCATGATCATAATACAAATGATCATCTGGCTGGTATGGAGGCTGACTATGCTGGGGAGATCTACGACATTGGGACTGGTTCTTTAGACAATTCATTCGCAACGTTGGAAGATTTAAGCCCACAGCAGAATGCTCTAAGCGGATTCTCAGATCCTATCAACTTTTATCATGCTCCTGCTGACTATTGCATGATGTTGCATGATACACAGTTCCCCAGTTTGCCTGAGACAATTGGAAGTTCTGCCCCAATGTTCTCCATTATTAATCCTGACAATTGGTCATTCAGGCAAAACGAATACCAAGATGAATTTCTGAATACTACAAACTGGTCTCACAGTAACATTGCTGACCAATTTCTTGATCCCTATTCCGTCAGGTCAATTAATCTTCCCAGAAATCCTGCTCCTCTCGTCAATCTTCGTCCCGCAAATACAGTTCCTCTTAATGGAAGCCTTCCTCCCATAAATATTGCTCTTCCTAATGGAAGCTTTCCTCCTACAAATACTGTTCGTCTTAATCGTAGCTTTCCTCCCATCAATACTGTTCTTACCAGCCGCCTTTCTCCCACAAATCCTGCAAATAGTCAACCAATGTCATCAATACCTTCCACAAATCCTGCAAATAATCAGCCAATGTCAGCGATGAATGTTGAGGCCAAACTACATAGACAGCCACCTCAGCATCTATGATTAGTGTTAGGAGTTGGGCGTCTAGTAAATTTTAAGAACGACTCCCATCAGCTGTCATAAAGCTAATGTATGTGCTATATGTGCTGATGGATCTTCTAGGATCTTAGGTATTAAGTGAATAGACAATCTCAATAGTGAAGACATATATTTTATATGTTGACAGATTTTCTAGTTTTAGAAATTTAATGGCATGGTTTGGCAGCACCAGTTTTCTTCTCTCTCTCTCTCTTTGTTATTTTTAATTTTTGATCTTGTCAGTTGTCACTTTATATTTTGATTACTTTCCTTTGTTGCAGTGATCTGGTTTTTAATTGTTTGTTTGAGTAATGGTGCCAAAGCCATGCACCCCTGAGTGATCTACTCGTGCTTGATCACATACGATTACCTTCAAATCTTACATGAAGGTTTTTCGTTCTTTATATACATGTGTTGGCTGAATAATCAGCTTGTTTGTGGTCAAAACAAGTGCAGGAATTAAAAGTTGAAGCAAAGTGCCCGAATTAAAAGATGAAGTCTGGCAGCAGTAAAAATTACAACATATTATTAAACCTTAACATTTTCCCTCTTAATAAGCTGAGATTGTACTGAACTCCGAATACCTTCCTTAGCTACCGGGCTTGAAGGATGCATTTTCCCTCTTAATAAGCTGAGATTGTACTGAACTCCGGATATCTTCGTTAGCTACTGGGCTTAAAGGATGAGGTCATGAAGATCACTCCCGTTCAGAAACAAACACCTGCCGGTCAAAGTACCAGGTTTAAGGCCTTTATGGTTGCCGGCGATTGGAATGGACACGTCGGTTTGGGAGTTAAGTGTTCGAAGGAAGTTGCCACTGCTATTCTTGGTGCGATTATATTGGCCAAATTGTCGATTATTCCTGTGAGGAGAGGGTATTGGGGTAACAAGATTGGTCAGCCACGTACTGTGCCTTATAAGTTTACTGGGAAATTTGGGTCTGTAACTGTGAGGATGGTGCCTGCTCCTCGTGGTGCGGGGATTGTTGCGGCGAGAGTGCCAAAGAAGGTGCTTCAGTTTGCCGGGATTGAGGATGTTTTTACTTTATCTAGAGGGTCTACTAAGACTCTCGGCAACTTCGTCAAAGGTTTGATCTTTTCCTCTTGTTTTTTTATGAGTTTATTATGTGTATTATTGTTGTTTATGCCTTTGAGTAAGTTTAACTTGCTTCTATGGAAGTGAATGATCAAAATGGTTGATTAAGGTAGATCTTTTCTTGATTTGAATTGTGTTGGTCTGGTTGATTATCTACCGATTTATCATTTGTAGCGTTAATGTAGTATGTTTGTTTTTAGTTTTATTCTTGATTTGTTTTAATCCCTGTTCATTTACATCTTGATGATCTTTGTCGAAAGTTTTGAATTGTAGATCATCTGGAAGACTAGAGTAAAAGGTTTTATTTTTATTTTGTTTTTTTTTTTTTTTTTTTTTTGGTTCTGTGTAATGCCTTTTCTTCCTTGTGTAGCGACATTAAGAAATAGTGAACAACTGATTAGAGACCACCCATCAATAGTTGTGTTGAAGCTTCTTTTGAAATTTGAACCTGAGAGTATAACTTTCATTATTGCAAGGCAATAATCTAATAAAGCGAGAAATACTAGGGTGAACTAGCAATTTACAAATACTCTGCTGCTTGGTAGCAGTTCTGAGTCAGCTTTTTGTCCTCCATGCTGTGTTTATGTTTCATCTCAAGGAACTCTTCTTTTATATGTCATTTCCACTTAGGCAATTAAGTTGGTGTGCTTAAGTTGTTTGTTTGTTATATTTCTTCGAGCACGCATTATCAAGTGATGTTTACTTGTTGCAACAAGTGGAATGTTTTGCTTGTGTTTGATTGCGTGGCTCTTGTGCGTTCACCCTTTATGGTTAATCAAGTGTTTTTCTGTAAGCAATCATTGACTGCGCACAGAGGAGGTTGTACGTATGGCTTTGCGTTTTTGGGTTGGCCACTGTTTATGAATGTTTTTGACATGGTTGACCTCTGGAAGAGTGGTCTGTGTCTGTGAGTGCATGTGCATGATTTTTTTTTTTTTTTTTTTTTTTAACCGAAGTGTTTGGTATTCCTATCTTGAGCCATTTACACTCCTAAAACTAATAATAGTTCCATCCCTTCTTTACGTGAATGTGAGAGTCACACACAAGCCCTCAGCAACAGAGAGGACGCAAAAAATTTGCAGAGAAGAGATGGCATCCATGACCATGACAGCCTCACTCCTAGCTGGGTCAACCATGGCCAAGCAGCCGTTCACAACTCCACTCTTAAGGGCTCACTGTGGCCAAGGCCTCAAGAGGCACGGAGGGAGTCAACGTGGAGATGAAGAAGAAGAAAGAAGAGAGCAGTAGTGGGAGGAGGGATTTGATGTTTGCAGCTGCAGCTGCTGCTGCCTACTCCATTGCTAGAGTCGCCATGGCTGACGAAGAGCCTAAGCCAGGGACCCCAGCAGCTAAGAAGAAATATGTGATCGATCAAGTTTTGTGCTATTAATTTACTACCCAGATTATTGATCTGCTTAAATATAGAGGTGATCAAACAGACAAACTTGCAAACCATGCCCAGAATACTAAACAATTTTATGGAAACACGAATTAATAACTCAGAAAATTGACCTTGAAGATTAACCACAAATAAAAACCAAGAGATTGCCCTTTTCGTTCCCCCTTTTCTTTCGGGTAAAATAAATCAATGGCGACACCTGGAAAGGTTAGATAAGGATTGTAGTAAATACTAACTCTCATGTAAAAATTATTGGGATAATTGTCCTCTAAGAACATAGGCTTTTATTTTTCTTCAATTGAATATAAATTTTATTGATTTTTTAAAATTTCCAGTTAAATACTTTTTTATCTTTAAAATATTAAATTATAATTTTTTTCTTAATCAAGTATATAGATTTTAATTTTTTTTAAATTTAAGTATATTGATTTTTTCAAAACTAACAATCAAATATTTCTATTGATTTTAATTTTATTTCCATTGATTTTTTAATTAACTGATCTATTATCCCATAACACCAAATTACAAATTTACTCTCTTTTTGTTACTAAACTTTTCCTTCAAATCATTCTACCATTTTAAATTTTGAAAAAATAAAATAAAAGATATATTTTGTAGCTATAAAACCTTGAATAAACCCACTTAGATTTAAACATAAACATTAAAGGAAAACACAAACTTGAAATCTTTCATCAAGAAAATTCTTTGCCTTGGTATTTAAGAGAGAAATTTCCTCAAAAAATAAAATAAAATTATAATTTGATATTCTAGAACAACAATTCTAATTTAAAATTCTATTAATTGACAAAAATACTTTATTGATTATTTTAAAAAAAAATTAATATATTCAAATAAAAAAATAAAATAAAACCCATCGGAAAAAAGAGAGAAGTGGTGTCATTATCCCCAAAATTATCACTACTAAATAAAATTTGCTATCAATTATCACAACAAATTTCCATTTTTTGTAACTAAAATCTAGTTGCCTAAGAATCTAAGATACTACCTTTGGAGGTTACCTTCACCTTCCAAATACTGTTTGCTACGAACTAAAAAGGAACACGACAATCTAGTAACCTCAATTTTTCAGGAATTCAACACACAATCCGTTCCCATGTGAAAGAACACAAAAAATGGGAACATCAAAACTCCCAAATGCCAAATGTGGACCAAGTATAGTTAGTTCTACATCTGCGAAAAGAAATCAGGAGAAGTGCAGAAGCTGACATCAACAATTGCCGGACGACAAAAAACAGAGGTTTCCCAGATAGCTCTTGGACTCCGTTACTAGAACCGGTACTTGTTGCATAATTCTTGGATAATACACTGAAAAAAACATATTGATTATTACATGCATGAAAAGGTGATTTTATTACAAGGAGAAATAAATGAAAAACAATCAACAAAACTTCGGTTCATAGGATACAAGGCCTGATTTATCTTATATAAAATACAGGTCTTGTAGAAGCCTGAACGAGCAAAACTGTGATACAAAATTATACAGATACTTAGCATTTTACAGCTGTTACCGACCAGTAACAGCACAAAGAGATAAAGAAAGAGAGATTGTTCCACATTCACCTCACCCTTTTTGCCAGACAAAAAGATTGCGGAAGATATGAATAGGTAACTCATTCTCCTTTCCCGTTTTGCTGGGCAGTAGCATAATTGCGAATAACTTCCATGGCCAACTGATGAGCAGTCTTATTCTGCAATTTTGCAAGTTCATCCATTTTTTCATATGTATCCTTATCAGCAAAAAGTCTCAGGTTGTATGTAGGCCGTGTAGCCACCACACCATCCCATTTCTCAACCCACTCTTGAAGAGCTTCAAACCCCTAATAGAAAAGATTGAAGACAATATCTTCAGACTAACGGAAATTTTCAATGGGATTGGATAAAAACTCAACATAAAAAGGCAAACTTTTCCAAAGGGTTGAGAGATGATAATTTGCAAGGCAATACTCACCACGCGATTTGTGAAGTCGCCAAATGATTCTTTGGATTGTCTTTTCCTTTTCCAAGAATAAAAGAGAGGTTCCAAAACCTTTTCAAGGTCATGAATTTTAACCTTATTCATGAAGGTTCTTGCTAATGAAGTTTGATTGGGTGTTCCCCCAAGCCAAAGCTGTTTAAAACAACAAAAATGGTTCGTTATGTTTTCCCTTAATTCTCATTTGTAATACTGACGAAAAAGAAATGAAAAGAAAGACATCAATTCAGCCCTTGGTATACCTGGTAGCTATTAGGACCATCACCTACAAATCCAAGTTCAGCCATGTAAGGTCTGGCACAGCCATTGGGACAGCCAGTTGCCCTTATTACCACAGATTCATTGTATTTGAGACCAACCTGAAATCACAAAGAACTATGTGTAAATAACGTCTTAATTTCCATTTGCATGGTGTTGACAATTCAATACATTCATCTATCAAATGCTTGGTTCGATTCTCATGAACTAGTTTGAGTGGACACACCTTCTCGAATACAGCTCTAACACGTTTGAGGATGTCAGGAATTCCCCGTTCAGCTTCAGTTATTGCCAATGGGCAAAGTGGTAAAGCTGGACATGCCATTGCAGTCAAATTGAGGGGGTCTACATACTTGGGTTGCTGTACATGAGCAATATTAATCAAAACCATCACAATTGAGAAAAGCAAGACAAAACAAGTAAGAAAAAACACTAGCTACTCAAATAAGCACACTATAATAACCCCCAGAATTTCACCATTTGCCAACTGAGCTGCAGCAGAACAGTTCGGACGGTAGAAGGTGAATGAATGAAACAAGAAACAGATATGCTACGTGGATCCTTTTGACATACTGTTGTTATAGACTTTGAATGTCAATTACCATCGAAAGGTTTACCAGATAGGTCGACTGTTGACATGATAAGTGATTACGTCCATAACATTGAATACAAATTCTGAAAAGTATCCACTGATAAATTAATACCATTGAGTGACTATAAAAACAATCCTTTGCAAACTTAACTATCAAATAGATAAAGGCAGCATGAGATTTCAAAAAATGACCTTTTCTCAGCAGTTTGATTGGAAAATAGATGAATAACAGGGAAAGAAGATTCCAATCTTGCAATATAGTGAGATTTATCACAGTTTGACTCATATTACATTTGCAATTGTATGCTGATGCCATCTAAATCATAATGGAACCATCTGACAAGACCTGCCCAATTCCTGCCTTATATGAAATCCCTTCTTTCGTATATGAAACCAGGATATCAAATCCTTTCTTTAGTTCACAAACAGTTTCATAATTGATCCATTTTCACACTTCACTAAGAACTACGAAGTTCAATTACACAAATCCTAACACCAAGGAACAGAAAAAAATGATATATGCCTGGTCTTATTAGTCAATGGACTTAAATCCGGGAAAAAATTCATAATTATGGAATACCCAGGCAGACATAAGATAATGCAGACACCAAAAGCAAAAATCCTTACCAGTAAACCAGCCTGTGCAAGAGCTGTGGTGATGGGGCGCTTCCATGCTTTGCGAATACCACACAAGATGATGTTCTGGTTTGGTGTGAGACGTACATCCAAATTGTACTTCTCTATTATTTCCCTTAATGTCGCCTTCATTTTCCCCCCAACACGACCACTATCAACATGGAGCCCACAAAACAAGCCACCATCACCCTGTCAAGAATTTTCAATCTATCAGTAAGTAGAAGGTAAAATTTAAAAATAGCAAAAAAGGTAAAAATGATAAAATGTGTGATCCTAACCAGAATAGGCAAAACATTGCAATGAGATGAGACAGAACCAAAGTTAACACTTATATATTAGGGCTAACCTGCTCATGCCATCCCAAGTAACTTTTAAATTCCCACTCAGGCAACTCACGGCAAGGCTCAAATTTCTTCCCATAATACTGCTCCACAACACTTCTAAACTTCTCGATTCCCCAGGAGCTTATCAAATATTTCATTCTACTGTATTTGCGATCATCTCTCCTCCCATTTTCTCGTTGAGTGACAACAACAGCTTTCACTGCATATAAAATGTCCTCCTTTGGTACATAACCCAACGGTTCTGCCAACCGAGGAAAAGTGGTCTCTAGCCTATGAGTTCTTCCCATACCACCACCAACCTGCATTAGAAATTGTAAGAAACAAAAAGCTGTAGGGAGTTAAGAAGGAAAAAGAGGACTGTTCTCAATATGTTAATCTAATCTTACATATATGTTAAAACCCTGAGGTTCCCCATCAGCATCAGTAACCACAACCACACCAACATCATTTGTGAGAAGATCCACGGAGTTATCTGTTGGCACAGTGACTGCCACTTTGAACTTCCTAGGCAAGAATTGAGTTCCATAGATGGGCTCTGGTGAATCAGGGAAATTTGTTCCATGCGAATTGTCATTGCGGGCCTTCTCCACCTCTGGAGGTTCTGCTGACATGATTTTCTCTCCATCCACCCACATATCATAGTAGAAACCAGACTGGGGAGTTAGAAGTGCAGCAATATTATCAGCAGTTTGCTGTGCAAATTGGTAATCTTTTCTCGCAAATGGAGCAGCAGGAGCCAAAACATTCCTGTTAAGATCACCGCATGCACCAAGAGTTGAACCCATGCTATGAATAATGCTGCTCATCACAGTCTTGAGGTTCTTCTTAAGAACACCATGGAGCTGAAATGTTTGCCTGGTTGTCAATCGAAGTGTTCCAATTCCAAACTGATCGGCAAGATCATCCATGGTCAAGTACAATTGGTTTGGGACTTTCCCACATGGGTTCTTTGTACGAAGCATAAAGGAGTAGGATCTTCCCCCTCGTTCATCTCTGTTATACTGCTGATAGCTCCCATGGAACTTGATAATTTGTGTAGCAGACTCATTAATGTTTGGGGCATCTGTGAGCAACTCCTCATTAAGAGGGTACCTAATAAAATTGCTGTGTTCTTTGATTATTTCAACCTTGCTACGCTTAGTTTCAGTCTCCGGCTTTACTGGCTGCGCGCAAAATCCATGCAAATAATAAAACATGAAAACGGCACTCGACAAACTTTATCAATAATAATCAACATTCAGCTTATTCTTATCAAGAAATTGCCTTTGCAGGCTTGCCTTACAATTCTTTATTGTTCCAAAATAAACCCATAATGAGTGACATAGAAAATGTAAAACAATGACGAAAACCTCGATCTAAATAATAGTTGAATCAGAAGCATTTCGATTTCTGGGGTTCCGGACACCTTCCTTTTTCTGCCAGATTTACGTAGCTCAGAACATTTAAGAAGAAATTCAACAAAAATTCAACAAACATGAAATAATTTTGCATTTTAGTTTTAAAAATCATAGAACACACACCAGATTGAAAGGCGCAAAAATCTGAGACAAAATGGCCGGAAAGAAATAAAGTGAGAGTATCGATAAAAAAAAAAAAAAAAAAACAAGCTTTGTCTCCTTTACTTTTGATGTTATTTCTTTCCTCTCCATCCAAACAGAGCGCGAGATTCGAAAAAACAGCTTTCGAAAGGAAAAAAGGAAACGTTTTGCAGCAAAAAACAGTCGATCCAAACACAAACCATAACTAAAATGCCCTTACTAATTATTTATCCTTTCTTTTCTCTCAATTCCTTCTTTCAACATCCAAAATACAGAAATCCAGACACCAAAACTCAATCCAAACACAAATCATAAAGGTTGAAAAAATAAACGGTGAGCAGAAAGAAAGAATTGACGAAATCTAACCGTTGAGACAGCTCTAATAAGCGAATTAGGTCGAGAGGTTGAAGACGAAACCGAGAACAAATTAACATGTCTTCTACTCAAACCAACTGAATTCGAACTCCTCAATCCATCAAAACTCCCTATCTGAATCTTTACGTCCTTTAACACAGCAGTACTAGCTGCTCCAAACGACGTCGCCGTCGTCATCCCTCCGTCGAACAAAAAAACAAGAAAACCCTAGATAACAAGAAAAGGCAGTAGAGAAGCAGAGAGATTGATATTTGTGGAGACTGGCGAGCAGGGAAGAGAGATTGAAGTGAAGGCGAAAGCTTTAAAACCGGAGTGGTTTATTTATTTATTTATTTTTTACTCTATCTGCTTAGTGGCCATTACTATGGTGCCCTGTCACGTGCCTGACACGAATACGAATATATCTTTTTAACTGGTGACTCTGCTGTAATCCGAAGCGATTCTACTCCACGCTCTGACAGGTCTCTGCGGAATGATGTTGCTGGACGGAGAGGTGTAGTTTGAAGCGAGTGGGAGCGTAAAAGACGGACAGGCAAAACCAAAGTTGGATTCTATGGTACATTGAACGTGGACGGGATTACTTTATTTCGTAGTAATAGTAATTAAGAAAAAAAATGAGTCAATTAGGACTGCTGTTTAGATACTAAAATAAGCAAATTAAAGTTCCATTTGCTAAAATGGCAAAACTCAAATGGTGTTAGTGCTCTCTCCATTCCAAAAGATTGTGCATTTTAAATAATAGTTGCAGATATGTTTCAAAATATTTATGATAAAAAATTTAAATAATTTATTTTTAAAAAATATTATTAATTAATAAAAATAATTAATCATTCTTTTATTTTCTATTCTGTATTAATAAAAAATCAATATTTTTTATATATACAAATACATTTAATATAAAAATGTCGAAATAATTTTTTTTATGAAAAATATTTATCTTTACAAAGACCTTACTCCATATTAAAATTTTAAGAGTAAAATATTTTCAAATGTATGTTGTTTTTCATAATTATTTTAAATTTGATTCTTAATTAACTTAATAATTTTTTTCTTTAATTTACCATGTTAATTTTGGATAGATTTTCTCTTTAAATTAATATTAGTTCTATGTAATGCATGATTAAATTGGATAGCTAACAATTTTAATAAAAATAATATTTTAAAAATTATAAATAAAAAATACTGATATGGAATAATCATTAATAAATTTATTAAATTGCCTGAAAAATCAAAATACAGTAATGCATTCCACTTTTGCACTATATTGTTGCCACAACCCAGTATTGATTTTGTCCCCTATAGGGGAAATTTTTTTTTTTTTTTCTTCCAATTATGTATCAATCTAATGAAGTATCTATAAAAATATATAAAGGTGTAATTAGAGTTCATGTTATTTATATTTTCTTTGTCATTATAAACTTTTGGATGTCTAAAAATTAATTTATCTTAAAAAATTACAGTAATAATTATATATTTTCTTTATAATTAAAAATAAATTTTGGATTTCTAAAAATTTATTTATATTGAAAAGTATTATAATAATAATTATAAGATAGGATCGGTCACAATTTCATTTTTTTTTCACCTTCAAGTGTAATTAGTGCTACTCATCTTTCTTTAATTTGTCATTTATGAAAATGGAATAAATATTTTTTTCAATCTAGAAACAATCATATCATATCTTATTATAAAAATTATATAAAATATCATGATGCTTATGTTTTTACTTCAAATAAATATTATATACAAATATTATCATATCATCAATCAATTTTTGTTGTTTTAAAAATTATAAATAATTAATTCAAAATGTTGAAGTAATATCATGTTTGATTAATTGTAATTTTTTTTTTTACTGGTAAAACTTAAAACATATTGAGGTAAATGCTTTTCAAAAAAATTATAAATTAACATAAAAAAAATATCACTTATGTATATGTTATGTTGTAGTTAAATCTTTCACGTATCTCATTGCATCTTTTATGAATCCGAAATTGAATTTATTTTTTTATTGATATTTAATTATATTACCATATATCCAATTCATATCAGGCAATATCCTATGCCTATTTGTATCTAATACGGATATGAGAGTTTTTTTTTAATACACGTGCTACTTAATTTTTGATCAATATGCAATTAAGTGGGTTTACTATACGTACTCCAACTATAGAAAATGGAGGAATCAACTTTGAAAGTGTCCTTAAGCAAACAACATTTAAATTAAGGATCTTTTTTCGTTATTCTCTAGTTGATAGTTCAGACTTTCATTCTTCTTGTTTGTTTAAACTATCATTCTGTCCCTTTTTTGTCTAATTATTCAAAATTGCTCATTCATTAATTATTTGATCAATAATACTGTGCATTTGTAAAATTGACTTAATTGGAAGCCAATAATTAATTGCTCTATTAATTGAACAAGACGATAAACAAACAATCTACTTAGAATGTAAAATGGACCACATATAATTTCCAATACATATATATATATCGTCAGCATCCTCTGTATAACTAGTTGCCACTTTCTCTTCTCAGAAGCTTGGATGTGACCTCTTAACCTTGGCCAATAGACCTTTACCCCTTTCCCAGCAAGTCTGTGACTGTCAACTCACAGAAAAGTACTACTTGCAAATCGAAGCAAACGCTTTCTTTAACATATGAAAACTATGCTTGCACTGATCCCCATTTGCGACTCTCTTTCGCTTAATTGGAACTGTTGAATTCTCTTTTGCTTTCTTACTAGGTTGTTACCTTTGATAGACACGGTAGATAGTTTCTGAATTCGTCGATTTCGGTTTAATAACCATCGGTTAAGGTTTCACTAAAAGGTAAAATCTGAATCAAACCTTTTATGAATGTTTATGGTCCTGGTTTGAAATCGTAAAATTAATAGTTTCAAATTATTTAAAACCGACGGTTCAACAATTATTTTTATTAAATGAAAAAATAAAAAAATCGAACATTTTTTCTCTAGTATAAATCAAACATTAATATTGAAACGAAAAAATTTCTTTTTTGCATAATATATAAATATTATAATATTTTTTACATTGTAATGTATTTCGCACAATAAATCAAAGAGAAAATGAAATAAATAAAGAAATAAACGTTCTATGTCGGATGATCTAGGTGTAAAATTTGATTATTGTTGTTACTCCTCTACCCGATTTTGATTGACAGTATTACTTTGTTGTGATGACATATGTGAACTTGAACTTGTCATTTTTTGTAGTATAAAACAATAGAAATGTAAAAAATTTAAAAAGTATTTGGAGTATAAAAAATATTGTAGGACATTATTGAGAATTCTAGATTTAAGAGTTTAAGAGATTGAGAGAGAATGAAAGATTGAGTTGTGAGGAGAATGAAAAAATTGAAAACGTATTTATAGAAGAAAAAAACGCCGTTTGTCACATATATATATATATATATATACGCATATATATATGTACACACACACACACATATATATATATATCATAAGCCCAAAAATTAAAAATTATTAGGCTTAATTTTTTTTTTCATTTTTCAGTCCAATAGCTAATGTCCAAGCCCATATAAAATTGGTTTTTTATTTAAATTTTTTTACTTTTTTTCGACCCAACCCAAATTTATTAGGAAAGATGTGAAATCGTCTGGTTCTACGGTTAACCAGTCGATTCCGGTTTCATGATACCTTAAACTATAACCAACCCGTATGTAGCTAGTTACGATCCGATTTGATCAAAGTTACGATTTTAACGATTCTAATTTGATTTTTTAACGGTTTGATTTCGATTCGGTTCGTAGTTCGAACCGAACCGTTACCATGTCTACATCTGCAGCCATCTTCTCATGAAGCTTGACCTGATCACCATGAGATTTGATCTGCTTAGCGGTGAAGTGCTCCCCTTCGACATCGGTGTTTACAGAACTGGGTCATCCACTTTCTATTGCCTTCATTTTCTTAGTAATGCTTACCAGCACGTTCCGTTAGTAAAATAATTTAAAATTTAGAATATAATCTTATTTATTTATTATTCATCTATATTATAATTATTTATAACTCTCAATATAATGTTTATTTTTTATTATAGTTGATAAAAATGGTTAAAACATCATTTTATTGCTATGAATAATCCGCTATTGTAATCTAAATTTTTTGCAATATATATATATATATATGTATGTATAGACCAACAAACAGAAACAGAGTCTATTATACTTGAACGTTTATGAAGAGAGGGTTAAGGTTCTTACTTATGCCTTATAAAAGAATAAGTTTTTTCCTTTTATATTCTCTCATTATTATATTTTCGTTTCTTTGTTATATTATTTGCTTGATATCTTGTGAGCATTGGGTAGGGATTTCTTTAACGATTGATGTATCTCAGGAGAAAAGGTTGATTAAAAAAACTTGGGGATTTTTTTCTCTCTTAGGACGACGTTTTTTATACTGTTCCTCAATCTTTTTCTAAACACTACTATATTACTATATAATATTTTAATTATTAATATACATTTACTTATTTATTTAATCATGGTCTAAATTAATATAAAAAATCTATGTCTTTTATTTATTTATATTATTTTATTTGTGATTTCAGATATACGATGGATTAATTTTCCAACACGTTCTCCTTCGTAACCAATCTATCTGTCATAGATTTGTCAAAAAAAAAAAAATCATCATTACTAGATTTTTTAGAGCTACCAATTGTATTGGAAATTCGTGAGAATAAGTCACAATTAAGCGGTTTGATTAAAATACTAAAAACTAGCATTATGATTTGTTAAAATAGAGGCATACAAGCTAAGTAAAATAAATACAAATAGTGAAACAAGTGAAAAAAAAATAAATAATGTTCGTAAGATCCAAGTCAAGTAGTGTGGGGAATGGATGTGGTGTGAGACCGAAAAGATTTTGAGAGAGAGTTTTGTTCAGTAAAAAAATTAAAGATTTAGGATGTCATTTCATTCTTAATTGTTGATTGTTAATTGTGTTTTTTTACTAAATTTTTTATTGATTTAATCCATTTTCTGTTATTTTACAACTTCATTTTTTCATTTCGTCTGAATTTTCTAATAACTATATTAACTTCTGACGATAGATACACAACATGCTGACACATGATAATTTTTTTTTTCTAAATGCTGAAGTATCCCTCTTTTGCTCAGCCATTTGCTCTCTCAAATCCAAACATATATATATATATATATATATATCTATCTGTGTGTGCGCGCGTGGAGAAGGAAAAAAGCAAAAAAAAATTATATATATATTTTTTAAAAAAAATTTATTATGAAAATTTATTTTAAATTCAAACCTAAAGAAAATTTTTTATGAATTTTTTAACAGAAGCAAGAGACTTTACATGTACAAGTTATGCTAGATAGACAGAAATGGTATTAAAATTTGATTTATAATTTACGATTTCAGTTACAACTATTAGATATATGAATCAAAATATCTCAGCCAAAAAGTAAATTAAGTAAATACAATCTACTTAGCTGGCTAAGTTAAATAGTTCAGTAACAGTGCAAAGCAACTTGAGCTCTCATGTTGAACATTTATACCCTTCGAGTGGATGAATGAATCTGGCATTTCAATGAGGGATGTTATGCCCGAACCACGTAGCTGTCTTTTGTTTACCTTTTTATTGAGCAGAAGCAAGGTCAAATTTTTTATCTTTCTAAGACTATAATTTATAGTTAGGTGTAGAACATTTCTTATATGGGACTAATGATGGATTGACAAGTTTGGGACTCAAACTTGAGTTGTCACCTCGCTTTACAGAAGTGCTAATGAAAATGAGCTACAAGGCCCATGGTAGGGATTAGAACGTCTCTTGGTTATTGTAAGCATTGATTACCAGAAACCTGATAAGGTAACAAAATATCTATAAATGAGTATTCTGCAGTCTTGTTATGTTTTGAATTCATAGGCCCATAAGTCAAGTGGTCCTTGATTGACCTGTCTGAACAAAATTTTCAGTGTTCTTGTTATTTCTTTCCTTTTATTCTTCAGGACTTATTCTCCTGGTGCCATCAATTAATAATGAAGGCTGCGTGTTGAGTATTATCCCAAGAAAAGATCAGGTAAAAGAAAATTGTGGATGCCAGCGCTTGAAATTACAGAAAACAATAAAAACTCAAATCAATCAGCCTTGAATATGATCAAGTAAACATAAATCATCAATGAACAGAACATTTACATGCATACTCTAATTGGGTAAATTCCGTACAACTGTGATTTGTTTTCTGCATTACATAATTAGTTATTTACTGTTGCTTGCCTCCTTATCTCAGATCAGTGAGCAATAGCTTTCGAGGAACTTCTGCTGCTCTATAATGTTGTATTCCTAATGCAGCTGGATCAGATCAGGAGGTCCTGGCTATTGACTTGGTAAGGATTCAAGTCTTCAGTCTATGGCAAGCTTCAAGAGGCTGAAGCTCTCTTCTTTCCTTGATGCGGTTCTGCTGAAATATTCCAGATATTGATCCGAGTGTTTTCTACATGGTGGGGGCCAGCGAAACGATTATTATTATTATTTTTTTTTCTGATGCTACTTATCAGGGAATATTTAGTTAGCAACAATGGAAAGTTGCACCTTTGACTTGGTTTATGATACCTTGTGACAATGCATAAGAGGAATATTCATAGATGATTGTTTGGAAAAGAAGCAAATTCAAACGTGTAGCGAAAAATGAAAGACAATATCTTCAAACATGTAGAGAAAAAGACAACGATAACATAATGCGAAATGATACGTCTTTCTGTTGAGTTTGCGGTGTTATGTAAGGTTGTTCTAAAGCTTTTTGTCGGGTTTTGGTCAGATTTATAAATCTGCAGCCTTGTTTTGTAAATCTCTTCATCTTGGTAAGAGCCTACCATTGAAGTCCAGGTGGTGAGCTTGCTTCCTAGGTTATCATTTCGGGTTTGAATTAAAAATTGACAGGAAAAGTGATACAGGGAAAATTATTGCAAGATGAAAAGGAAGACAGGAAGATGACAAGGATTGGAAGATGAAAATGAGAGGGAACCAAATTGAATGAAAGGCTGTCGGTTACAGAAGAGGATCGATTTAGTGGGTTGGGTTAAGTTAGCATCACTATGAGTTTACTGCTAAGGTGCTAAGTAAATAATCTAACATTCTATCTTCCAAGTCCTCCTGATTACAGATATGTTCATAGCTCAATAGGATTTTAATACTGCTAGGAAAAATAAACAAACCAAATCCCAACTTTCTTAGCCCAAACTCCAAATAAGATATTTATCCAACACAAAAACGAAGAAAAAATAAAGGTAAAGAAAAGGATGTTGGAAACAAATCCAAGTAATAATTGAAAGTGAATAATTTCTGCCATTAACAGGACATGGAAGCAAATGAACTGTAATTTAGACAAACATCTCTCCAATGTAAAAGGACCTGTCAGCCTATCGACGATGGCATATTTACAAACACATGTTGCTGTCCATCCTTTGCCAACTTTTCTCTACCATTTAGTGTACCTCTTCTCCTGTAACTATCCCATGACAAACAAATTCTGAACCATATTAAAGACACCAAGACCACGACTCTAATCCTACCTATCCAAAAGGTCCTATGAAATAAAAGAAGAAAATAAAGTAAGAATAACTTCATCAACCAAACAACAATGGCTGGTTTTTCTTCTCCAGTGACTGAGTTTTTGGAAACCCTCAACTGGCTGCCTGTAATGATCCATCCCGCCTTAATGTTATGCTCAGACTGTTAAATCTTTCCCGTGAATACTGCCTAGAGGCTTTTCTCCAGTCTGTACCAGCCTTCATCATTGTAGCAAACTCCTCATAACTTATGCGACCATCCTGCAAGATCGAATGATAATAAGGTTATCCTTCCAATTTAGTAACAAATATAGAATGATAAGAGATGCCACAGAACTCAAGATATTCCGAGCATTATACACAATAGTGATATCAAGAGACAAACATCAGTAACCACTACTGTATTCTCATTCTATCATCCACAGCAGGAAGGGAAAAGCATTCTCATCATATGGAGTCAAGCTGAAGGGAGAGACTCCCGTCAAGATGTGTGTGATATGCAGATGTTTACATCAAATAGAGGCAATCAGCTCAAGATGGTCAAATAGTGAATCATGATTTGAGGAAGAAGATGCATATCCTGCAGATTGATAATAAAACAAGTTGCTCTTAACATTGAAAACTTTCAGCGCACCATAGTCTTCATGAAAAATACATCATAATTTACCATTGACATTTCTAGTCAACAGAATGAGATGAGCAAACTAACAAGAAGCATACTGCAAACTGAAGGCTTCAGGACAGTGAGAAAGCCCTGAAGGCTTTTGCAATTAATTATATCCATATGCAATAAATACACCAATAGCGCTAACCTTGTCTGTGTCAACATCATGCATAATGGCATTGATAACATCCTCACTACTTGTGTCAGCGTCATCATTCAAGGATTCTCGCAACTCTTCAATCTCAATGTAACCACTCTGGTTTCGATCAAAAAATGAAAAAGCTTTATGCAGGTGCTCGTCATTGCCCATTTTTTTAATGTGAACTGAAATCGCGACAAACTCTCCATAATTCAGAGCTCCATCGCCATCAACATCAGCCTGTGAAACCCATAGAAAATTCAAAGGGCAAATTTTGCATAAATTTCATTATGATATTCTAATGGTATAACAGACTCTATCTTTTTCCCTCTCGGAAAGGGTTTTTCAGCCACAAGGCAAATATGCTTACAGCTTCCATAAGGATTTGAAGATCTGCCTCAGCAATATGTTGGCCAAGCTTCTGTAACCCAACCCTAAGCTCCTCAAGATTAATGCTGCCTCTTTTGCCAGTGTCCATCACATCAAAGGCCTCCTTTATGCCTGCTACTTCCTCCACCGACAAGTGTTCAGCTATCACCTACAGATGGACAGCTCAAAAAATTACTCTTTTTTTTATTTTTGAGAGACGTTGCAGGGTTGTTGTGGAGGGAGGAATCACATAGATGTGCACCGCAAAGCCATAATTTAGTGAATAATATTAGTTCCTGTTGAAAAAGGGTCCATTGTAATCAAAGCTAAATAGCGAACAAATTAAGAATCATTACCCTTAGGGCTCTTTTCTTGAGCTTATTCATCACAGCAAACTGTTTGAGCCTGGCTTTTACAGTCTCACCAAGTGGGACATTTGGAGCCTTCTTTGCATTTTGTATCCAAGGATGCTCTGCAAACAAAGAGTCAGGACAATTTTGCATGTTAACAAATAAGCATGCACCTATATAGCAGGCATTGGATTAATAGAAGAATGAACTACCGAGCACTTGCTGAGCTGTAAGCCTTAGCTTGGGATCAGGATTAAGCATTTTCTTCACAAGATCCTTCGCATTATCAGAAACTATAGGCCAAGGCTCCCTCTTGAAATCAATAACGGAGCGAATAATTGCCTGCGCTACCCCTTGCTCAGTTTCTGCATGATCAAGAAACTAAATTATTTGGGAAGAAGAGTTTCAAAATAGGGAGCAGAAACCACATGCAGATAGATTTCATGCCCCTGAGGATCACAAAAAAAAAAAAAAAAAAAAGGGCGAGAATTCACAACGGTTCCATGGGATAATTAGCTTTCTTTTAAACTATTTCTTCCACTTACACTAAACACCATAAAACACTCACTGAACAAAAAAGCTAGATATTTAGACAATCAAATGAGGAAAAACAACCTGCCCAGAAAGGAGGGACACCGCAAAGTAAAATATAAAGAATGACTCCAGCACTCCAGACATCAACTTCAGGGCCATAATTGCGCTTTAGGACCTCCGGAGCCATGTAATAAGGACTTCCAACTATCTCATTAAATCTCTCACCTGTAGAGAAGAAAAAGAATCTTCAGACAGAACAGCAGATGTAAGAATGGCATATATCTGGCTGATGCTTAATTTCAAGAAACATTAAAGAAATGCCATAAAATAGGCTGAGAGAGGCAATGGCTCAGATACAATGCAATACCAGGTTTAAAGAAGACTGACAATCCAAAATCAATTGCCTTCAACGCTGCATTTTCCTTCTTATTTGCAAATAGGAAGTTCTCTGGTTTGAGATCCCGATGCATGACTCCATGCTTATGGCACATCTATTGAGAAAAATGCATGCAAAAGAAAATCCAATTATTTCAAAAGACAAAAAGCCCCCAAAATGTAGCACCATCAGCCAATAATGCAAAGCTTATGAAAATCATTAGAAGTAATTAAACCAAATAACTAAATGAAGCGATGCTTTCTCAAAACTTATATTATTTTAAGTATGATGCAGAAATAGAAAAGTCCCAATTGCGAATGATCCTGTATTCATAAACATCTAAAAGTTAGCTAGTCTAAAACAATAAAGTTGTAGAAAATGTAAAAATAAAGAAGAACTAAATAAAGAAACCTAAGAAGTAAGAACTCACATACCCTAAGGATTGAAAATGGAAAAGAAAGCAGCTATCTGGGATGGGAACTTTAATATTAACTCTTTTGTGGTAAAGTATTAATGAGATCAACTGGTTTCCATGTTTACCCATTATCAGCAAAAGGGAACATATCTTAAAATGGGTATTTTAAACCTAAAGAATAAGAGGGGTGAAAATCAACAACAGTAGACAGACACCAAGCATCAAACTACCAAGGGGATCTACCATCACCAGCATTTAATTTCAAAAGACTACCAAGAAAATCGTCAGTCTGATCGAGCCTAAGACTGGTAGAATCATCTCAAACTGAAAATTTATCAAAATAAATAAACTACATTTATAAATTATACCAAAACAACCAAAAGAAATAAGACATGACCCGAGTTGAACACAAACTGCATCAAAACCCATAGGAGATATTACATGGAAATTAAATGCAAGACCGTATCCATCACAGATTTCCATATCGACACCACTTCAACAACAAAAAATGATCAGAACACCAACCTGAACAACTTCCACAATGGTCCGCATAACTGCAGCAGCAGCTCTTTCTGTGTAATGCCCCCTTGCTACAATCCTATCAAACAACTCTCCTCCCTCACACAATTCCATTACAATGTGCACAGCAGTATCATCCTCATAACTAGCCTTTAAGGTGACGATATTTGGATGAGCAGGCAAATGCTTCATTATCTCCACCTCCCTCCTCACGTCCTCAATATCCACAGCAGTCCTCAACTTCTTCTTCGATATAGACTTACAGGCAAACTTCTCCCCAGTGTTTACATCAGTGCACAAATATGTAATACCAAACTCCCCACGGCCAAGCTCACGACCCAGATCATAATGCGCCAAAATATCCCTGCCAGTGGGTTCTTTCAAGACCCAAAGCTTGTCTACATTTCCGGATCCATTGGTTACAGCATAATTATCACCAAAGAAAGGATTTTGCTTCTCCTTTTTCCTTATGACGTTCTTCTCAGAGGAAGAAACCCCAGTAGGTGTTACACAACAATTACCCATGAATCAAGATCTCTCGCTCAAACTTTCAACTTTTCCAAAAACTGAAGATCTGCAAAGATTTCAAGAATACCCAATAAAACAAAAGAAACAAAAGTTTAACATTTTTATCTCCCTCCACAACAAACAAAAGTAACAATATCACAGTTTTGACTTATAAACATTATTTAGCTTCCAGGAAAACAAGAAGTACATATTTTTTAATGGAAGATAAACAACTCCATGTAAGTTTCAATCTTTTGTACAAATTTTTGATTCGGAAAAAAAAAACAAAATTAAAAACAAATTTATGCTCAACACAAAGAAAAGCAGATTCATGCAGCAAGTATTTATGAAAGACTACCTATTATGGCATACACCAAATTGGTAATTAAAAAAAAGTATCTGCATGGCATAGAATTATTACCAGAAGAATTCAACAAACTACAAAAATCAAGAAAATTTATAGCTCCAAATAGTGAAATGTTAGATTAAAAAAGTAGGAAAAAAGAACCCACCTTGAAATGCTATTGATTAGGAGACTTGAAAGGAGAATCTGAAGAATAACCAGATGAGCTTAGCTAATTAATTAAAAATTAATGCAAGAAAATGAAACAATGTGAACAGGAAGACAAAAGGGCCTTAAACGTATAACAGATAATAAGAGAGAGAGAGGGAGAGTCAAAGAAGCTCTTTTTGCCTTTTCTTTTTTTTGGCAGAGACTCTCTCTCTCTCTAAACCTTTTTCTATCTCTCTGTCTCAACGTTGGATTCAACGACGGCAGAGCAACACCAACCCCTTCTGCCTTTTCTATTCAAAAAATGCCAACAAACGTCAGGTTATGCCCAGAAAACAAAACGCCAACTAAAGGCTCTGCCTTTTTCTATTTTGGGTTGGCTTTGTTAGTACTTTTCTTAAGTTCGTAAAAAGATGCATTTCCTAATTCATTTTTTTTTTAATATTATATAAATAAAAATCAGCCACTTGTGCATTTCAAAAACAAGAAAAATGCACTTCCTCTCAATATATTTGGTTTCTAATTTTAGGTGTTGTAAAAAAAAAAAAAAAAAAAGAATAACTATCCAATTGAAAAAGATCAATATAATTTTTTGTTTTCAAAAGTCATAGGATAATAAAAAGTTGCAGGTGAAAAGGTAAAAGGAAAACTTGAATATTTAAGTTGATAGGAGTTAGTTGGGAAGGTGAGAGAAAATCTAAGCACATTTATGAATGATTTTGATGACAAGATCATCTCAACCATTTATATTGTGTCCATATGCATTGATCCAGAGCCAAGCATTTCTTGTTCTTTAAATTTATGGGTTATGGCCTAATCATATTTGAAATTTGATTCTTGGTCAAAATTCTGTAATCTAGTTTGGATTTTTATACTTCGTGTCAAGTTGGGATGCCAATGTTTCTATCCATGGCCTGCATTGAAAAAGAGTTTTTTTGAAGGTATCTTATTCTGTATCGTAATTTTGAGTACTAGTTTTTAGGTCCTTTTTGTCTTTTCCTTTTTTTTTTTTCTTTTTATTCCGTTAGTTGTGCTTGATTAGTCTGTTTCGTTTCTCGGTATACTATGATTGACCCTTTCCTTCGAAGAGTCAAAACAAAAATCATCATTTTGTCTTAAATTGGCACCAAGAATTTGTTTAGAAGTCAATAAGTATCTTACAAAACAAGTTAAAAGTAATAAGTGATTGGAACAGTGGTGGATGATTGATCTATTTATTTTATTTATTTATCCATCTTTACATGATAGCAATATTTATTAGTCTTTGTTATATTGACAAGTGATAAATAATATGATCAGTTAATCTACCTCCTTCTCGTATGAGATAGAATCATAAAATAACATAAATTATCAAAAATACAATTATTTATTGTGATTTCGAGGAGTAATAAAATTGATATATTAAGGTTTTTGTATTATAGAAATTTGATATCGTTATTTTAAATGGATTGGATTGTGTTTTTTCCTAGTTTTATGCAGTTAAAGTAGATGTTTTTTTTTATAAATTGATATTTTCATAACTTTATTTTTTATTTTACATTTTAACTATTAACCATGAGACATGCTCTTAGATCTATAAAATAATTTATTTTATTTGATGGTAAAAGTATTTTTAAATCGATTTATCTTTGGATAGATGTAGACATCAATCAACGTTATTTTTTTATATAATTTATAAAATATTTTAAATCTAAATGTTTAAATTAATTTTTTTGATATTCAGTCGAACATACAAAATAAAAATAATTTCTAAAAAAGTTTAATGTATAAATATGAATTTGAAATTGAGATTATTTAATTAAATAATTAGAACTTCTTTCGTTCAATGCATTTTAACATTATTTTGATATATTTAAAAAAATTTAAATTAATGCTATTTTTAAGATTCAAACCTAAAGAAACATATACGATTAATCACTGGACCGATCCTATAGGATTATATGGAGTTGACAAATATGTGATGATGAGATTAGATCCAGATCCAGAATCACCTTTTTTGGCATTTAAAAAACAACGTAACGCCATTATCGAAAGTCTTTCTTCGTGCAACATTATCCTAAATGATTTCAATGGACCGCGAGCCCCTCTCTCTCTCTCTCTCTCTCTCAAATAACGCACAAAAGGCCTGTCCATTTAAAATGAAATTTACAAATAATAAAGGCCACTATTATTCAAAAGGCAAATTATATACAATCAATTAGCCGTTCTTTTGGTTGGTTCTCTAGTGGGTGACAGCTCATGCACCAAACCAACAGATATGACTGCAACGAGAAATGGCTGCTGATGGACACTTCCCTAGCCGAGAGGTGTGCTCAAGAATGGTCCCTATGTGCTGTATGTAATTCTCACCTTTTTAGCTGTGCATATTGATCAGTTTCTTTGCTCTTTCCCTTTTTCATGGATCAGCTTACGGTGTTATAAATCTAAACGTTTGTAGGACCTAGCTGCAAATGTCATGGAAGAGTGAAATAATATCTGGATGCTAAACAGAGTAATTAATTAGAGTTTAACATTTTGAGGAGTAGATGCCAAAAAAAGAAAAAGAAAAAAACCTAGTACGTGCTTATAGAAAATCAGGGAAAAGAGACACCGCAACTATACTCGAAAGCCTGAAGATGTGTAACTATTTTTTCGAATTATAATTTGGATTATTAAATTCGATAATCTAATAGATGATGCTCTCGGTTTGGGTCTTTCTTTTTTATTTTATCTTTATTGTTACTGGTCGGCGAGCTGAGTGTTTCCAGGTGAGTAGAAGTCAATTGATTTGCACAAAATCATGGTATAAATCTGCACCCTGCAGAGATGGATCATTATTTTTTGTCCTGTTTTGCGCCTTTTTATACTGCATGCGTCTTCTTCGTCAAAACCACGGGCTCATTAATGTATAGCCAGGTCCCCAGCTCCGAAAGGTTAGTTCTTGTTAAGGTTCCCATCTATCAGAATTTGTTATGAATCCATCAGTCCTCAAAGTGATAAGAAGACGGAAAAAGGACGAGTGATCTGAGGCAGCGTACGTTTTATTGCAGGACTTCCATGACATAAATAGAAGAAGTACGTGTTGTATGTTGTAGCTAGCTTCTTCATTGCAAGAAATTACCTGATTAAGAAATCGAAGCTCAACAACCATAATAATAACAACTAATTGGGCTAACATGGGACAATAGAACCCAGCCCAATAATCATAAGAACCCAATTGATACAAACCGAAGCAACGACCCACTAAGCCCGAAATCATATGATCGGTGGTTTGGGCTGCCAAGGCCCAAGAGTGCTGACTTTAAAATCCTGATTGAAGAACTCTCTAATCCACATCTGAAGAAAGGAAAAACGATTTGGACAGCTTAATCTGCTTTTAGCTAGGAACCACAAAACTCCAACCATCATATAGTATTATCCTTCTTAGTTCCTTTCCGTTAACTTACTTGGAGGTTCCAACCATTATTAAAAAAAAAAAAAAAATCAGATGGGACTGTAAGCCTAACCAATGAAGTATACACATATACACAGGACAACACAGCAGCATACTCCCAAGTCAGGTGGAATTCTTCCATTTGTCTAACGCTTAACCTTAATAATGATGTCTATTGGAATTCTTCCATTTGTTCTAACACTTAACCTCTTCTTGCTCAATGTCACCAAAAAAAAAAAATCTCCTCTTGTTTATATAATTCTGGCAGTGCTTTAGCCCTCTTCTATTACCAGCTACTGATGTCTATGCACGTGCTCTTAATTTGCTACAAAATAAATTTAAATTTGCTAAGCAACTTCTCACTAGAAAGCTATAGTAAGTTCCCACAGCAATTTTTTTACTTATTCAACAAACAAATGCTGATCTTTTTCTTTTCTTTTTTTTTTTTTTTAAAAAAAAAAGGAGAGAAGCAGAGTGTGCTCTCCATTCTCAACATTATTCTATTGGCTCTTACATTTTTCTAACACGATAGGGAGAAATACTGCACTCTTCTATAGAGTTTCTCAAAGTTGAAACATTTGAAGCCAAAACTTGACTTATAACATCTTTGCTTCCTAATTATAGCTACCTTCAGAGCTTTGTATAAAAACTTCGGACAATAATGGCAGCAGCTGCAAAATAGCTTCTTTTGGAGGTTCTCTTTCCGTTGTAGTAGCAGTAATAGATGGAAGTGGTACGGGTTCTGGTTCAGGTCCGTCTATGGATGGTTTTAGTACTGCAAGGAAGAATATATTGTAGAAAATTGTGAAAAGAAAGAGCACCACAGCTGTATATGCTAGGGCAGACCCTGAAACTTCTGGCACTTCTTCTGTTATTTCATCTCTTGTAAGTTTCACGTCAGAAGCTGAAATTCAAGTTGAAGAAAATACGTTAAGTGTATAGAAGATGAATTAACCATCAAGCATTTCCTTCTGAGTTCTGATCACAGACATGATTATTCAACCCCTCAAGTTAGAGGTAACACGACAGATCATTACCCCCTTGATTTGCAATTCAAATCAATGGTCTGGATTTCACAAACATGATAGATCATTAACTCCTTACTTGATAACCCAAATGAATGTTGGTATTTGCTCATTTAATTACTAGAATTGATCCATCTCTGGTTGTTTTTCTACGAGGATAACTTTCCAACGAATTGGAATGGAAAAAAAAAAACTATACCAAATTTTCAAGAATATCTGTCTGTGCAACTTGATGAAATAATATGATTCATTAAAAAAAAATACTGATAAAATATGATATTTTGGACTGAATAACCCACGCAGCCCAAAATATGTTAGTGAAGTTCAAATTCTTCATCAAACAAATTGATAGAAATTTGAAATTAAACTAATTGCAGCTTGTCAAACTGATTATTAATACCTGACACCACATTAATGTTGCGTGGCATGCATATATAAGTCAGTAATTCTCAAACCTAACAACAAATATAATGTATAATGACTAGCAAAATTAAGAATTCTTGATAAAAGCAGCATTATTAAAAAGAGAAAAGGAATTCTTGAGAAATTAAAGCAGAAATTGTCTATGAACTGATAGAAAGAGAAAGGTACCTCTTATTTTTGGAGGGCTGATTTGTTTCTCTGAGAATGCTTGGAGCTGCTGATCAAGTTTTTGAAGGGCATCTTTGGCCTTATCTGAGTCTATCTCAAAGTTTTGTGAGTCTTTCTCTATTGCATGGACAATAAAAGAAGGAACAAAACAAGATTGGTTTTTGCTTGTTTTCTTGGAAACACGACCATCTATACGTGTTAGCCGCAGAGAAACTATTGGCGTAGTCTTCTTGTTGGCTAGCCAGGAGAATTGAGGAAGGGATAATGGTTGCTTAATATTGTAGAGGGAAAGACTATGAAAAGAAAGCATCTGAGTATAAATGGAAATGAAACCACAGCCACTTCATCGACAGCCAGCGATAAGGAGTTAGCTAGAGTGCAAGCATGGTGTATGGCAATTGACGTGTTAGGGTAATCTTAGTTCAGGATAGGATAGGGATGATATAATAATTTAGTCTTTCCATTTTTTATTTTTTATTTTTTGGCAGATGACAGATAAGGATATTTCTTTGGGACATAGTTCATCCTCAGACCTAGGCAGCCCAGTTGGGCTCCATCTGATAAATCATGGTTGGATCTTGTCGTCTAAAAAACTAACTAATAAATGAATGGTTAGATTATTGGTTAAAATTATTTTTGTAATAAATATTTTAATAATTTATCTCTATTTTTTTAATTATTATCTCATACACCACCTAAATTATACTTAAATGATTGAAAATTATTATTACAAGACTATAATTTTTTGTAAAAAAATTAAAATTAATTAATTCGTTTATAAATATATTATTTTCCCAACACTATTCATTTGCAACTAAATCAATAATTTGTAATTTTAATCATTTGTAAAATTTTGTTGGTAATTGTAGTGAATAATTAGTTACAAATTATTCCAAAATTAATTTTTTGAAACCAAATGAATAATTATCTATAAATGATAACCGATAATTTATAAAACTATTTTTTAGACTAAATTATCAGTTCAATTTCCAAAAAAAAAAAAATCTTAATTGAGTTATGAAAATAACAATGCTAGGATTACTTAGATTTTTTTTATTATTAAATGTGAATATTGACTTGCTTTTTTTTCAAGTAATTTTGATGAATTGGTTTGATGGTTAAAAAAGTATATTTTATTTTTTGAATTAAAATTTTATAGTTAGCATTTATGAAAAATTATTAAATTTGTCTAAATATATCTTATATTGTGAAATTATGAATATGCCTTTTTGAAGTTTTCTCAAAACTTGTTGATATAATAATCACATACTATTTTTATATTTTAATTTTCTATATCAAACAAACGATAAAACATATTTTTCAGTAATTTTTTTATGTAATTGTCAAACGGTAGAAAATATTTTCTTGAAAAATAATTTCCTAAAAAATAGCTTATTTAGAAATTGATTTTCCTATGGAAGTTATTTTCCGCTAAACAAAAGAAGCCTTACATATTAGTTATAATAAAATTATTGTACTTTGATAATTTATGTTATGTTGCGGTCTACTAAAATATATCAAATCAAAAGTTAAAAAAAATACTATATTTTATAATTTTTCAATCAAGTATTTAAATAATTCTTCCTCGTGTCCTTTATAAATTTTCTACTTAGAAAAAAACATGATTTTTATTTATACATTGATTTATAAATAAAAATTTGTAGAACTCTAGATTGAAAATTTAATCCAAAATTAAAAAAATACTTTAAAAATATATTTCTCATAAGATTGTATAAAAAACGAAGCTACAATTAAGTTATGAACTTGTATAAAAACTAATACATGAAATTTTTTTATTCTTATTTAATATTAATGAGAAAATTATTTTTTGAAAGTATGTGCATTTAATTTATATATATTTATCTATAAAATAACTATAATTGACTCTCCGGGTGTTTCTTTTAAAAAAATCATTTCAATTATTTTTTTCTAAGAAATTAGTTTTATAATATTAAAAAAAATTATAACAAATGGTTTGTATTATGTGTGTAAATATATAGTTAATTTCAATAAAATCGATGATTCAATAATTTTTTTTATATATACTTCATGCCCATAATAAATATTAAATCAATTTATTTTTAAAAAAGAGAAAAAAATAATATTTTAAAATTCATATACAGAGAAAAATAAATTATATTTATCAATAAATAAAATTATATAAAGAACAAAAATTAATTGGAAGAGAATTTTCATAAGAATAAATTTTTAAATAATAAAAATAATATAATTTAAAATATATATTAATTTTAAAATATATAAAATAATATTACATGTACTCTTTTCTTATTAAGCTACATAAGAAATATAAAGAATAATGTTTGATCGAACATGACTTTCGCCTAAAAATTCTTAATAAAAAAAGTTAAATTAAAAAAAAAAAAATCCAAGTTCCAGCTTGCGAGGTTAAAGCCTGGAGAACCTGGCCCGCACGTTTGGGCTTGGAGGACCAGGCCTTGATAAAAAAAAAAAAAAATAGATCTGCTTGCTGTCTCCTTCTCACTCCTCCCTTTTTTCCTTTTTTTTGTTTTTCTATGCATTCTGTAACCTCGCTGCAATATAGAGGAAGTTCAAAACGGAAACAAAAATTTTTTTTAAGAAAAATTACGAGGGATTAAAGTGTAAAATATTTTTATAAATTTGTTTATAAACAGTAAAACATACAATGAAATTAAATGTGAAATGTATATATGCAGTAAAAGTTAGGAATTTAGAAATTAGAAAATTTTTTATTTTTTATTTCGATTTTCGATCGAAATCGAAATTTTTTTCTAAAAATCGAACTTAACCGAAATAATTTTAATTTTTTCGATTCGATTTTATATTGTATAATTTTATATTTAAAATCAAATCAAATTTCATAATTCGGTTTGATTTTATTCGATTTTCGGTTAATTAAACCGTTTGTTCACCCCTAGTTGCTGTAGTGTTTTTGTGTTTTGTTTCAATTCATTGAATAATATAAATTTGATTTTAAATTTGTCAGCAGAAATCAATCAACCGATGGCCACAATCTTACTTATGGAGGCCAATATAGGATGATAGTTAACAATACCGCGCCGGGGGGCGCCGCCTGACCAATAAAGCTCATTAAAAAATATCAATTTTAAATTTTTTTAAATTGAATATATCAATTTTTATTTTATTTTTGAATATATTAATTTTTTTTAAATATCAATCAAGTTTTTTCCTTAAAGGATTATGTTGTCTTCTTTTTTTTTCCTCCTAAACTATTATTATCATTTAACTTTTTTTAATTAATTTAACGGGAGAAAATAAATAAAAAATAACAATATAGTTATTTAGTTTTTTAAGTTAATTGATGTGTTATCACTAGATAAAAAATTTGATAAAAAAAAACCTGATTTTTATTTTTTAAAAAATTAATATATTTAAAAATAAAAAATTAATTTCTTAATTGAGAAAATGCTTAAAGTTGATGTAGCTGTAATGTAGTTTTACCAAAAAAGAAAAATATTTGGTGGTTCCAATTTCTAAACTTGGTTATGCTGAGCTGGCATAATTTAACCGGCTAACGTTAGAAAATTAAGTCACTAGCAAAAGAAACATGTCTTGTCAGGAGAAATTATTAGATATATCAATGTTACGTTCCGTTTCCTCACAAATTTATAGATCTTATATTTCTGTGACTGGTCAACAGAATCACGCTCCCATGAATGGAAAATAAGTAAAAATTATTTTATATCACAAACCAAAAAATACCATAGGAGCGATAATAAATAATCAAACATAAAAAGAAAACCCAAAACGTAAACACAAAGATGAAGAAATCTGGAGGGGCTGCAGACAAGAAAAGGGTTCGAAGATCATCAGTAACAAATGGCACCAGAGATCTAAACGCCGATACTCCTCCTAAGGTTTGTCTTCTCCTTCTCTCTGATCTAGGGTTTTCCTTTGTTTTCTTTTTTAAAAATAAAGTTATGGTACAATTCATGTAATGGAAACAATTGTAGAATTTTCTTGTGCTTGTCTAAAGATATATGTGAAAAATGTGACTTTTTTTTTTTCGTTTTTTTAAGTATTCACGTGTCTTTAGGGCAATATGAATAAGGTGTTTTGTTGTTATATGGGACCTGAAAAGATGCAAACTTTGGTACGGGCCTGGTTTGCAACAAGTTTAATTTGTTTGCTTTTTTCCGTTCCCTGGAAACCCATGCCAAGAAACGCAATTTATGGTCTTCACAGTTTCAATTTGGTTGGCGAAACAAATGGAAGTTAAATTGTTAGTACTGTGAGAAAATAACCCAATGCCCAAATTTTCAGTTACTGATTGTCGTGCCCAATTGAGGTAATGGCAGTGTTTTCCTTGGTATACTTAAAATTATATCTTGAGAAATAGGATGCAAGTATTGGTATTCCTGGGATACTGTTAAAACTGTATATTTTGTTGTTCATTGATTATGGGATTTTTGCGTGTAGATTGTATATATTTATTAATGAACAATGTTTATATCTTTCTCCATCGTTAGACTACATTTATAGGAATTTCCATGTGCTGCTGTGCTCTTATGATCCTGTGCCTTGTGAGGGTTTAGTGGCTGTCAAATCCTCACAAAATTCTGGTCTCATGTTAAAAACTGTAGTTAGTTTGTTAAAAGTGCCAAGAATTGTTTTAACTGGGAATTTGCTTTTAATGCATATGAACCTTATAAACTGTGTGAAAAGGTTGCATGTATTGTTTACTTGTACATTTTAAGTTCATGTAACTAGTGATGGTGGTTTATATTTTGAAGTTATTGCTTGACATTCATCCGAATCTGGTGAATGGTTGGTGTGATTGAGTTTGTGCTGATCATTTTTGCACATAATAATGGTTCTCGCCTGATTCCTTTTCTACTGTTTTCTGACTTGTATGATTGTTTTCTTTCTTCAGAAACAAGCTGCGAAAAAGGATGTGTTTCAGTTGTTTGCTGAGAAGGTGAGAGATCACAAGGATTTGGTATCTCGTTGGGCTGTCTTACAGGAGACACGTGTTGAATATGTTAGGGGAAAGGATTTGGTAAGCTTTTTGAAAAATCATCCAGAGGTTAAAGATATATTAGAGTTAAATAAGAATTTAGAGGTTGAAGAAATTGCCAATACTTTATTAAGTAAGAACCTTTTAGTGCGTTGTGACCGTGTGGTGAAAACTGTTCGTCCTGGGAAGAAAAAGTTGTCTACCTGGCCAGCACATTTAGAGATCTTTCCTGTAAGTTGTTTCCTTTTGCACTTGGATGTTTAAATTGAATTTAATTGACCTTTTAATCAATTGTCTAAGCTACTTAAATTTTTTACTTCACTATGCAAATTGTTGAGTATTATGTATTTTGCATATCCTTGTTTATTATGAAAATTTAATTTTAACAACTATTTTCTATATGATTTGGGTGATTGACTTCTTAGAGACTGGGACTTCTGCACGTCGAGGGTTAGTAGTTAAAAGAATGAATTCTCTTGGTCATCTGTTACTCTCTTTCGCATTTAGTAAGTCTGCTGTGTCAATGATATTTTGCCCCTTGCATTCTTCTAAGAATGTTTGTACTTTGTACTTGTATTGTGTTACCCCGACACATTCTCTACCTTTTTATCATGTAGGTCAGAATGTTATGTACTTTCAATGGTCAAACTTTCATATCCTTATCAATAGCAGGGTAAATTTGAGTTGTAGGGTTGAATAGGGAAAGTTGCTTAGTTATGCATTACTGAAACATTGAGCCTGGAATTGCTAAAAGAAGTTGGAATTGAAATTGTAATGAGAATAGGGAAATTTGTGCTGCACAGAAACAGTCGCCCTTGAATGATACCTTTATGGCTCTAACCCACATCAGTCGTGTGCTTTTTTTTTTTTTTTTTTTTTGAAGCTCAAGTTATTAATGTCTTGTTGTCCCTTGTAGGATCAAGTATTTTCAGAAAATGATGCCTTTTTTGCATGGACGTTTGTAAAACGGAGGCCACTATGGCAGACACTTCTCTCACTTTCCTGGCCCGTGTTGACTCTTGCAATTTGCCTGTTTCCTGTATACCCACATCGATGCAAGCTATTAATCCTCTACTCTTGTGCTGGACTTCTTTTGCTTATTCTCTCACTTCTTTTGCGTAAGTACTCCAGGGATCATTTTTTATTGCTTCATATTTTTTTACTGTATTATTCTTCCTGCACCTCAATGCTACTTATCAAACCCTAGTTTAGAGCTGCATGATTATGTTTACTAAATCAGTATTGACACATACTTGGAGCAACATTTTACAAAATTTTACGAACTTTGTTGATTAAAAATCTAGATTTGTTGCAAGCTTCTTATTATTTTCATATTTGAAAATTGGAAACTTTCACTTATGTTGATCTCCAATCAGTGTTTCTTTGACATGTTGGTTTCTCTGCTTATTTCTACATCAAACTTCCTTTGTGAGAGAATTAATTGTACTGAATGTGTTACTACAGAAATATAGTTATAAACCCAGAGAAACTTGCCAGCTAGGGGTGTAAATGCATACATTTATATTCTTATTAATCTGTTCTAGTTATTAGTATCTGGAGTTATTGAAAAGAGATAGCCCTTTGTGTGCTAGTTTTGAGACATGTAGGAGTACTTTTATTTCTGTGGATCAGTAGATACTTTTAGAAATATGGTTTTCTAGTACTCTATGATTATGAAAAATCCATTACTTTAATGTTCTTTTTATTGCTATTTTCCCTCCCCTTTTTTTTAAGCAAAAATACCATATAACATTTTAAATTTTGGGATTGGCGGGGGATATGATTTCTACAGAGTTTTTTTGGCCATGTTAATAAATAGAACACTTGGTGGGGATAGTAACGAGGCCATCATCTGTGTACTTATTAAGTACATCTTTCTGTTGATAAATCTCCTCTCCTATAGTCTCCGAGCCATTTGTCTTTTGTTCTTTCTCTACTCTTTGAAGTTGAAACTTCTGTGGTTATATGTGCTGGCAAGGCGCATGGTATGTCAAGTGATGTTTTGATGAATGACATCTATTGTCATAAAGCTTCTGCTTTCTGGTATGACCAAATTTGGTTTGTTAGACAGCTAATAGAGGAGTCATTACCTTTTGAGATATGAATGTAAGTTTTGGATGCTCATTTTTCTGTAAACCTCGGGCTGAGCTTTTGATTTTTTTGATTTTGATTTTATTTTTATTTTGATTTTATTATTATTATTATTGTTGTTGTTGTGGAATTTGGGGCTTCTGTGGTGACTGGGAGATCTGGAATGGTTTTCTCTTGACGTAACCATTGATGATCGTTGCAGAATATTACCTAGCAAAATTCATCATGAAATTTCCATTATCATCAAATTTGCTTCTGTAATCTTAAATGATGTACATCCATATTAATCATCTTTTCAAGATCTAGGGTAATCTAGTTGTTCAAGTCAGCTACCATATTTGATATATTTGATTTTACCGCTCTTTAACTGGTATGTGAGAAGCCACTGGCATGGTTCTTTCTCTCTGAGCTGGTGATTAGAATGGGATGAAAGAAAACAATTTCCACTCAATCTTCTGTATTTGCTGCAGCTTTCTGGTGCTGCTCTATCTATGTGCAGATCACTCACAGGTTTAATAACCTGTTTATATTAAGTCTTATGAGGCACATCATGGTTTATTATTTGCCATTCTTCTCATTTTAGTTGACAGTGTAAACTAGGACTAAATCATTGCTTCAACTGCCTTTAGGGTTCATTGAGGTTTTCCGTATATTTTGCAGTGAGAGGCACAGTATTTGGTGCTTTATACATCATTCTTGGAAAGCGTGTTTGGTTTTTCCCTAACATCCTTGCTGAAGAAGCTACTTTGGGAGAGTTATTCCGTTTCTGGCCGAATAAGGATGAGGAAGAGAGGCCCAAGTGGACAACTAGACTTTTCTATGCCGGAGTGGCGGTGCTTGTCATATTACTGCTGAGGCACCATGCTCCTGATGAAGCTGCCAGAGCAAGGTACGTACACCTAATGCTAAGATTAGTAGACTGCTGGCTTTCCCGTTTTGCACAAAACATAATAACTTAAGGAACAAAGATGATTGTGGAAAACTTGATTTATATTGAAACTTTTTACAAGCTTTTGCATGTCTGTTTTACACGATTTAAAACTGAGACCCCAGAATCAAGTGATCCAGAGGTTTTTTTTTTTAACTAACAAGTTGCCATCTTCCTTTTGTGGGTAGAATGTCTGTGATTCTTTTGTGGTTATGATATGATTTCGCTTGGTGTCCTCAATCAGGAACTTTTTTGATGGCATTCACATAAAAAATTGCTATGATGAATCCCTATTAAATCTCTGTTTCCTCACTTGAGTCTGAAGTGCAATCTATGTCCTGCAGGTATCAGAAGCGGATGTCCAACATAATTGATGAAGTTCTTGAGTGGTCTCCAAGTTTGGCGCTGTCTGGAATGATGGAGAAGCAGCCAACTGTGTTCAATGCTACAGAACCCAACAATTTTACAGATTCCAGTGAAACAGACTCAGAGAATGCACCTCCAGGAGATGACGAAGGTGGAGAAACCATCTTAGAACAACATGAGTATGAAGAAATCGGAAACGGAGAGGACACTGAGAAGCACCAGCATCAAGATCATATACGACAGTAGATCATGCCATACCAAACATAAGACAGAGACACTACCTTCTTTGTCATCTTAAGTTTTGAGTGTAAACCTGTGTAATCAAACAGTGAAATAAAGCAGCTTTTAATTTGTGCCCTCATTAATAGTGAGAATAGATTATAATGCTAAGTTTAGGGAATTTCTGTAATGAAGAGCCATTTAACTATATTTGTCATATTGACGATGCTTTATACTTGCTCTAGCAGCCCCCTTTTCTGACAAGTTGCAACAAATTCGTACCGCTATTTGGATGAGAAGTCAGAATCCTTAAAACGGATGCCGTTTCGAAGATTTTATTTCTGTATTTCGTCATCTTCATGTCGGGATGGTCCAAAATTGGACTGGACAATGTATTTAGGATGGTTCTTTTTCGCCCCTAGATGGTTTGGTACACAAGTAACTCTATTGCCCACAGCCCCACACTTTATCCACTTCGATACCTCTTTAATTGCAAGCGAGATTCATAAGTCCTCTGTACTAACTTTTCTCTCTGCATTTCGTTGATGGGCTCATTATCTTCCGATAGACACTACTACATAGCAAGGCCGAAGTTAAATTGACAAACTTATGTAGCTGGAATTTTGCAATGATCCTCTCACTATTGCATTTATCAACGAAGGGTTAATTTTATCTTCACAAATATACAGTACAAACACAAATACAATGCCAATTGAATACTTCTCTAAAAGACGCAGGAATCTCATATGCTCCTCCTATTGGTCCAGAAAGGGATTTCGAGGACTACCCTAAAGAAGGTTCAGACCTCTGACTGTGGTTGGATAAATTATACGCATTGTAATAGGAATTGCAAAACCTCGCTCAATTGAAATAACAAGTGCCAGATTGAATTGCAAGTGAGAAGAAATCATCAGACAGTGAACAGAAATTGTCAAACAAGACGGTTTCTACGTTAAACTAAAGAGCTGGTAGACTAGAATCTATCCACAGGCTACTTCTACTTGAGTTTCCTTAACAGTTCTATGTACACAGGAACACGAGGAAAGAGAATGAGAATAATGATGCAAGCTCAAGCATTGGCAGACGAAAGAAGCCAACCACTGATTCATCATCTCCTTCACTCTGTTCAAGCCACAAGCAAGAAAAAGAAAGAGCCAAGAATGATTTGCCGCCTGGAAATATATTGCCAAGTGCGCAGTTGCCAGACAAGGAGAGGATTCAAATTTCTCTACTTGCGTGAATTGGACCCTCAGCATTGGCATCCACTTATAGCATGCAGTGTTCACTGGGGGTGAAAGGACCTTTGTTTGGCCTGGTTTACCAGTTGCTGGCCTGGACAGTCTTCATCCTCATTTTCAACTGAACGGTCTTCATCCTCATTTTCATCCAAGTACGAGCCATATGCAGAGGTTTGCATGCTACTGTGGTTTTGATAATGGCCATCTCTATTTACATAGTCATGAGCTTCAAAAGTGTCATGCAGTTGGGACTCTCTTGCTTCTTTTTGACCATCACAGGAATTCCAAGTTTCAACAGAGTCAGAGGGTAAGGGTTCAGAACCTGATGAACTCCCTGATTGATATGCATGGACTGTACCAGAACCATTGAGCTTGCCTTCAGATATGTTCTTGGAAGCATCATCACCAATTTTCTTTGCAAAACGTCCTCCAGAACTCCTTTCCCTTCTCATAGCATGCTGGTGCCGAGATTCATGAAGATATGGCTGAAGAATATCGGGGAGAGAGAGGGAGAGAATCACTAGTTTGACAACATGTTAAAAATTTCACAGTACAGAAGCTAGCAAACATCTCAACCTCTCATCCATAAAACATTGTACCAGGATTTCTATAGGCCTATACACCAAAGACAGGAGTACAATCCCATTCACTTAGCAAGAAGCAAGCTTGCATGTTCATTAACAATTTAAGACAATTAAGTGCAACATATTAGACTTTTACAGCTCTACTTTAAAATAACTTGAAGACCCCTCAGGACAATTCTTAACAACCCAAATGATTTGTTGAATATTATCATGGTGCCTAACTTGATGTTACTAAAGTGAGAAGTTTTAAATTAGACCTCGTTAACTAAATGATGCAAACTACAAGCCTAATAATTACTTGAGACTCCAATACAGAAGCGATAAACAAGAGGAAGTTAATTAGTGCATATGCATTATGTGTGCAATAAAAAAATATTAGCATATCATCTAACAGTGAAAGACAATCCAACGAAAGAAATGAGACAGAATATCCCAACTAAATTATTTTAATGTGTACCTTTCTAACTTTTATCAACTTCTTCTCAACCTCTGCTTTCGCACGCTGTTGTCTTCGCCTAATAATCCCTGGGTATTGCTTGGCATTCACATAAACAGGTTCCTGAGCCACCTCGAGAGGCAAGAGCATTCTGGCATGTGGCATTCCAACAAATTGAGGATAACCCTGACCATTGAATGATTATATCTATTCAGATAGAAGTCTATAACATTCCATCTTTTGAACACATGGAACAACTTAAGCAATATGTATATATACACACACACACAATAGAGCTCTTGATTTCTGTTCATAGGCAGCAAGTGATCAACTCGACTTCCTCGTTACTGTATGCAGATAACAAGCATGTCATAATTAAGGTTTACTGAGGTGTAACTCCAGTAATTATCTAGAATTTGGGTGACAAATTTGCTTTTCCCTCACCCACTTCCAATCTAGAAAGAAAATACAGTTACAAATTCCCAGAGAAAAGCAGTCCAGTGGAATAAGTTACCATTCAAAGAGTTTAATGAATTGAAAGTCTCCAAAAGCATCCTTTTTTCTTTTAAGTAGAGGTAAAAGACAGATCACTGGAATAGGTCCAGTCATGTTGAACTTTCCCCCTTTGTTAACTTCTAACAATATACCATGAAAAAAATAATAATGATGATAACGAAGGACAGGACAGGACAGGAACTAGCCTCCAAATTAAAAGAGCTAAAATCTTATCAGCTGCTCAAAGAAGCAGAGAAATTGGAAAAGAAGAGTGCTTGCTAAACTTGACCCTTTGAACTTTCGAGAACATGGGGTCCATGGGGATACAGGAGTGCACCATGAAAGAATCTTTTGGCTTTCATTTTATGTATTTCCCACATAAATAGAACTCACATCTCTCCTTTTCATCTAAATAATTGAAGAGTTAGAAATTAAATCTTATTTTTCTGACCAGGACATGGTTACTCTAGAACAATATAACAGATCATCATCTTCCAAAACCCACAGAATGGAGACACCAAAACTGTAATTTAGCTAAATGAATTCAGAATTCTTTCATTAATGAAAAATTTATGGTGTCAGTTCTCTATTCGATTTTGATTTGTGAAATAAACTAACATTTTTCCAGGGACTTATGGATTTGTCTTGGGAGTAATGAATATGCAAAAAATATAATCAGCATATCGATCCACAGGTAATTGCTCAAAGGATCAAGATATGACTGCGAGAATATGAGAAGAAAGTGTTAAGCTTACACACCAAAGGCTGATGTCCATAAGTCATCATTCCGCTATAATACACATCCTGGTAAGGGTTTGATGCACATGCCTGCAGAAGAATTGCCAGAAAAATAGAAATCTCTTCCAATGGCATGTAAGGATGAATTCTTTAAACATACAGTGTCTACTGTCTACATATGAATCAATCAGCACAAAAAGCTCGGAAGACGAGATTTTGCGGATGGAAGGAACAAGAACTTACAATAGAGTGACTAACAAGCTCAAACTGTGGAGATTGTGAAAGGCCATCGTGCATTGTAGTCATGTTTGACACGACACCCTGAAGATTTTGGAATTGTCCATGATTTCCTGTTAAAATAGAGGGGATAAAAATGCCCAATTAGCGTTGAACCAAGATGCTGCATTTTTCCAAGCGAACAAGAAGGAACTTCGCATCAACAGAACAGGACCAAATGGATCCATTTTGTGCACACAAAGAAAGTATCACTCTCCGTCCAAAACATTATACCTGCGGCCTATGCTACATGGGTTTACGTCAAGTTTACCATCAGTAGAAACTAGATTGCAACTGATCCAGTAATATAGTTGACTTACACTCACATGGAGAACAGTAGGTTTTCATCTACCATATTAAAAAAAAAAAAAAAAAAAAAAAAAAAAAAATCACAATTTCAAAAAATGAGATGGTCAAAATTAGTAAATTTAAAGTGATAATAGCTGCCCACAAAGGCGTGAACAAAGAATGGAGTTGAGATATGTAGGAACCAACTAATTCCTAAGCCATTAGCGAAAAATTGATGCAATGGCAAACAGTCCTATGCACTTTGTGCAGTAAAGTAGTTAGTTCACACCTAATTGAGACGATGCAGAGGCTTGAGAATCTTTTGTAGCATCAGCATCTTCCTCGTTCAGTCTACTGCTCGATAGAGACTGATCATCATTTGATTCCGAACCATTATGTCCTTCTGAGTTGGATGCATTTCCCCCAGTCATAGCAGGAGGAATGGAACTATAACCAATATTGCGCCACCAAGGTTCTGAGTGCACTGTATATTCTTGAATGTTGTTTGGATTGGGTTCTAGTCCGTTTGTTTTTTCAGGCTTTGATTGCATACCTTCAAAAAATTATTTTATTAGTTGTTTGTTTTTTCGGGCTTTGATTGCATACCTTCAAAAAAATATTTTGTTAGCTCTCTATTTCCAGCCCAGGCACAGGAAGAAAATAGTGTTAACAAGTCAAATTGACATAATAAATGTGATAGACGAAACAAAACTCAAAAAAACAAGCATATTATAGGCATATTATGACAGAGAGATCCTCAAGAAGAGAAGATCGGAGAATAAAGACTCTGCAGATCATGTCCCACAGGCTAACTTTTTCTGGTCATTCTTCAAAGTAAAACATTCAAGGTCTACCTAATTGCATGAAGAGAGAAAAATAAAGCGGCAATTTGATAATAGATTATGGATAAAGACTTGCCTTAAAAAAAGGCCATAAATTTTCAGGCTCTATTTCAATTCTAAACTTATGGATGAAGCAGAATATCAAGAGCTTTTGTCATCAAACTCAAAACAGAGAATCATTTCAACAATTTGGCAGATTTAAGTGATGCCACAGTATTATAAATTCAAGTTTCAGCCCTTAAAAAAGATACGAAAGAGGCAAGGCCTAATTGAAAATGAAGTGAATTATTGATTGTGTAATAGAGACCCTTATGTCCACACCCCAATCGCCCCCTGGAGGAAGATGTGCTTCTAAAGGATCTTTTATACTGTGCCCAAGTTAGTTCTATACATATGAACGGCAACAAGAAAAAGAAATGCAATAGCTAAATGATGGTGTGCAATATCGGTAAGCCATAAACTTTGTGTTTGTGGATGGAACCCTCGAGAAAGATATTCAAAGAGAAAGATTTAAGAGATGCCACAATATTATTAATTCAAGATTCAGCCCTTAAAAAAGATACGAAAGAGGCAGCAGACTGACAATGTGGATTTCTTTATCGGTTTTACAACAAATCAATTGAGTTAAACACATTTTCCATACAATTAATTAAATTTGTTCAAACACTGATCAAACCCCAATTTTGCCTTCTTTTGGATATAGATATATATATATATATATATATATATATATATATGTTCATCCAAAACTCTAACTAGCCAAAAAAATGTTTCGATATTAACCCAAGTAAAAAGTTTTAGTTCTACTACATTTCTCAAGAAACACAATCTCTGCCTCAACTATAATAATAATCAGCCATCAGTATCTCAATTTCACTCCCGTCAAACCAAAAGTCCCAGACTTTCTCAGAAACCAAATAATATAAAAAACTCATCCCAAATTTCCGAGAAACAAATTAAACTAATTCGAAGAAGTGGAATCGAAGAGAAAGAAAGCAGTTAAATTCAAGAAACGAACCATGCAACTAACTAGCATAACTGTAAAAAAAATTAGAAAAAATAAAATAAAATAAGCGTGATAAAGACACTTACCGGTTCAGAGTGAGAAAGAGATAAAACAGAACCCTAGATTTTGGGGTGGTTTTAATCTTAATATAATTTACTCGAGAGAGAAACGAGAGATAGAGAGAGAGTCTGCTTCTGTTGCAATTCTCCAGGGGAAGGGAGTAGAAGAAAGAGTAGAATATAACTGTACTTCTAGAAGAAGAGAAGAGAGAAGAGGGTTTTCCTTTGCCTGCTAGGCCCCTAACTCTGTTTGTTGTTTTGTTTCTGAGACGAGGTGGGCTGGTGCTGGGTGGTGTGGGTCATGATACGTTCACCCTCCTTCTTTCCACGTTGCCTCTTTTTCTGGGACACCTGCCCGACCTTTCTGCTGGCAACTTCCTTCCCCGTTTTTTCAGTTTTTTGTCTCTTTCTTTTACTATAAAGTCCATAGTTTTTTTTTTTTTTGTCATTTTTTATTTTGCTGTATGTTGCTGGTGGTGTTTAAATACTGCATGAGGGATATTCCTTTTTTCTTTTTTTCTTTTTTTCCAAATAGACTTATTCTTACCTTTAATAATGTCTAAGTATTGCATAAGGTTTGATATATTCCATTTATTAGCATTTTTACAACTTTTTTTACCTTGTTCGTTTAGCATGTCGCCGGCTCCATGTGAATGATAACATTAACATCGACTATTTATCTTTTTATGTTGGGTTATCCGACTGTCTCAAAATCGAGAAATCATACAAAGTTCATTAGCTCGACAATCTATTAATTTCAAATAATTCATTTTTACACTTCTATTGGTTATTTCTTCAGCTCTTTCATGTTTCGTCTCTTGGCAACCCCTTCCACTAGATTCGATGGTAGCTACTTTATTTCTTTTAATGTGTTGGAATTGATATGTTCTACTCTAAAATTCTCATGGGGCATAGATTTTTGAATTCTCAAATTTTTTTAGCCAGTCGTCTGTTATGCTTGTAGAAACAAAAGCTATTCGATAAGATCGAATCATTACTTAGGGCATGGATTGCAAAAAGATAGGGATGAAAACCGACTCTCAAAAATAATCCGTGTTATTAGAAATGAAGTATCATTAATTTTTAATTAAAAAAAACTTCGCTAGAAAACTATTTTAAAAATCCAAAACTCTATTTTGAAACTTCTCAATTCAACTGCCGAAGTAAATTTCAAAAACCTTTAAAACATATTATCGAATATTTTGCTATTTGGCTTTTGGATTAAAAAAAAAAAAAAAGATCCAAATGTCCTTGATATGGATATGTGCATTTTCTTTATACTTATATTTGCTTTAATACCATAAGATAATATAACAAATTTATAAGTAAAATCTTTATTTTCTTTTAATATAGGAATAATGTAGTTTTGTAATTATATAATAAATACACATAAAAACATGATGGGATCAGTGTTTATATCATTGTAGTTTATTTTAAAAAAAAAGTTTAGTTACATGGTAGATTTGTTTTTTATGTTATTATTTGAGGCTTAAATTCAGTTACTTATTTAAAATTTTATTTGAAATGAATTTGATTTTAATATAGAAAATACTAATCCAAAAATATAATAATCATTGCTTTTAAGTCAATATAAAAAATCGTGTAATTTTTAGCATTCTAAAAAAGTTAATATACCGCATTTTGCTATATAATTTCCATTCATTCTATGAACATTATTTAACTATAATTAGTTATCAGTGATAAGATAATTATGCAGAATTCTTATTTTATGAATTGGGTCCAATTTTATCTTATGAATTAAGTTTATTAAGCATTGTCTCATAGCTAATAAGAACAGATCAAATTAGAGGTGCTGAAAACCGGCCATAAGAGGTTCCCGGTTGCTAATCGGAGTGCATGTAGACAGCGATTTGTAAGGTTATGAGGCTGCCAAGCAAAATAAAATAAAAATTCAAATCCCACGTGACCCGCACTTGACGGGCAAAGTACAAGAAACGCGTGGCTCAGACAGTCGGGGCCACGCTAACAAGAGAAGACGAGAAACAGCCACGTGGCATGTGACTTTTATCACTATATATATATATATATATATAAAAAAAACAGATTCATTAATAAATCACTCTCAAGGAGACTAATTGATAATTATAGTTTACTGGCTTGGCACCTAACCCCCCATTCCGTGCGAGTGTTGCCATGGGGTGAGGCTAGCCACCTCACAGCCAATGAAAAATGGGTTGACACACAGAAAAAAAAAGGAGAAAGAAAAGAGCCGCCATGATAATTACATTTGTAAATGCATTAGGCTTACATAAAGTTTCATTGTTAAAATTATCAATAATAGATTTAGTATCAATTGGCTTGAGCTGGAATAAGAAACAAAGCCTAACTAACGCTTGACTGAGTCCAGTTGTTCAAGTATGTGTCAAGCTCAGAATGACTTTTTGAATAGCTCATTGGCTTTGATAGAAGAGGTCAAAATGGCCAAGTCTTGGTCAATTACTGACATGAAATAAATGGAATGGATCCACACCTATCCCTTTCTTATGTCTTTTTCCTCTTACGATAATTACAGCCTTTTGATGCATTTTCAACAATTAAGTTGCATAATGTAGAGTGAAATTCCTTGGTTTTTAATCACCCATCTCAATTAAAAGGGGAAGTTCGAAAACTATATTCATTGACAGTTGAAACATTAATTAGTTTGTCTAATGGCCTTTTTTTGGCATATGTTTACAAAAGTTTTCATCATTCCGTAAATTTCTTAAACAAGGAATAATTTTTTTGTATAATTGCGTTCGGATTTATCTGAAAGCATAATGTTTCAAATCAAAACTTCAGTTTAAAATAAAATTCTATGATTTTATTGGCATACGTATGAAAATTAAGGGGATTAATAAATAGATGTTTCGAGTAAGTTTTTTTCCCCTGTATATCACATAAAATTATATTTATTTGGCATAATGTTTTAATTTTTATCAAATAACATTTGGTAGAATAATTATAATTAATTATGTATCTTAGTTTAGGGTTTATGTCATGTTTAATGGATCTAATTGGGGTTATATAATTAGTTACAACTAGATTGTTGCTCCTACTATATATTGTATGTGGGCGTGACAATGGAAAAGGAAATGAGTAAGAAAATTGTTATACGAATTGCAAAGTCTAATTATATCTAAGCATGTTTGACAACAATAAAGTGTTTTTATTTAAAATTAAAAATTCTTTATATAGATTTTTCGGTCATGAAGCATGAAATCTTCAAACACTATCATCATCCTATTTTTACCCAGCATACATACAAAATAAAAATGTAAAAAATAATAATCAAGAAAAAAAAGGGCTTGGAATGCCCAGGCAAGCGTTGGCCCACGCGCCAGGCCTAGGCGTGTGCTGTCTGGGTTTAGCTGCCCAGACTCAACTGTCCAACCCAATTCTCAAATTGAAAAAAAAAAAAATCAAAAGATAAAATCCTAAACCAACCTGTCCAGCATTATAAATACACCATAACCCATCTCCCACTCACACACACTGCCACATAATAAAATAAATTAAAAAAAAAAACCTAATAGGTAAAAACTAAAGCCAAAATATCCATCCTCTTGAAATCTTAAAACAAATCAAAATCGATGGAAAAAAATCCTAAGAAATTCTTTTGGAATCTTAAAATTCATTTTAATTCA